CAGTACAATTTTGACCATTCAGATCCTGATAGAGGGGAACTTTGCTCCAATCATTATTATCACAGTTGATCAACTTTGTCATCTTTCCTTCAGTGACATTTCCAGTGTTCTGATTGGCTTCTACAGACATGCCGCACTACAGCACCTGTAGGCGTGTGAACACAGCACCTTTACATCGTCATCATCATTCACACACTGCGGACGCGACTACTGCAGGTGTCCGGGGGTCCACTGGGTGGTTGGAGGGCACAGGAGTGTCCCTGTAACACACAGATCCAGGCTGTGTCCTAAAGAGGCCAAACAAAAAGCTCTTTGTGTCCTGATATGAATCTGAATGCCTGTGTTTCTGCACCTCCTCACCACGGACCTCGCAGCAAACCAAAATCATTTCCATGAGAAAATACAAGCTCAGACGCAACAATGAATAGAGCTGTCATAGAGCAGGATGCTAATTTACAGAGTATGCTAATAGCATGAGGGATTTACTGTACTGTTCTGCTGTATTAGCTTTTGTTTTTTTCTCTCTCTTTGTTTAAAGCTGAATGAACACAGATGATGGTCCGTTGCTGTGCAAACAACCACTTATCGTTATTGCTGTCTGAGCATTGTTATATGAAACATTTATGGTGATAAGTACATATTTGAGAAAATGCATAAATAAAGCAGAGGCAAAATAAGATTTGTATTATTTACTTAACTACTTGTTTTTCATTTTAATTTAATTTTTAAAAATATCTGTATTTTTTAAATTCATATATGAAGTCCTTATGATGACACACTTATTGTGAGAAACAATGAGATTAATTCTCATAATAGTAATAATAATAGTAATTCATAAATCGATAGCTCATGAGAAATTTGTTCATATTGACTCAAATGTTTCTCAGAAAAAGGGTCACTAATCATTTATTCTACCAAAAAAAGGAAAATCACTGTTTGACAAACTCGCACTGAGTGTACTGCGTAAACACACACGACAGATTCTTGAGTGCGTGGATTGTGGTGGGTGTGGACCCCCCCAAGTGATCACATATGTCAGGCACTGTCAGGGAAAGGAAGCGCCCGGCTCTCCCCCTGTGTCAGCCAAGGGAAACTCTTTCTTGGGCGTGGGCCATTAAACGTTTGCAGCCAAACGCCGTGACGCAGAGAGGACACGTCATCAGTGCAAACAAACTTGTGCAAAATTATTCAGCTGTGGAGATATCTTTGCCTGAGATAAAAAAACAACAAGAAAAAATATTTGTACATCTTCTCTTAGAAAAGTGGATCATATTCATGACATGATTAAATACTTATTCCATGGTTGTCAAATGTAATGGGTGGAGACAGATGTGATACTGATAAATATCTGGTAAAGTATTGGCATTACTACCTGCATACCATACCATTAGCACAGGATAGTGCTTGAACTCATTTTTAAGGAGCTATATTGTTGAGAAACAAGAGAAAAGTCAACCATATCTGGATCCCTGATTCTTAAATTACACGAGGCAATGAAAACAATCGCCATCGATATGAAAAATAAAACACCGTGAGTTGAATTTTAAAGTTAAATAATGGGACGCTCGGAAACACAGCAGGCCTCGACCCAGTGTGAACTGTTTCCATTGCTGCAGCACCATTAATGCAGGCAGGCACGACTCTGCCCCAAGGTGATGCTGTTCTTGGCCTTGAACGTACAACTCCTGTCATGTGTTTGCCAGGATATAATAACAGCTAGTCACCAATCAGGATATTTCAAAGGAGGGGCTTTGAAAAAGAAAGAAAAAAATGCTGGGAGTTTGAAAATACAAGGATGAGGTAAGATGGCGTTTTTTACTACACACGAGAAACCAGACCCAGCTGGGCTCACGTAAATCATCAATATGCAAACCAAGGGTGAGCATCAGAGAAGGAGACATGTTACCAGAGGAGAGAGAAATCCTGAGGACAGAGACGTTCTTTACACATTGGCTCATGATTATTATCAATATTGCAACAGATTTTAGATTTGACTCCAAGTCACTGCAGCATTCCAGGGACTGGATTAGTCCTTAACATGCCTCGGGGAGTTAAGTGTCAGAGCTGTACCACTTTGTTTCAGTTAGTGACCTAATTTTGTGTCTGCGGTGCAGTTACTGGATACTGAGAGCGTAGTGAGGCAAGCTTCGTAAAATAACACTGTGCCGTCACTGCATAATACTGGAAAACGTCTTACGTCAGCGCGGGTTGGCACAGAGTACGAGGTGGCGTGCATCAAAATTATGAATTTACATTTTCCAGATTAAAATAGAATTCAATTTTAATGTATCTCTTTTTTTCCCTCTGTGAGAGGCAATCTCACACCACCTTCTGAAATTAGTTATTTACCAGGATGTATATGGATATTTTTATTGATAAAAAAAAAATCTACCCTCAGTGCGGTGCTTGTACTGCACACCAGCCAGGTCGCTCCATTCAATTCAACGTCTTTTGCATCCACAGCAAACTAGAACAATTTTATGTGATTTGACAAAGATGGGAAAAACCTTTAACCAGCAGACGATTAGTTCAGTGCCTTCCTGCAGTTTTGATAACAGACTTATAGACCTCAATCTGCAAATCAATCTGTACTGCAGGACCAAACATCTCAAAAAGTGTCAGGCTGTTTCAATGACATATTTAAAGGACTGATTTGCATTTACCTTCATAGAAAGACAATTCCAGTTTCATTCTGGTATTAAATTTTCCTAGTAATGTGAGTGGAAATTACGGTTCAACGTCGCAGAACATTCAGCACCTGTCTGTGTGTAACCTAAATCAACATGTCAACAAACCTTAAACAACATCATGAAATCTCTGACGATACATTTGAACAAAGAACTTTTTTTGTCTTCCTGGAGCTAAAAACAAAAGCCCGTTGTGCAGCCAAACCTTCTGTCGCACAGACATGACGTCTCGCAGATTATGAAAAGTAATCCGTGGCAGCATACAAGATGAAATACTTATTTGAGAGAGACTTGGTTGAATGGCAGTGGCATCAGGGTCTTGTCACACTTGTCAGGTTTAATCCTGTATGTAGTTCATTCAACAGCTGTAGTGTGTAATCCTCTGGGACAAAATATTAGTAATAGAATAGAATGCATCAATTAACACACAACAAGAAGATACAGTGGAGCACGGCAGAGGCTACTTGCTAAATAATAACTAACTCTGAATACAAGAGAAAATGTTCTAAGGAAACGTAACACAACTATAGCACAAAGATTTGTAGATGAAACTGGTGGAGGAATATGTCAAATACTCCAGGAAGAAAACTATTTTTTTCCTCCAAAAATAGACATATGTGATACAGACTTGACATGACTCATTCATTCACCTTCAACGACTCAGTCCTTTCTGTAGGGTCACAGACGAATGGGCTACACCCTGGACACTCACACCACTTCAAATCACTCAGTCTATTCAATAATATAGAAATACGTAGAACTTCCTGACCATAACATAACGGTACCTATGTTTGAAGAAGGAAGGGAGAGATGTAAAAGCCCAAGAACACCATCCTCACAGTGAATTAAATACAATCTTAAGAAGTAAACAGCTTTTTGTGTCCTTCCTTGACATCAACAGTTGAATGTTTTGGACTAGCCCTGAAGACCAGAGTCCATGCAAGTGGATCCATTAAATGTGGACAGGCTCTAGAGCTTCCCTATAGAAAATGTCTCCAAACTGAAGACATTATTGTCCTCTGTGCAATGAGTCTGACTTTCGAGGACAGAGAATATGATAAACACACTTGCTCCGTCCAAACTTTCACACTCTCACATCTGACCACAGCTCCAGGTCTCCTACCTTGGTCGCTGCCTCCTGCAGGAGGAGATTCCTCCAAGTCCCGATCGTCAGGACTTTTCCGTTTCTTCGACATTTGCTGCTCCCGGTCGGAATGATGGAGCTGATGTGTGCTGATAACCCCTGACACCTTCAACCGGCGGGATACACAACGCAAACAACAGTCTGGAGGAGGCGAGGAGAGAAATGCGAATAAATCTCAGTCCCATTCATTCAGATCCCCCCACTCTCTCACTCCTCTTTCTCCTAGCTCTCCTCTCTCCGTGTCATTCTTTTTTCTTTCTCTCACTATGTCGTTTTTCTACAACGTGCTGTGCGCGCAAAGTTACCATGTGGTGTCCAGCCGAGCATCTGGAGACGCAGCGAGGCATGGAAGCTGCAGCCACACAGCTCCTGGTTCTCTCTGGACAGAACTGTGCTGTTCCACTCCTGACACTTGAGAAATGTCTGCAGCTGAAGTTATTTGTCCATTCCGTGCGTGGCGGTTTACTGCTTGAACCCAGTGTAGATGGAAATTACGCACTGGGAGAAACTTGTTGAACCTGGGGGTTTCGTCACTCCGTCCGAATGGATGGATGGATGAATGGATGCTGTCTGAAGGGAAATTGAACAACTTAGAAGGTCTGCCTTTCGTTTTTTTTCTTCTTCTTGAGCGCAGCGCGACGACGTCAGACTGCAAGTCTAATCAGGCACGGATGACGCACAGGCGGCACAAAGGCGACGCTTGAATATCTCGCAGAGTAGGCTACACGCCAATGTACACGGAGATTATGTGGACGTGGTCCGCGCACGTTCCAGCGTGTGTTTGCATGCGTGTATGTGTGTGTGTGTGGAGAGAGGTGGTGTATGTGTGTGTGTGTGTATGGGGGGTGTCCCTGTGGCAACGTTTCCCCGCGCGTCAAATTGGAGACAACCTCGAGGAAAGAGTCGTAAAAGTGAAGGGAGTTCGGTGCCAACACAGGTGTGATGATGCAGGAGAGGAGTTACCTCCCAGTCAGGAGGGGCAGAAACTGCTCTGTCTGTCTGTCTGTCTGTCTGTCTGTGTGTGCGGCACCTCTTGGCCAAACGCTCCTATAATAATAAAGTGACATGAGAGGAACAAACGCGCACTGTGTCGATGACCTCCAGGTTCGCAGCAGCAGCAGCAGCAGCAGCAAACAGAGAGCAACTGGAGAATGAGCTGTGAATAAATGGAACAGGACAGTAGTGACGCTCAGAGTTTTACCCTGCAGCCCACAATGACCACGACCCATTCACCAAAGCCACAAAAGGACTGTGTGTGTGTGTGAGAGAGAGAGAGAATGAATGAGGGGGAGCTTTTTTTAATTCAAACTCCTACTGTTCATTTTTTTCTGACACTAGTTGAGCCATTAAGCCCCCCCCCCCTCTCCTCTCCCCCCTCCCTTCTTCATCTTCTCCACCTGCTGATTTATTTATGACCACACGCTCAGATCAGCTGATCATTTTCCTTCCATTAGATTTGCCTCGGATGTCCACCGTGCCGCTGTTTTACATAAAAAAGCCGATGGTCAAATGTGACGTCAGATCTGTTTACATCTAATCTTTTCCTCCCCCCTTTCCTCCCATCTCTGCTCGCCATCCTCAGCCTCTGCATTCAAGCCTCTGACTGGTGTTTTCTGAAGGCAACCCCCTCCTCACCACGGCCGTCCTCCTTCTCCGCCTCAACAGCTCCCCCTCCCATCCCTCATTCACTGCAGCTACTGACGTCAAGACACGCTTGCGTCAATGCTCCCTGCTTTGACAGAGAGCTTTTTCTTTTTTCATCAGGATCATAATGAGATTAGGCTGAGAGAAATACCCTGCCTTTGTTGCTTTTTCAGATATTATTATTTTTTCCTGCCACAAGTCCCATTAATTTTCTTTACGCACTGAGGATTTTTAAATATGAATTATTATTGTTATTACAGTAAATTAGGCGACGTCTGTTAGACATGTAAATAAAAGACAAAAGATGTTTTATTGTTCGCAAAACTGTGTAAGTGAATGTGTACATTCTAATGTGTGGGAAATCCTCCTTAAACTGGCAGTAATGTCTATAAACACTGACTGATTGATGTGACTGTACAGACACACAGTCGTTTGTTTATTCAACAGGGTTGGGTTGATGGTAGACGACGCTGCAGGGACACCAGTGAATCAGTCACTTTTCTATTGGATTTGTCAGATTAGAATTGTCTTCCTTCCTGTCAGTCTGTAGCTGCAGGTTGTTAAGAAGAAGAAAGAGGAGAAGGAGAAGGAAAATGTCCATGTCCTCTCACGATGACCTTCATCTTCTGTGCTGAATGGCTCTTCTGAATGGCCTCGCTTCACATTGCACGTTGTAACGCCCTTTGCTCCCTCTCAGTTCTGCTCTTTGTTTCACATTGGCTCAAATTTACAAATTTAACAGTCCGTACCATGGTACCAGAAAAGAGTGGGAACGCTCCGTGTTAATGGCAAAAATAGTTTATGCCTCACTTTTCTCTTTAAATGTCTGTGTGGAAACTGATGGGCAAGACTCCCACAGACACTTTGCATGTAATTTGCGCTTTGTGCTTTATTGTTACATGATAGCAAACATGTCAAGTGTCAGGGATATTGTTGCCCAGATTAAAAAGGTTGTAACCTAAATGTTGGTCAAGACATAGAATAAAGTGAGCAAAGTGTAGCAAAACACAAAACAAAACATAATAAACGCTTACATATACCAAAAAGTAAGATAGATAAGTGAATGTTTTTTTGTTTGTTTTTTTTAGCATATCTGAGAATCAATCATGGTAATGCTACGTAGCATGTCTGTGTCTGGTTAGACAGAATATAGGCGAAAATAAAGATGAAATGTTGATCGTGTAAGAATTGATTATACTCTATCCATCAAAGGTTCCAAATAACCCAAATGAAACACTCACGTGTTTGCAAGTCCCGAGGTCATTTTATGTCAAGCCTGCCATGACACGACTTAATACATTTTTCTCATCTAATTGACAAAGTACATGTCTCTGCTTGCACTTTGACAGAACGGTGCTAAAAAGCTCTTTGCACACTTAGAGCCGAGTGTGGTTACATCATTTACTTTAAATAAGAGGTAAAAAAAAGAAGAAGAAATCTCTTTCTGCCCCGGAGAAATGTATGAATAAATGGGATTTAAAACAATTGCTTACAGAGTACAGAGTGTCCTGCAGTCAAATATGTGTTAGTGTTTGTGAGGTATGACACTGAGTCACTGAGTAAACACAAGGCACGCCATTATAGGATCCTGGTTGTGGAAGATGGTCATGAGTAGCCAATGTCCTCCAGGAGAAACCAGACCTCCTGTCAGGGACATGTGAACGCAAACAGGCTCACAGGGGTCAAAGTTCACAGTGTTTATCTTTGTGTGTGTGAACACACTGAGTCAGTGCCAGAGGCCTGACCCCAGTCCTTCACATGGACACAAATGTAATTCCTCACCCATGTGTGTAAAACACTCCGTCTCTGCAGCTCAATATTACACAGTGAGCTGTAAAATGAAAATTGAGTTTAAAGTTTGAAAAATGATGTCACAGAATGAAAACGTGCAAATTAAGATTTGTTTTTTCAAATCGATATAAGTCCGTTTTGAAATTTGTGGACTCTAGTGCATGTCATATAGTTTAAAAAATTAGGAGCAGACAAGCAGGACTCAAAGTGCAGCGCTACAGAGACACAATCAATTTTGGGAAGTTTATTAACAAATAAGACCAAATTAAATACCTCCAGTGCGGGAAAACAGGGCCAGGCATGAAGCATGGAAATGTAGCATGGACACAGAACAACAAACCTTGACTGCCACAGTATAACCAACACCCAGGGCACCAGGTGATATGAATGAGACTGATTAACATACAATCACTGGACTCAGGTGAGGAACAGGCAGGAGGGGAGAGAGACGGACCTCACAGAGACAGGCCTGGAAGTTAAACATGGTTAACTTAAGGCTCATGGGCTAAAAAGGTTTACAATGGTTTCTTTATCTAACATTGGGCAACTTTATGACCTATGACATGTCTTATTGTATCTTATTTGATTACTTACTCCTTTAAATCTGTTGATGTATTGATACAAGGCCAGGTAAAGACAACCATTGACAGCAGATTAGGGAAAAAAAGACTAAGCCTTAAAAAACAACAAAAGTACATGAACCATTTTATAATACATTTTATTGACGTGTAAAATAGTGTATCATCTGCATAGCAGAATAAAGACAATTGCTTCCCTTTTTCATTAACTAAATCAGTGTTTCTCAAATGCTTGGCCCTGACCCCAGAGTGGGCTACATGACTAGATAATACTGATACCTTTCTACTAACAGCCACTCGTCTGCCTCAAGTAGAAAATAAATTACCACTCTTTTAGGTTGTACTATTAAGAGAAACCATTGAGGATCAAATACATTTAGTATCAATAAATACCCAACATTAGAACAAAAAAGAGTTAAACACCTGAGGCCATTTGAGAATCACTGATCCAGCCTGTAGTAGCTTAAACAGCGTCGGTGTGGTCCAGAAAATGAATATGTACACATTATCCTTCAGCGATCATTTACATTACAAACGTATGTTTTCATACATTTCTTTTGGCTTAGCAGTGTAAAATTCATGGACTTGTGCTTAATATAAGCACATTATAAACTTTTTTTTGGGTTACAAACAAACATTCTTACTGTGGCAAACAAAACAACACAATATGGTAAAGGATAATAAACAAAAATAGAAATTTTACATTTAAGTTAGAAAACTCTCGGTAAATAATAGGAGTTACGGTAAGGAACACTTTAAAAGGGATAATTTAGGAACAAACAAACAGTCTCTGGTATATTGAATTAGTAAAAACGTATTACTAAGATTGTTCGGCGGCAGAAATGTGAGAATAATTTAACCCAGCATGTATTTGTGGCCCACGTGGACCGGCTGGATGGGGACTGATACGAAAGATTATTCACTCCCATCAGATAGATGGAGGAGTAACAGGCGTCCAGGCTGAAGGCAGTCGTCCGTGTGGAGACGTGTCATACTGGGTCGTGTCATGCACCTCTGTGGCTGTGCCGCTGTCATACATGGGAGAGCCAGAGGAGGGCACTGTGATGGAGTGAGACAGGCCTGGGTAGTGGCCACTGGTCCCCCGCAGGAACTGGGAGCCGTTGTTTATTCCCCCATTCTGGGACACGGGTGTCAGGGGTGGGTTACTCACCGACCACAGGCTGGTGTACTGACTGTAGAGAGAGAAAGATTGGGCAGTTAGTCACGGGGTGTTTGAGAGATGCCGTTTAGGCAAAAGTTCAAGTCGTACCTATGTGTTACATTCCTGTCAGATATATTTCTGAGTTACAGTAAATTAGATGAAGAATGTTACGGAGAAATCTAGGCGTTTCAACACTGCACTGTTGTTTGAGGCCAATAGATAATAAGACTACTTTCTTTGATGCTTATTGTTACAACTGCTATATAGATAATAAGACTACTTTCTTTGATGCCCTGCTTATTGTTACAACTGCTATGCAACATGAACCTACTTTATATATATACATATAAATATATATAAAACTTTTGTTATTTTGTGTATTCTGCCACACCAGATACGTCATTCAAACAGTGGAGTTTTATCTCGTTGGTAACCCGGTCATGTTGCACTGTAGGTGTTATTATATTTTGAGCATTATTAAATTCTATTTGTTGGCTAAGCTGACGCTTTTTAATCTTATTAATTAAAAATACTGCACGCTTCATCTGCTTGTTTATCGTTTAAATATGATGTAATTAGTGTAGAACAAATTTAACTTTTTTAACATTTTATTGATATTTCACCAAGGCCCTCAGATTCTTGTAATTTTTAAGGTGCCAGATCACACCCTCTGTTTGGGAAAATATTCTGCTCTGAATGACAGTTAGTTAGTTATAAAATAAATAAGTAGAACTACACAAACCTGGTGTTGGTACTAGCCATGGAGTTATGGGCCATGGGCATCATACTGGAGTGTGTTGGCATTTGCAGACCAGACCAATTGTCATGGCTGGTGAGCATTGACAGACAGGCTGAAGAATTATCGGTGTAACCAGCTGCAAACAAAAACAAACAAAAACAGGGTCAGATGAAGTTAGCACGGATCTGTACGGATCTGTTTTAATTTTCCAAATCACTTTTCACACTACCATATTATAAGCTTATTTATGTGACGGTGCTTAAAACACCATGTCTGAACCTCAGCCATTTACTGCTCTGAGACTCACACAAAACACACAAAAGCAGGAGGAATGCACAACATTCCTCCCTCACCAACATTTGTTTGCATTTCTTGTTAATGGTCAGAGAGGAAGTGCTCTGATTCCTGGATCTATAAAAGCTAAGATGTAAAGGTTCCTATAGGCACTCACTGGGCGAGTTGGTCCGATGGGTGTAGGGGTTGGTGTAAGGGGCAGAGCGGTGGTTCCTCAGGGTGGAGTAGCGTTCACAGCCATGGGATGGAGAAATAGAGATGGGACTCCCAAACTGGCTGTGCGGACTGGCTGGAGGACAGAGGGAACCTGTGCCGGGAATGAACCATCCACCTACTGGTTCCACAGAGAGAGAGGGGCCACATGAGCATCATGACATTTGATTTTATGCTATTGAAATAGACATGATCGGGAATTGATACTAACATTGAGAGTAGCCCGACTGTTGGTTTTCATTGGCATCTTCTCTGATATCTTTGCTGTCACTTCTGTAAAAGAATAAAAAGTTCATTAATTCCGAGGCCAAAGTTCAACTGAAACTTAATTGTTGAAAATATGCTACAGATATATTTACCTCTCCTTCGCGTCCAGGAAGGCTTTTGCAAAAGGGTTGTATTTAATTTTAAGAGCAGTAATCTGAAAAAGAAAAAAAAACATTTTGGATTAGTCCAGTTTAAAGTTATGCGTAAATTACGCACAAAGTTGACAAACAAGCCGGCAAAACTGGTACAGCTTAATTAGTACTTAAAATCTTAACATATTATTTATATGTCTTTTTTTTTTACTAACCTCTTCGTTTTGATAAGCTGTCACTGCAATGAACTGCGTCTCTGGGAATGAGTGGCTGGTGATCATCCTCCTCGGGCCTCCGACACGCACAATGTGGATCCGTGGTTCGTATTTGTGCAAAGAATTCAACATTATCTGATGATGAAAAACAAAACGCATTTATTAGCTTTTCACTCACATAGTTAAGTTCATTATTTGTGACATCGAGCTGCAGCCTCTTCTATTTACCTGGCCGCCACCGTTGAGTTTGTTGGTGAGTTTGACTTTACTGAAGGACACCGGAGATTTCATCCAGTGCGCACCGAAGTTTGGAGAATCTGGGTGGATGTAGACACAGCTGGGGGTCTGGGGTTCGGGTTTACCTCCAGGGACCCACTCCCCGTTAACGTACTTCCACCGGTGGTTGTCCGCAGAAGCAAAATCCAGCAAAAAGGAGTACATGGCGTTGGGGTCCAGACCGGAGACGTTGACTTTTAACACTGGAAACATGCGCCTTCAGGACAAAAACAAATAAAAGTGAATACACGTTATTGCGTTGGTTGCAAAGTTACTCGCGGTGCAATACAAACAATGTGCGCAATTTTTGTGTAGACTTACCTGCCGTTCTTGGTAACGATCATTTCATTTGTAAGATCCTTAAACTTTTGCCAAAGCTCTCCTTCGTCCAGGGTCACCTTTAGTTCCCTCTCCGTGGGGTCTCCCTTTTCACTGCCGGCCTGCAACTCACTCTCCACGGCGCTCAGCAGGTGATCGACCCGGTAAAGGCTGGCCTTTCCTGGGCACTCACTGGCGCCTGTGGCCATCCTGTCCTCTAACACCTCCAGGGTTGAACAGTTTACTGCGACGACTGAACTTTAAAGTGACTTTCTTCTGTTGGGTTGTTGTGTCTCCACACGAGCAGGACAGTGGGAGACATGAGCTGCTCCCTCATTTATATGTCCCGCAGAGGAGCACCATGTCAGGATGGCTCTTTGGAGCAGAGATGGTTGGCTCTTCTCCTCTTTGATCTGTGCGGACCTCTCCCTGATTGGCTGGGAGCGGAATCAGCATTCAGGTCCACAGGATGACAGCGTTTTTTGAATAAAGGCAGTTTACCCCCTTTTTTATTACGTCAACCTGTAAATATTGACACTTAGATCAAAGACACACCTGCAGAAAGTAAAGTACTGTAGTCTGGCTGTCCGTGGATGATCCTCGGACCCACGGGGCTCACTGTGGATTCAGATCACGGCCTCGTCACTTACTCTGATGCCCACTGCCCACCGTTATATATATTGATAATAATAACGGGCTTTTCTTACAGAGTGTGAAACACAGCTGACTGTAGATCGACGCGGTCACTGTAGGATTATTATAACTCATGTTATTGAAGGTAATAGATTTATTTAGGTTTAGAGCAAAGACTGTAGAAAAATGACTTGAGAACTTTGCATTATTTCACGGACCTGTAACAGAATATAAAAAGTAACAAATCTACGAATTTTAGACCTTTGTCATTATATGCAAACATAGATAAAAATGAGAAAACAAAAAATAAATTTTTTTTACTTAAATCCCCGAATTTAATTATTCTCAAATGTAAAATTCTGTATCCTTAGAAAAAAATGTTTTTTTATTACAAACTAAACTTTTTTTAATTCGCATCGACAATTACAATTTTAATTACATTTTGAAAAATATTTTTTCTGAGATTAACAAATTTAATTATATTTTTTAAAAGTTTAAAAAAAATACGCACTTGCATTAAAACGAAAATTATGAATTAATTTAAACTTCATATATGTAGGACTGAGCAGGTCACAACAATATTTTCATGCACTACAGAAAAAAAATGTTTTTAAATATCTTTAATTTACCATGTAAGTAAAACGTAACTCTTTTTTTTTACCTTTGATGAAATTCAAACACAGACATTTTTGCAATGACAAAGTCCATAACAAAACAGATTTGGTTTAGACTGGAATGTTCTATTAAATGATGATAATAATATAACCAATCAACAGATAATAAATACTTAAATAATATAAAACTATCAAATGATGTCTTTCGCTGACCAGGAGGTCCATGTGGGCTCCACATGGGTTTATTTTGGGCTGGACATTGGTTTGACCCTATAGTTAAGTAAGGCAAACTGTGTGAACAACATGTGGCTCCCACCTGCAAAAGACACTGACCAACACACCCAGGGGTGTAATGGTGCTCTGTGGCCACAGGTCTCACATACAATATGAAATATGACTTTCTTATAGCTTTTATTGTTTGTGGTTTTTTTTACTTTTGTAAAAAAAAAAAAAAACCTTGTTGTTGCGTGGTGATGTCCGTCACTCTGTTGTTTCAGTGTAGTTCCTCCATAGTTTCATCCCACAGTCGATGACCTGAAACAGAAGCAGGAACTTGTAAATGTCCATTATTTATGTTTGTAAAAAATGACATAACTCTGGGAGCACACATTCACCTGTGTGTGTTTTTGCTTGCACACATCTTCCATGGATAAGGGATCAGGTGTGTGACGGCAGACAACACTAATGTCCTCCACCGGAGGCCCACAACACTGCTGACTGCCAAGGAAACACCCACTCATTACACATCCCAATCAGGACTTTGTTTAAAAATAAAATCACATCATAGGGAAATGAAGGTGCTGCACTTTCTGTGTTTTTTGCTCCGAGCTGAGGAGGTTCTGCTGCGCTGCTGTGGAGGTGGAGCTCTGCAGACTCTTGGTGCCCGCTGTTTCTGAGAACTGACAGCAGGCTGCTGAGTTTGGCTGTTCTTTCCTGGTTTGGAGTCAAGAGCTGGAAGAATCTATGAAAAAGAAGATGTGACTGAGGTTCAGGGGCTGCAGCAGGATACTGAAAAAGAAGATGTGACTGAGGTTCAGGATACTGCTGCACAGTCAGTGGAAAAAACATTCTTGGACTGAAAACGGTTATTTGTTTATAACAATAATATTCCATTTAAGTTTGACTGCAAGAACACTTGGAAAAGGTTGATTTTTTTTTTTAGAAAAAAAGCTAATTTTTAAGCCTGTTAACATTGGGCTAATTTACATGTTAGCTGTTAGCAAGTGAGCTGCTGATGGGAACTATATTTGAAGTTGTCCGCTCGTTGTGTGTATTGGGCGAATGACGACACTCTTTGATCTTGGAGCGCACTAACTAGGCTACTTTGTTATGCTGCCTCTGCTAATTCCAGGTCAAAGCCTGAAAAGAAAGCTAGAGTGGGTTCATTTGCACTTTTCCAAGTCGGTTTCCTCAGCCGTGCCTCAGAGGTGGCAACAGGAAAACCCCCCACCCCCAGGTTGTAAGCCCTGCTTATCTAGGATTTTCACCTGGTGGGAAGTCAAGTCACAGCTACTGTATATACAGATACATATCACTCTTTTGACTATTTTTGCAACTTTTACCATATAACCTAAGAACTTTGTAGCCATTAAATGAGATTTTAACAATTTTGTCTAATGTTTAAGCTACCATTTAGCTATACTTTAAACTATTTTGAACTATCTCACACTTTCAAACCCTTATCTGTAATTCTAACACTTCCAAAAACACCTTTTAATGTTCTACACAGAAATATCTTGTCATTTCAACCATCACTTCTCACATGTTTACGTACTGATTTTCAAAGTCCTGACTAACGCACTAATTCCCTTTCTTGTTATGTAAATGCACCAGTCAATGAGCACCCACGGGCAGCTCTGTGAATAACGACAACATTCATAGTAAAATTCAAACTTGTGTGACGTTACATGTCTGCTTCCACAGAGCTCTGTTGTGTTGTGTTGTGTTGTGTTGTGACCCCAGTTTGTGTTACTAACCAAAGCCTGGGCTCCTTGTTGCTGCCGCCAGCACAGTGAGTCTGTGTGTGTGTCCAAGAGTCTGGCCCAGAGTTCACAGCAAGCAGAGAAAAACAAACCTCACTCAGTTTAAAGGGACCTTAAAGAGTTTCTGAATACACTCCTCATACTCAGTGTCCTTATTGAGCAACGTCCAATGTCCCTTTAACGGACAAAAGTTCATTTTCTGTGTCATTGTGTCATTTATTTTATGAAATAACCAACCTCTGGGAGAACAACATGTTGGACAAGCAAGTTTGATGCATTTGTCTCAGACATCCAAAGTAAACCTCTGCTTTCCTGCTCTTCTCAGGAACGGCAGGTATGGTCTATTTGGAGAAAAAAAAAAGGTGAATATGTCTCTCTTGGTTCGACCACACCAACTCACACGGCGCTGACCTACCAGATCAGGCATCTTGCTTTGGAAGTTCTTCATAACGCTTGGCTGTAGAGATGTAAATGTGGGCACTTTTATCTGCAGAGCGGCACATGTTGCATTCATTCATCATTTCCATGTCCATTAATCATCTACTACAGAGGTCTGTGACCCCTAGGGAGTCTGCGAAGGTACTCGAGGGGGAGGGTTCTGAAATTTGTGGTTGATTTGACTGCTTTGATAATTTTCCCAAACAAATTTATCTCCATTTATTAATTTTTTTCCACATTGATGTTAAAATATAGGTGTCTATCAATGTAACATGTCAGCTGTCCAATAATTAATTTTTGCATTGATTTTAGTTGATAAGTAAAATTTAGTATACAGTAGATCATTGTTTCCCAAAGACGGGGTAGCGACCCTCAGTTGGGTCGCAAGAGATTTTTTTGGGTCGTCTCGCATCATGTTTACCAGGAGTTTACGAATAATGTCTATTGACTTGGGTCGCAAAGGTTTGAGAGTTTTAAAATATGGGTCTCCAGAAAAAAGTTTGGGAAACACTGCAGTGGTGACTGTTGATAGGACACCCGACCCTAAATGTTCTGTTGAAATAAAAACAATGACTGTAAAATAACACTACGCACTGGGCTCAGTTTAAAAAAAAATTTTTTCCATCAATTTTGGAGCTGCACTGGGCTCAGTTTAAAAAAAAATTTCCATCAATTTTGGAGCGCTTTGGCCTGAAAATTGTGAAGGACCCCTGATCTAGTAGTTCAAACAGACCTCCCGGCCCTGTGTATGAGCCGAGTGAGATTACTACTGTGTAAAAGTTGGAGGTGTCACAGCCAGTGTTATTTCCCACAGTCCTAGTGTCTCATCTGGCGCCTCTCTCTGCTCCAACACCCCACCCAGCGCTAACTGTCACACTTGGCCACTTCCTGATGTGAGACTGCAGCACTGTGAATTAATGTTATTGCTCTATGAGGTGACTGTGGGTCCCCCAGCCCCAGTCGCTCCAGCCTCAAAGGACACAACACAGGTGCAAGTCACATTCAAGTGTATTCACTGCTGTGTCCTTCAAAGGCAGCGGCACAACAGTGTGTTTGCCAATACACTACACATCAGTGCACCGCTAATCACTAATACAACAGCACTGGAGTGACTGCAGCTGAACAATGCTGCATGAAAAAGGAGTTTCTAAGCATTTTTCACCTGACAAGGAGACATTTTTGTCTATAAATTGTACTTCATTCGTAGATCATCGATCATCAAACTCTAATAGTAAAATGATTTTCTAATGGTAAAACAGTTTTTAAAGTTATTGTTATAATTTAGCTATTGTTCAGCTAACTTCTAGCATGAATGAATGAATGTATCTCCTTCTTGACCAAAATATTGTTTTTGTTTTGTTTTTGTCCTCTTTTTTACTCTAAGATATTTTTAAATGTATTTCTGGATTATTTTGTAGGATTCTTTTGGGAAAATATCAACTGCTATGTTTTGGCTAATTCTCTCTTAAGCTCCTTTTCATCCTCCTTAGCTTTAACTGATAAACAAAATTAGGGGTTAATTTTTAACACCATTTGAGTGGAGACATTCGTATGTCATTTTCAAGAGTAAATTTGAAATATTCTATAGACGTTTCTTCCATCGACACCACCCTTCGCCTATTTTAGAGCACTCTGGTCGGTGCTATAGGTGCCCCTGAACCTTGGACCAACATCCTGATGATGTCAGGACTGTGCGGCAGCGGTGAATCTGAGTTGTCACCTCAAAGCTGCAGTGAGTAATGCCCTGACCGCTCTTGTCTGACCACTGTTTGCCTTCTGCAGCTCGCCCTCCACTCAGGCTCTACCTCTGTTTGCTCAGGCCCAGTTTGACACAGGGGTGAGAGAAAAATGAGTCCTGCATGCTTGTCTGTATATGCTCATCTCAGCACCTGAGCATAACCTCATCCTTTTCTTCATCTGTTTTCCAACGTCTACCCTCCACTCATCTCTGCTGCCATAGTAGCAGAAAAACATCAATATCCTTCTGATAAACTTCTGGGAAGTTCTTCATTATAAGTGAAGGTGATGTGTAGCTGATATCAGTTCCAGTTAATATGATGAAGTAGATAAAAAAAAAAAGAGTTGCAGTTTTAAGGGGCAGCTGGGTGACGGTGGCTCCAGGTGTGTTTGCCCCTCTCTGCGTCTGTTAAGTGGGATTACTGCCCCTGTGGTTTTGACACTAACCTTAGGAAACATTTGCTCAACAGCATCCTTCTCCTGCCTCTCCCCGGAATCAGATCCAATCTCCATTGACCTACACACACACACACACACAAATACACAAACAAACATGGGTCAATCATGTTTCAAACTGAACTGATTCAGAATTCAAGAAAGATACAGTATGTCCAAACTCTGGCCCCAGGGACAGAGATGGCCAAACCTTATTGTATGATGTTGGGCTTTTGTTGCCAACAGTTTTTGTTTTGTTTTTTTACTCTTTTTTTTCTCTCTAAACATTTAGCCATTTATAGATTCTTCTATTTCTTCTACAATCTGTAATCCTCCATTTTATTGATTTTGGCTAACCTTTAGCTATTTAGCTAAATGTTCTTATACCTATAACTTGTGGGACTGTTAGCTCTCCTTGTGTAACTTTGTGGTGTGCTGTTGATATTTACTATTTAGCTAAACTTCATCAAAGTAAGTCATAGTTAAGTTCATATTTTAGATATATTTTGCTTAAATTTTAATCAGTCTAAATTTTGTGTTGTTTTTAAAAAACCGCTGACATCAAAGTATAACCACTAGCTAACAGCTATTTTAGCATTTACTTCTAGACTTCCTGTTTTCAGTATGACCTTGAAGTATTCTCTTAAATTGTAGTATTTTCTGCAACGTATTCTGCACCAATAAAATCACTCTCCAAAAACCAATGTTAAAATGCAGTCGCAGTACAACTGTATCTCCGGCCTACAGTGTCACGGGTTGGCCTGTAGTCTTTTTACACCACCAAATCTGACCTCCTGTGTTAAAAGTCTGCACACCCCTCCTTTAACATGCGCTTTAGAGTATACACTATATTCCTAATGATGTGCTACTTCACGAGTGCAGCCATATCATAGTCCTGCTCACACCCGATAACACTGCGCACCGGGGTGACAACACACTTTGTCTGCTGGGTGCAAACTGGCTGCAAGGAGAACTTTTGAGCAGGGCAGCGTTTACTCACAGGACAGTGCAGCAGGTCGCAGACCTATACAAAGCCCATACCCCGTACACCGGACACAGGTGTAGGGACGAGGATGTGAACAGGTGTATCATATATTCATAACGTCAGTGCCGACGTGGTACTGTAGGGAAGATGAAAGCAGGTAAATAAATATAAATATCAAACTCTCTGTTGCTTACTGAAGTCTCGCCTGGTTGACTTCAACACCAGGAGACGTCGCTGCTCTGTCCTCTGTGCTCGTTTTCCACTCATTGAGGTCAAATTATAGAAATAGAAATGGTATGTTCTGGAACATTTAATTTTGCCGATGTGTACTGAAGACTTGTGAAATTCAACGAGTCAACGTGACTGTGACCAGATGGCCACAAATATGGAAAATCGCTGGCTCAACTGTCCAATAAATCACAGCAGCTAATAATGAATCTATTAATAGCCACGTGGAAGGACAGATTGGATGAATCTGCTCACTGCTTAAATAAAAACCAAGCACTTTGTCAAGACCATATTTCGTCCCGAGCTGTAATTGCTTTTATTTTGAGTATTTCTCACGGAGGCGAGGAATGTGCCCATGGCACAGGATGGGTTGGGCGTGCGGTTGGAGGGGGCAGCGACGGGGGGAGGTGGAGTTGGTCAGGGCGCTGTCTCCATGTTTGTCTGTGCAGCGGTGAGATTTCACACCAATGGAAGACTTGTCAGTGCAGGCCTTCGCTCCACTTCTTACCCTGCTCCTAATATCCCCCAGGCCAATGGGCACTTTCTGAGTCTCAGCCTCGTACTAACATCATACATGCTGCTACTAAACAGAGTTCAAGCCTAATTAACAGCATGGCACCGTTCTGTTATACATTCACAGCATGTAAACACAAGAGGCAGAGAGGAGAGAAAGAACGAGCGGTAACAGTGGATCAGGTGAAAATCTGAGTGCAGTCTGATTCTCAACAGTTCAGGTCTCTGAGTGGTTTGACCATCTGTAAACCCCTGTTACAGTATTTTTGGTCAAAACTCACCCTTTGAGAAACACTGTATGAATGGAACAGGCGGTGAATCAGAAAATGAATGAATGCATTTTATCTTATATTTCAAAATAATTTACAGACTGCTTCAATGTGCTAAAAGGCAGAATTAATAAACACTAATAATTAAAGTGAGGTTAAAAGAAACAGACAGGCGGCGCGAGTGTAAACACTCATTTACACGTTGGACAACAATCAAACTGGGTGATTTAGTAAAGTCAGCTGGAGTTAAATCAGAATGACTTTTAAAGTTCCTTCAAAGTGAAACCACGGCTCAGCTCAAACGGCCACTCAGATCATCTGAGCCACTCTTGGTAAATGGACCACTGTTTGCCTGGAAGCCAATAAAGATTTAAAAGAGGAGAAACTCTCCAAACAATTCAACATGTGCTCAGGGCCGCTGGCATGAAGTGACACCAGCGGCCCAATTGCTGCATGTCTTTTGAGGGGGACATAATTACAACATTTTCCCCTGGATGATGTTTGCGAGAGTGAGAGCCACTGTCTGAGGAGCAGGAGGAGCAGCAGGAGAAGGAGGAGCATGAGGGTCTGCACAACACAGGAGTCAGATTGTGTTTGACCATCTCACTTCTACGTGAGTAATCAGATCTGTGCTGCGGGAGGCTCCCCGCTAAACAAGCCTCCAGTCTGTGTTTGCACTTAAAGGTTAGCGCAAACAAAGAGCTGGAGGAAGAAGAGGGATGTTTGGAGCGAAGGCTTCTGCAGCTGCGGACCAGCTCTCTTCTAGCTCAACAACAATATTAGCTTTAGATCAGGGGCCCTGACCTCATTAATGCTGGAATCATCCAATCATGTAAAAATATCTGAGGGGGATTTTTACTTCTGCCAGTCTTGGTAGTGAATTAAGTAAAAGGTTTCTTTTTTTGAACATTTTCATCGTAGTAAAGAGACCTTTAGTTTATCAGTTTTTGACAGATTTGTAAAAATTTTGTAGTATTTTTAGTTATTGGAAGAAATATCAAGGAAACCTGGACTAACAAGTAGACAAGAATAAACAGAAGAAAAAATGATTTCAAATATATAAAGCACAGTCAAAACATAGCTGGAACAAAAACAATCTTAAGTCAAAGTTAACAAAAAGGTGGGAAATATTAAACTGACATTATTATTGGTAGGTTTACACCAGAGATTAGGAGCAAATAGTTAAATGTTGGCCAATTGAAAAATGAGCAGGGGGATAATTATTTCACCACTCCAGCTACAGCTACTGTACTCAGCTCGTTTTTAAAATCACAGCTTGGGTTGTTAACACTAGTAGTAGTTTAGTTGCTGAGGACCTGGAGTAGCAAACGTCATCCTCGTCTCCTGCTGTGGGGGGGACTGACTCTGGTTCAGCTGCACACTTGCTCCGCATCACTGTAAAGTCAAAACAAAAAAAGTTTTCTTCGAAGGTAAATGAACAAAACCAGATGGTGGTGCTCTTTCCCACCATCTCAGTGGTGTTTCTAAGCAGCAGAAGGAAACGTAACTCTTTTCTCTAACCGTCTTCAGACTCCTCTGAAGCTGCGACGGCCGACTGCTGTAGTCCAGGCTGCAGTGAAAGTCCTGGATGTCACGGTGGGTTTTCAGACGTCCAAGCTCAACCAGCTGCTTCTGCAGGTCAAAGATCTCACAGAAAGAAGACGGAGAGACAAGGGTGTCACAGTGATGTCCCACTGAATATGAATGAATATTTATTTTATTGACCAGCAATGCAGACAATGTTTTTTCGATGCTCCTCCATTTACAAACTACTCTTAAAAAATACTTAATTCAAAGTTTAAGTTTTAAAATGTATCAGCACAGGTGCTTCTGACATGACAATCCCTCTCTCCTTATATGTGATGCTGTGTCATAGATATTTACTCTTATTTTAAATAAGAAACCTGTGTTTTAGTTTTATCGTGTTTGCTGTTTCACGTTGATTATTGTTGTGGGATTATAATCCAGATTTAAAAATCTTACGCTTACTTCATACTTAAAGTAAGTATAAAGTCTTCTGATAAACCATGTAAAGTTACAGAAAACTTTCTTGGTCTATAATAGTCACTATATTCCATACATTTAAGGAAATATTTACTGATTATTTTATTTTTTATCTTAGATATAGTTTTATTTACATGGCAAAAGTTCCTGGAACAAAACAAACTACACATAGAAAAATTAAAGTTCAAACTGAAGAAACAAAAAAAGTGATAAAATCAAAACATTCTTCAACAGAGTAAACATTTAAGATTTTGTTAAAATTCATGCAAAATGGTGGATTATTGGTTTTCCATCAAAATACTTTGTTTCCTAATGAGACAAACTCATTAAAGACAAAATGTTTGTAAATAAAAAATATCTATAACATCATTGTTTCACTTTTGAAACAAATGGTATTTTAGCAAGAATTTTCAGATTTCTTTTTTATATCCGCTGTAAATGAAATGTCAGGTGTCATACTGTCTCGTTGGGGGTAATGATCCCTGCAGCGCAGGGACGAGAGCTACCTGGTAATAGCAGGTTTTGGGGACAGACTGGAGGTATGAGTCATTGTGTTGCAGCCTGGAGAAGACCTTCTTCCTTTGTCTCTGAGCACAGAAGAAAAGAGAAGGAGACAGACGGACTGTAAAAGTGGAAATAAGGATTTAAAGTGAGCCTCGCTTGTTCCAGGGGCTGGGAAACAGAGCACATACAACAAATGAGAAGTAAACATATAGCCACAGGAAGTCATTCAACTGCAGCAAGGACCAATTAGGCCCCAGCAGGTGTTCCTGCCTCTGCCTGCTTTGGTCCTGTCTCTGCTGCTCACAGAGCACAGAGTCCCTCCATCTGAGAGCAGGGAATTTGCTTAGCAATTTGAAGCAAAGGATTTCTACTGGAGGGCCTCTAAAGTCCTTTATTGTCCTGTCTTTGTCCTCGCGGCCCAAGTGCAAGTCATTAGAGGAGACAATTACATCCTCCTGGAGAAGCCGGGTTTTTACAGGAGGGGAAGATAAGACAGGATCTCTCTCATGTTAGACCCCCTCCATGCAGCCGCTCTCTGAAGCTTATTGCTCTTTTCACACCCACGTAGAACAGAGACGGGACAGTCAAAATCAAAGTCAATCACAGAGTGGAAGAGCATTTCATACATCACCGGGCTTTCATTTGGGAGGAAATTAATACTTAAGGATTGTCAGTCTGTCACCTTATTGTTACGTTGATGCTTCATTTACGGGTAGGAATTTACTGAGAAACCAAAGAGTTATAAAAAAAAGAAAATCCCTCAGTCCACTGAAATGGTTCGTCTGCCAATCAGCAGATGTTTCTCACTGTCTACCTTTCCTTTTTCGTGCAAGAAATTGGATGTTTATAGGTGTGAATTAAAGTTAATTATTTTGATTTTTTTTAAATTAGCTATTTATGCCATGTACTTAAAGTCATGATCTAAACAAGGTGGGGCATTTTTACCCCCAGTGGTCTGCATTTTTGGGAGAACAACTATTAGGTACTATTTGGTATTTGTCTTGGTATTGAAACAATTACTTATTTACTGCAAGTAACATGTCTTAACAATTAAATACCCAGCCACTAGGTGGCAGCAGATTATATAAAACTTTTTTTTTTTTTTAAGAAAAGACAGACTCGTGTCCTTCTTCAACGCCTGAATTTCCACGCCCGGGAATGCTCAACAGATTTCATTACATTTACTTTTTGGGGCTTTTGTTGGATGTGGGCCATTTGATTTTTTTTTTGTAAAATATGTGATGGGGCTCAAGAAAGGTTGTGAAGCATTGATCTGGAGGGTTGTTTGATCTAAACCAGACTTGGTGGTGACGTGTAAGTAGATTGTAAAACCTTGTGTAAAAGTGCTTTCAGTGGTCGTCAGGTCTAGAAAACTGCTACAAAACTACATTTTGTAAATAATACACCAAAAAAAATTACTTACGGTTTGGTTTGGGTTTGAAGGGTTCTTTTAGCATAGTCAAAATTAAAAGACATGTTAAAAAATAATAATTGTGAAATTATGATTGACCAGGGCCTTACGATGTAGTTCATAGCACCCCCGTAGGCGAAAGAGGGGTAATCGTTGTGTACTGTACTTAAATAGCCAAGGAGGGGGGGTTTATGTGTCATCCTCTACTTTTGCAAGACGGTCTGGAGTTGAGACGTCTGTCCTGTCAGATTACATTCTGTTTGTCACACGATCCTCGAAACACGATCAGATGTTTGGAGCAGCAGGTTAAAGTTTGACAATGGCCCCCCCATACAATAGTCGTTAATGAAGTCACTGCAATCATCGGGGTTTTGATTGTGCTGCCAGTGTAAAGACTCACAGAGTTAAATTCCACAACTGCGTCAAGATCACGTCACTTCAAGGTGAAACAATGGAGAGGAGAGGATTGATGTCAGAGCAGAGAGGCTTAGGTTTTTCAGATCAGATGAGGTTCAAGTGCCTGGAGACAATGGTCCTTTGACCAACTGAATTCACTGCTTACTGTCAGGATACTCAGCATAACACCATTTGATTTCTCTCCTAAAAAAAAAATAAATAAATAAAAAATACAAAAACTAGATAGATAGCAGGTCTGAAGAGGGCAAATCATTTTTTACAGTCCAAAAAGAAGAGTGAAGAATTATAGAAAACATTTCATCAAACCCTGAAATGAATTATTTGTCTAAAAACTGAGTAGAAGAGTTATTTCAAGACTGGGTTAAAATGAAAAGAAAAAACAAATATCATTAAAAACATCCAAAGAGAATTACATATAATCATGGAAACATTATTTTTTAAGGATAATGATTTTGTTTGGGGCAGGATGATTTTAAATTTCTTCTTTGGAGATGGTTGCATGTTTTCAGGGTCTTCAGGAGAACGGTTAGTAAACAGTGGTTCAGGATGACGTGAGCAGGATTGATGGGAAAAGAAAGGAGCATATTAGAGGGTTGGTGTCAAAGTAGAGAAGGCAAGAGTTAAGGAGAGACAAAGCCTGACGATCCACCGAGGAAGGAAAAGTTAAACTAAACCAAGAGCACTGACTCTGGTCTCTGACGTTGTTCTCTGAACTATTAGCAACAATAAAAATAAATAAGTAAATACTTCATTCATGTACATCATCACACAAAACCTACGAAGGCAAACTTTTGCTATGGCGACCCCTAAAGACAAAGGCTAGAAATGGCAGTAAAAAGTAGGGAGTGAGAACCTAAATTTTAATTTAATTTATTTTTTTTCATCACCCATCTACATAGTGTCTTTTTAATTAACGTTTTAATTGATAAATTGATCAATTACATTTAGGTTGTTTTTTATTTTTAATTAACGTTTTAATTGATAAATAAAATAAAATAATACAGATTAGATGTTGATGTATTGGTGTGGCGCCCCCTAAAGGCAACAGCTGAAAAAGTTGAAATGAAAAGAGGAGTATTACATTTAGGTTGTTTTTTTGTGCAATATACATGGCATTCACATTTTAATTTATTTTATTAATATGTCTTGATTTCCTGGTTTATTTATTCAACCTCTGTGCACGTGCTCTGCTTGGAGTGATTTTATTCCTGTGAACAGACACATGAGGGAATAATGGGGTCTGAACAGAATCCTAGACATATGTACAATTCAAATAATTTAATGTAAAATTTTAAGTTGTTTTGGCTTTGTTTAATTTCCATATTATACATTTGTATGTTTTTTGTTTTTTTGTTTGTTTGTTTGTCTATCTGGCCTCTCACTACAGGGAACAGATAAATGTCGCACCTGTTTGAATTCTTCCTCGGAGTCTCCCTGTTCCCCTCTTTTCGTGTCCTCCCTCTGCTTCAGTGTTAATCTCTGTGTGTGGACTTTCTGTTTGAGCAGAGCAGTGTAGCGGTGACAGAGAGCCTCTCTCAGACGCTGAAGGTCCCTGTAGGTCTCTAGATGGCGCTGTAGGATAGACAAAGACGATGAAGGCTGTTAAGAAAGGCCTGTGTGGAGGACACACAAAGAACGTTTAGATTCCTGATCAGGGATTCTTTGAAGTGGTAATGAAAGGACAGGAAGTTGAAGTGAGTCTGAAGTTAAAGGGGGTTTAATCTCAGCGTGACTTTTGATTTGAAATAAAGGGTGAATCCAAACATTCACTAACCTCCTCTAACAGAGTGAGATGTGTCCCCACCTCCTCTTGGTCCTGTCTGAAGACTCTGTCCTTCACCATCTTTTTCTTCCACAGCTTGACATTGACTGTGTTCTCCGTCTATTGAGCGAAATATATACAGAAAAAAAAGGGTTTTGATGATGTAATTTTTTTCCTTTTTTCTTCAGTTTTTCTTGAAAGAACTCGAAAGACTCGAAAGAGTTAGCCACAAAAGCTTAAGCCACGTATTTAATCAAAATGCCAAGGGTCAACAGAAGTTGAATTAAAGATAGTTATGATGATAACATTCAGCAAAAATACTTTGAGGTGAGTTAAAAAGAAAAGCTTATTTCAAACACTAGCAAAAAAGAAAGATTCTGAAGCTATGCCAAGGCAAAATATAAAAAGAAAATGTGTGCCTGTTTTTCTTTTAAAACTTGACAGACACTTCTTTTGTAACGTTTTGCACATATTATTGCTCGCAAAGGGTGAACCTTTGATCCATGCTCTCAAATCTGTCACTAAATAACTTTGAATTTCACTTATCTCTCCCATCTTACAGATAAACCGTGGAGTACGCCTGTCGTTATAACCCTCTGCTGAAGACTCAAACTGCTCTGGCTCTGATGGAGTGACCATGGTCTTTGTGAGGTCATCATGTCTCTGGGAAATGTCTCATTGCTAACAGGCCTTCCGACGAATGCTCACATCACTGAAGTTTATGGGCCGAGCCTGTTCAGGAAGTGTCTGTTTGGTCTCTGCCTCACAAAAGCTGCCGCAGAGGCAGGATTTATCAGTTCCGTTGCCACGGTGATGCCGTCTGGGCATGGCTGAGGGACCTGCATTTCTCACTCCTCACTGTTCGGTGACGAGCCGGAGGCCGCATCCATCTGAGCCTGCTGCCACCATCATTTAGGGCAGGATAATGCTGCTGTCCTGCTGGACCACGTCACTCTGACGGACAGTGATCCTGAGACTACAGTGATCTGGACACAGGGCTGTACTTACAGCTGATTTCACACACGAGTGTAAACAGAAACAGTGGGCAACGGAGAGAGCTACTGTTATGACCTGATAATGTCACATGGAGAGGGAGGTATGTTTAGGTCAGGGGTCTCCAACCTTTTGTTCTACATAAACACAAAAAAAATGGCTGAGAGCTACTCATGTTGTGTAAACAAACAAATGAAATAAGCTTTGCTTTACAATATGTTACAGTCCACATATCACATTTTTTTAAAAACATCACCAAATTATTATTATTATTATTATTGCTGTTGTTGCGGTTGTTGCTGTTGTTGCTGTTGCTTGGATGCGTGGTTGTCCAGGCCGAGTATTGTTTCTCAATTTTGACTAAATAAGCTGTTTTTATTGTTTGTATTTTTAATAACTAAACCGACTGAACTCTACAAGTCCTTGCCAACTGTCTTGACAGATAAACGCAGTATTCACGCTGTGCAGTAGCGACCTTAGCTTTAGCTACGCAGATAATAAACAGTAGCATAGTGATTAAAGGTTGGATTAAAAAAATAAAAAAAGATATCAATCATTTATATCAAACTATTAAAAGGTTTGGTTTTAGCTGCACCAACAACAAGTTCTGGCCAAAAATGTGTCTGCACGTCCGGCCCTCTGCTGACAAAAGGGAGCAATTGCGCTTACCAACGCTTTGGCGTAAAACCCATTCATTATTCACAGCAATTTCTTTTTACTTTTGTGATTAGTTTGTGTATTTCTTATTTTACTTATTTTAATGTATAACGATGTATTTCAATGCTAAACCACCAACACAATAGGCTAAACATTGCCACAAATTGACTTTAATTAACGTAAAAATGTTTAAATGTTTTTTTTACGTTAATGTTTAAATTCACCTCGCATTCCAACTTGAAACCTTCCTGAGAACAGACTTCCATAAATTAAATGAGAAGAGTTACGGTATTATATTCACAGCTCTAATTTAACTCTCATTTTGACCATAATAAATACCAGAGCCCAAGCACAACAAACAACAAGAGCACAGCTGCAGTGACACAACAGCAGAGGGTTGTGTAACTTTCAACCACTAAGTCCTGCTGATCATTTTTAGAACCCAACAGGTCCTGGTACAAATGGCACTGGCCCAGCATGATGTCAGCCTGCAGCCTCTGCAGCAACCACAATAAAACCAGTTTGTGATAACCAGGCTGGGAGGGGTCTGCTCAGGACAATGTTGTGTATTCTAGCAACTTGTTTGTTCACTCACACGGAAAAAGAAATGACATGTTGTGTGCTGTGCAAGGCTGTGAGTGTACAAACATTTCCAAAGAGCAAGCAATAAAGCTGATAACAATTAAAACTAAATCGCTTTTCTACTAAAGGTTAGTCCTCCTTGGACTTAGGAAGAAAAATGATAACATTGGCAAAATAGCACATGGCATGAATAACATAAATACATTTAAATATAAAATTATAAATAATAATAAAGTTTTTAATATAGTTAAATAAAATATTATTATTGTTTCTTCAAATACAATTTGCCAGCTGATCATAACTGTAGTTTATTTCTTTCCTAAAAAAAAACAGAAGAACAGTCAGAATAGTGTCTTTCCGTCTTCAGGACATTTGTCTGCAGCCAGATGAGAAGAAGATGAACTGGACTGATGAAGATCTTAACCCTCACCCTTAGATCTCATGACAAACACACACCTGAAACTTTCCTCACTAGGAATCGAATTAAACATCAAATTCCTACATCGAACCAAACCCATTTGTCACACCTGAGGATATGAATGCACATAAATCTCCAGAAGGTTCTTACCGGTTGTTGCGCGCTGACTTTTTAAACGGTCTTTAACACTTACATTCCTCTGTCCTCATTGTTATTAAGCTTTTGAAGTGAACGGCAGAGGCAAACTTTGGTCTCCAAGCTACAGTGAACAATACGTGAGGTAGCGCTCTCTGCAGCAAACACACTTTTAACGGTGTTTGTGAGACTGAAGGGAGACAGATTTTGTCTCCAAGGCTTTCATGTGGCTGCCGTTTCCTTCAAAGTGCTTTAATGGTGGGTGCCATAAACTGTTGGCAGCTCAAGGGAAACAACAAGGAATCCAGGAGCACAGTTTCCCTCTTAATTTCCCTGTGTTTGGTTAATTTTGTGATGTATTTCAAGTGGTTGGCTCTGATGAGTAATGCAGGGATCACTGAGTCAATCAATCAATCAATCAAGTGGAAACACCTGATGGACAACTGTTCCTCATAGGAGAGAGTCAACATAAGGAACTCATGCAGGAACTCATGCATTGCATTGAATTTTAAAATATCAACGACTAAAGAACACCTTTTAATCAAACTATTACAAGGTTCCTTAAGAGTCTAAAGCCAGGTTAAGGAAAAAAAGTTAGCCACGAAAGCTTAAGTCAAGTATTTAACTAAAATGCTAAGGGTTAACAGAAGATGAATTAAAGATTGATATGATGATAACACTCAGCAACAATAATTCTAGGTTAGTTAACCTTTAACGTTAGTTAAAATAGATAAAACACAGACAACAGGAGCAGTGGTGGCTTAGCAGTTAAGGAAGCAGACCTGGGTCCACCTGCTGCCAAGTTACCACTGAGGTCCTCGGAGCATGGCAGTGGGTGTTTAAAGCTGCCCACTGTTTACTTTGGTGATGGGTTAAAAGCAGAGGTCACATTTGGTTGTGTGCTGTGTCACAATGACAAGTAGTTCACTAACAAAAGATTCTGAAGCTATGATTAAAAAAAGGGAAATGATCCAATATGACACAGACCCCAGTATAAAGGCATGACATAAATGTCTGCAGAAATGGTAAAGTTCTGTACACTAACTGTATAGATCTGTATTAAGCAGAGAGCCCATGTGACCAAAAAAACAAACAAAAAAAAACAAACACAGAGTTGCACCTGGTTCATTCAGACTGTGCAGATCATCCCCTCTTAACAGGAAATCTAAGAAGCTGAAAAGACTAAAGCCCAAATGGCCTCAGGTAACAGCAGTGGCGACAAAGAGCCTTTATGATACAGTCACGGAAAAAAAGCCTGAAAAGAAATCTAAATGAGTGCAAATCACTATCATGTAACAGAATTAGTACAAAGACACGGCATAAACCAGCCAGGACTGAAGGAAGGAGTAGGAAAAAAACTGTTTACTTGAGCAGCGTAAAACCATCAGCTGATACAAATATTAGGAGGTGTTAAATACTGTACATCAGTGACTACAAAACCTCTCATCAGAGGAGAATAAACACAGAATCAAGTTTGGTTTGAGCAGCATCAGGAGCACAGAAAGACAGCCCTGTTGTTGACAGCGCATTGTTCTCCAACACAAAGGAGCAGTTTTTACATCCTTTTTACACACAGCACTCCGCCATTACACAGGCGTCCAGACTGAAAACAAACACCATGTGCAAAGGAGAAGGGCATGAAGGTGATCTATTCAAACTTCAACACAAACTGGAAAGGCATCAGACCCAGAAAACCAGCCTGTGAAATAAAGTACACCTGCAGGGGTCAGACTGAGGCCTGACGAGGACCTGGACCCACGGAGGAGAGAAGACAAGCAGCACATCAGATTTACAATTGTCTGAAATCATCATTCTTCATCCAATCAAATTCACTTTTTACAATTTAAAGATTGTGATGTTCGTTTATAGAATCAAACAGAATGACAGCCCTTCCAAAGACCTTGAACCAAATCTGCTCACAATGGCAATTATTTATTTTAAACCATTAACCCTGTGTGGTACAAATTATTACACAGTACAAAACAAAAATGCAATTTAGACTGATTAAACATAATGTTGATAAATGGGATAGATTTTTTTATTAGTTTTCTGTAGGTACCATTGTACCATAGTGGCCCATATGTTTAAAATGTAACACCATTGTTTTCCTAAATTAAAACTCAATACCGCCATCAGGTTACAGTACATGGCATTTTAAATATGAATGCATTATAAAAGAAAATTGTTTAAAATGGTTTCTTTACTGAATGTTGTGGAACGCTCCATTGAAATGAATGGAATTCTTGAAAATGTACAGCATCTACCTGTAAACAACCATAAACCTGACCATGTGTAAAACAAGGAATGGCTGTCGAATACCTGTGTTTATCTGTGATCTTGTTTTACTAGACAGAAAATAACAGCATGGAATATTTTTAACAACATTTTTGCAGAGCAAAATTTCACAGCTGCTTTCCTTATTTTACGTTTCAGTTAGCTTTCCTTCAGGTCACCAACAACACCATCATTTTAAGGTAAGCGGTGTGGAGATGTGACAGGTCAAAAGCGAGTTAGGCAACACGGTACCAGAGAGGGTTAGCACGCCCCCTGTGGTGAGGCTCACTTGTTCATGACAGCTGAGTCCATTTTTTTTTTCATTTAGAGTTCATGGAAACACATCCACACGGTGTCAGCAGCCCTTCAGCTGCGACAGGGCAGAAAGTTTCTCCACTTTCCCCAGAGCTGCAGCGTTCTCCACGCCTTTCAGCCACTCTTTACATTTCCTCACGACCGTCTCATCCACGTCTCCGTCCTCCTCCTCGTACTCTACGTCATCGTACTTGTACTGATCATTCAGCAGAGATATTTTGACGATGGCACTGATGTCCTGCTCGGCGCTCTCCGCCTTGGAGACGGCGGCACAGGCCTTGGATCCACCGTGCGTCTTCTTGGACGGGAAAAGTCGCCGCTGCCGAAAGTCCGCGGTGGCGCAGCACTTCTGCTGCTTCGCCATCATCTGTTTCTCCAGGTTGCGTTTTTGGATGACGAGGATGGCCTCGGGGGTGAGGCTGAGGGTGAAATGAATCTCCTTTTGACTTCCCTCTTTGTCCTGCAGGTGCCTGGAGGAGTCCATGGAGCTGGAGCGCCGGACTCCGTCAGAAGAGTCCTGAGGTTTTGGCACCGTCAGCCGGGAACACTTCCCCTGAGTCTCCTGAGCTTGGCTCCTACTCTTCTCTGGTTGCGCATGCTTGCGTCCTAAATTCTTCAAGTTCGCTGATGTCCAGGAAGTAGACTGCTTCTCCATGTCGGACTCTGTGCAGGATCTGCTGGTGAGCTCAGGCTGAGGTGCAGAAGGCACTGAAGATTTCTTCTTCCCGAATAAGTCCCTGCCAGGAGAGGAAATCCTCTGGGGGAGGCTGATGGGAGGAAAAGGCATTTCTCTCGAAGGAGGAACTGTTTAAGATACAAAAACGTGCAAGTGGTCAAAGTGCAGATGCCGAAGATGTCGTGCGCCGAGCGGAACGGTGCGCTCTGAGCTCATGTTCCGGTGGCTGCAGTTCACCCGCTGCCCACACGGACCAGGGTGAGAGTGTGTCCTCCCGCAGAGACGGTCGTCTATATAAGGGCGCAGGCAGGGAGGCGTGGTCAGCACCAGAACCAAACAAAGCCATGGAAAAGACTGTGAGTGACGTCACGCAGTCGTCTGTCATCCGATCACTGTGCTGAGATGAGCAGCATCACCGACCCTCGTCTTTTCTCACTACGGCTCTGCTCTTCCCACTCACTCTAACACTCCTCTTACTCAACCAGAAAAGCTCATCATCATCATCATCATCATCATCATCATCATCATCATCATCATCATCTTCTTGTTCTTGTTCTTCTTCTACTGTGACATGGTAACAGTTGGACAACCAGTGTGACGTTGCCTGGTTTGATGACGACTGAATCACTTTGACACAATTACTTTAAAAACGTGAAAAAAAAATCTTAAAAGATCCTGGCACAGCTGTCATGTGAATTTATATTTGAAGTTTCTACAAATATTCAGCGAGTTGTGCCTTTAAATGTAACCAATATTACTGGTCTCATTATCCTAGAGTAATATTATCCTGTAGTATTATTTACCAATAGTACTGGTAAACTGGCTTCACAGAAAAGTTAGCTCTGTGCTATATTAAGGCTGTTAGCCAAGGCGTATTCCAGGCATTTCTTAACTTCTAGCTATCTTTGATCTTTCAGTAAACATCCTGCAACATTTTGGCTACTTGGCTATCTTTTATTATTATTAGCTAATTATTGAGATATTCCATTCAATTTTAAGCATTTGTATTTGACCATGGTCTTTCCTTCCAAGTTGGACTATTTTTGGATATTAAATATTGATAGGTTTCCTTAAATGTTGATGTATCATAAGTGTGGAAACATTTTTTAAATTTATTTATTTTTAATCTTCATTAAAACTCTGCCCTCTTGAGGACAAACCTGGGTTACATTGTGAACATTAACATGCTCATTTACATGCGGTGTGGTCACTAGTACTTAAAGAGATTTCTGTCTCGTCCTTGAACCAGTAAAATACATCACAGACACAATGACATGTTCTGTTGCAAGCCTTTCAGTGGCTCAATGAACTGATTGTCCATTGTGGCTCTTTCAGCCTACATATATATGAAAGATCCTGAGGGGAGAACATACAAATGATCTGAATTATTGATTTCTCTTCCTTTTAGCTGTTCTCTGCATTTCACCCAGACAGTGCCACTATTGATTCTGTGCGATTCGGTTTCCCTTTGTTGTAGAGGTCTAAAACAAAATTGATGCTTTCTTCTCAAGTACGGCTGAGATGCTCACATTAAACAGCTATGGGACTGACATCATGGGATTTCAGTTGTACAAAACAATGCTTTATTTTACTCTATCTGCTCCTGTTCATGCTCTGAAGTGACTAACAATTGTTGAATATTATAGTCTGAGAAACCAGACCAGTTGAATGTATTGTAAGCTTAATGCTGTGCAACAGTGTGCATGTTAATTAAAAAAAACTTTATAAGGACAATGCATTGACTGTTCCTTTAGGTAAACTGCTGAAATGATAGAAGAAGAAAATCTCCATATTAGACAATTTGAGATTATTTATTTCAGAATTGTTTTATAACTCTGTGCCCCTTTTCAAATAGTTTTTATTCTTAACGATTCCAATGCAACTGGTAGAAGTAAAGTGACACATTATTTACAGGGAACAGAAATCCCATCTGTACTGAGAATGGCACCATCAATACAACGGACAGAAGACTAGTTATAGGGTCGACTATCGTCGAAATGCAGCCCCAACCTAGTACAGAGTTCACCCCATTTTACTCAGTATAATAATTGTTGATTAATATGAACTACTGTTGGTATTTCTACTTTAAAAACACATTTAATTAATATTTAATTAAATACTTTGCTTTAACAGAAGTCAAAGGTGTCTGAACACTGCTGTCCTATATTCAGCTACAAAAAACCCCTAAAAGAATATGTAAACATATTCTACATTTAAGGACTGAATATATGACTAGTACTGTGACTATATGGTATGGAAATACCCATGTCATGAAAGTATATTATTTATTTTAAGCCAGACACGTAGTCTTAGTAAAGACAGTAGGAAAGAAAAACAACCGCTGGTTTGACTAAATGATTTTATCCCTAAGATTACTCAGAGAGGGATTAGCTGTAAGCGAGTTGAACAAGTAGTACTGAAGGGAGATTTTGTCTGTGTTAATCTACCGCCACAAGCATCCACAGGAACTTTGTGGGGGCTGCACCACAGGATGAAAAACACTGTTATTATTTAGTCACAGAGAGCAGAAGAATCCTTGAAGTGTCTGGATGGTGAGTAAGGATTAATCAGGAAAAGACCAATTAACGAAATGTATCTTATTCACAGTCAGGCGTACACTCACGATGGAAGACAATGTGTGCTGTGAAATTAGACCTCCCCCATCGTCTGGATATAATGTGAACATCTGCACCACTGAAAGGGGGTTGGCAATGGGTACAAATCTACTGGATGAGGTTGTCATGACAACCGCATCCTCAAAAGGCAATGCCATCACTCGAGAGGAACATGGAGAACCGGATGTGAGCTATACTGAGCTATTAGGGTCACATTAAAATCACAAAACTCACAGAAGCGTAATAAACTGGGTCACTGTGACATCTACCAGGAGACCACATTTAAATGTTAGAAGTCATTTCAATGCAACCTGATTAGATTTTGGGGCGAATAATGGGAATGGGAGGCAAAGGTGTCAAAACACACATTAAATATACACAGATGAGTTTAATGAGGGAACGCCAAAAGAGAATCAGATCTCAGTTAATTGCAGGAGTGTCTTCAAAGAAAATATCATATATCATCATAAAATGCAAAAAAGCAAAGAGCAAAAACAGTCAGCTCTAACTGTGAGCCCCAGGTCATATAAGACAAAAAGACGCCAATCTAATTGTAAAGAATGTCAGAAGGAATATTACAAAGATTTTGAAGTACTGTGTAATACAACTCTATGATAAAACAGGGTACATACTGTATAAGGTATGTTCTACTAGCAGCAGGCTTAAACTAAGCTTAAGATTCTACAATACTGACCAGTCTATTCATGTCATTATGGTTATGACTAATGAAAGCTAGTAAACTACTACAATCCAGTTTGTTTGAAAACAGAACATAAATTATACAATGAGGTAAAGTCACTGTTTTTTGTGATGGTTTATTTTATATTTCTATAAAATGGACATCGTGTCATTAAGACCACTGACTCCCCGGTAAAATATTGAAGCCTCCTTTTCCCCACAGATTCCCATGTGATCCAAGTGCATCCAAACCATCAGAGCACTTCTGGAATATTTTCCCATGTTCACTTCTGCAACCAGTCTACATACAATTGTATGAAACAAATGAAAATACATGATAAAAGTCATAAATCAGAATAAGTTCATCTTGTGTTTGTTTCAAAAAATGGCCCCTCCCTGCACTGAGGGACACAAATCAACTGAAGAAAAACACAAACATTAGTTAAGTGTGTTAGTATTTCGCATAAACAACTAGTTCAGAATTTTTTTTTCAGAGAAAAAAAAAAGACAGTGGGAAACAGATTATTCTTCACAAACCTGAATGCATCTCTTCAGCTTTCTGGTGTGATGTTCAACCGAGATCTAGCAAGCTTAACAAAACTAACAGCTTATTGGTTTCTGGTCGAGACTGCAATAGTCTGAAGCACTTTGATTTGAGTTTGTTTAGAGGGGATACAACCTGGCTCAACTAGTTTGCTTACTAACAAACTAGGGGCACTTTTAGGTGGAGCTGTGTTTAAAGCACAGTCTCCTGGGGCAGGGGGAACTGCCCCGGGTCAGCCTGAGGCAAATAAAAATAATTTTAATTTTAAATGGTTAAATAAATGTAAATAAAAAGTTAAGATAAAAAAATGACCGCTCTAGTTAAATGCCATTTATAGTTCTGCTCTTATTTTCTTTTGACTTATTTCCATTTGACTTTACTTTTCTTCACTAGGAAAGCAATGCTTTATAGTGTAGATAAGCAGAGGCTTAAAGTTGCCCTGTACACAGTGAGTATGAAGCATTTAGTTGAGTCTGTGTGAATCCTATTTTAGGATGTTCAACAGATCAAAATTTCACCAAAAAAACAAAACAAACTCATGCATGTATGTGTATGTGTATATGTATGTGTGTGGAGGTGGGTGTGTACAAATTGTTAAGGCACTCAGGACGCAGGTCTAAAGCATTAACAACATGATTCCTTGCATTCAAAGGATATACAATACTTGGAAAATAAAGGAATATCTTTAAATATATTAAGCATTAAAGGCACTCATTTCCTGACACATCGAAAGTCTAGCCTGTGTATAAACTGCTACAAACCATCAGATAGTAAGCCATGATTCACAGTACAAAACCGCCACAGCAACAACTCAAAAACACCTCTATAAACAACAGATCTCTGCCTGCATATTTGGACCAGTCTTCCAATGAAACTGTGGTCTCCAGAGTCCTAGTTAAGACAGGTGGTGAAGCATTTCATTACAGCGTCCCTGGAAAAACAAAGGACAAAATGTCAAGACAGGTAATAAAATATAATAAATAAATAAAAGAAAATGGACGACAGATGGATTTTTATTCCGACACCCATTCCTGCAATAAATAAATCAGTCTGGCGCAAAGCTTGGTCATGCATGTACAATATGAAGTGACAAAAAAGGCAATGTAGGTGAAGCAGGCCATGAATAAGTGAGTGTGTTGTGGTGGGGAAGCACCACATGCTCAGAGAGTCAGAGGGTGATGGGGGCTCCCTCTCTTCAATGTCGTCTGAGCTCAAAGATGACGCACTACCAGCCGTTACCAAGGCAACCATAAGAGCGATGCCTACTCTGTTTCAATTCACACCGTTTGCTTGAGTGTGTTGCTATGCAGACTTCACCTTCGTCGCGGTGGAGAAGGTGAGGTAGTTGCCAAGGTTAAAGGGGAAACAACGGGGGGAGTGGCCCAAGGCTGCGTATAGGTCTGGTTTTCACATTTGAGGAGAAAAACAAAGAACAAGGGGATTGATCTTTCTCTCCTGTTGGTATTGCTTTCCTTAGCTTAAATAAATCTCAACTAAACTGATTGATTTCATATTTTCTGTAAGCCTGTCCATTTTTGTTCTATTTTGCAATTTAATGAAAAAACAAATCATCAGTCCCAGAGTTTCTCTGGCAGAGTTCTAGTTAAATATCAAACAATGCCCTGAAGCAGAGTTAGAAAAGCTCATGGAGCAGGTTTTCATTCCCTGGTTTACAGGCAAGAGTTTATAAATAGAAAACTCTTTTGAAATGCATAACAGAATTATTTCTTTGACCACACACCAGGTGACAGAGATAAACAGCAGGAGATTTTCATCCATATCTGTGTGAGATGTTTTTGTAAAGGGGTATTTGATGAAAACACACAGATTGTATTTAAAAACAACAAAATAATAAAAAACATATTAAATGAAAAATGGATTACAATAAGAAGCTTACAAAAAGCCTGGGATAACATGATGACAAAATTAAACGAAAAAAAATGCAAGAACCAAAACAACAACACAGGTGACCCCTGGTGCTTCAGTGGACGGCCTCAGTAACAGCTCTTAGATTGTCATCTCTCCATAGGAATTCAGTTTCTGAATGTGTGAATGGGAAACGTCGTTGTCTGGGCTTTGTACCGCATTAGCATTCGTGTTAGAGGAGGGGGAGCTCGGGGGTGTTTTAGTTCGTCTTTCGCAGCTGTCAGAACGGATTATAAGGTTGCTCAAACACAAAAGGCACTTGTGGGAGCTGCGTGGGGGGTGTTGTCTGAACCTTACACCGTGGCAGTCACAACCCTGCTTACAGCTGGAGACAAAACATCACACCTCAGCCTGGACTCCAGATAAAAACACAGAGGGAGTCCAACATATGAGACCTTTAAGGGAGTGAAGCAGTGGCTGCACTGCTGTCATAACATAAAGATAGAGCAAACAAACAAACAGTGATGTGTAATGATGTCAGTGACCGTCGCTGGACAGTGAAAATGCCAACAGGAATGACAGCGTTACCGAGGGTTTGGTTTCACATCTTTTGTTATGTTTGTAACAACAGCTATGGAATGGCGAAAAAACTTCAATTTTGGTCAGAATTCTGGTCAGAAACCCATTTTAAACAAAACAAAACCCCACTTAGTCGTAGAAAGGAATTAACTTATTTATTATTTGTGGTCTGTTTAGTCTAGTTGATATACTTGCAGGAATTGAAGAAAGACACACATCTCCACCAGTTTTAAGGTTCATTTTTTGAGCATTTTTTAGTCTTATAGCCATCTGCTGCCACCTAGTGGAAGAAGTATAACAATTTTTCTTCTTGTCAATGTCCATTGACAAAAGAAGACAAATTGTTTGTAGTAAATAGATCATAGTTTTTAGACCAACTAAGTAAAATGGCATCATTATTTATTTTTTACATGTTTCTAAAGAAGATGGTTTATTCTGATATATTTTTACTATACTATAAAAAACAATGAGTTCACATAAACCAAAGTAGAAAGAATCAGCAGAAGAAGTTGTTGAGGGAGATGGGATAATTACTTATATTTCTATTTTAATGTAGATTTAATTGTAAATTTCAAACATAAACCTAACAACATTACACAGAGTCAACATCACCCAAATCCAGTGCAACAGGACATGTATTATACATAATGTCACAATGCTTACCTGGCAAATGGAATGTAAGAGATGCTATACCTGAAAGGAAGAAAAAAAAATATCAGCACAACAAAGACTGAAGTATCAAAACCCATTATTGACAATAAGGATGAAGGAAACACGACAATGGAGGGACAAGGGAGCTATTAGCATTACATTAGACAAATCTAATTACAATTACATTACATTAAACTAGTCCACCAGATCAATTACTTTAATTACAGTGCTTGCTGTTTTTATTAACAGGACTTAGTGGGAAAATAACCCAGTGTTAAGGCCTGTAGTGAATATTTTCAGAGTATCTTCAACATTACATCACAAGGGACACAGTCTGATGTCACCTGATCTCACACATAAAATGTGGAATATGCGAGGAATGTGGTCAAGCGGCTGAATTATTAACCACGGCCCAAGCCTGAGAAGGAATGTCATCCTATTAGTTGTCCAGGCAGTGAAACTGTCAGGAAACACATACCTGGTAAATCTGTACCAAAACCATTAAACACTTACCAACCAGGAAGGAACTAAAGACGTTATTGGGAATTTAGGACTGGACACATTAGCTTAAGTGGGTTTCTCCCTTTCATTGTTATGTGGAGAAGCAAATTCATCAGCAACATCATGTGTGTTTGTCCTCAATATACCGCCAATATGAAATGAGGATTATAGGTACATGGGTCAAAGGCTCATTACAGATTCACCCTTCTTCTCTGTATGGGAGTGCACTCTGTTCCTTGTCACTTATGAATCAGTCTGGGGATGTGTGACTTGTGGTTGTCATGGCGATGCCTCTGAGCAAGCAGGCAGAACGGAAGTGTACGTCTGACACGTATGTGTGAAAGCAGTGAAGTCAGCAGTGGAAGCCTACGGCGTCCTGCTCACTGATGCGCTCACACTGTCCGACCTTCTCCCTTCTAGGATGTCAGTGTTTGTGTTTCCACGCTCACTCGCAATCACAACATTCTGAACTCTTTTGTATCGGCTGTGCAAATATTGCTAAATGAAGGGACGTACAAGCGCTGACATGCTAATGCACATCAATCACAAATGAAGCAGTTCATTGCTAAGCTTAGAGTGACTTAACGACCTTTTTTGTATTACCTTTTTTAAAGCTTTTCAGATTCACTCAGGAAACAAGTGAAACAGATTAAAAGAATAATACAATTAAAAAGTAGCGCTAGAAAAAAAAACATTTTTGAGAGGCGTTAGGACGAAAAGATGCAGAAAACCCCCAAAACGTTTTGCATCTAAAGGATGACAATTCTCAAGCAAGTAACTTCAGGGTCAAGCTTTTCCAGTCGAAATATGAAATTCAATCTTATCACTGAACCATAACTTCGTTCTTAGGCTTTGGGTCAAGAAAAGAGCTACATTTGTTTAAAAGACAAAAATCTTCCAAAAACACACATGAAGTTGCTGTTGTGAAGTAATCTGAATGTCTCTTGGTGCTATCCTATCATATCATATTGATGGCAAAGCAAAGTAAAAATATTGTTAATCATTTTGTTATCATGGTTAACAACACAGGAGATTATTAACTACACAATACAACACAGCAGATCTTTGGTGACTCCATAAAGCCAATAATAAACAATGAATGCCAATATTTTCATAATCCTCCTAAGGCTTCAGATACATAATACTTAATACAAAAACACTTAATACAATGATGAACACAGTTCTACAGCATGAAAGAGCTCTCTGTCTGAGTGTGTGTGTGTGTGTGACACAAGTCAATCGATTGTCAGCTGCAGGGCTGTGAAGACAGCTCACACTCACCATGTCATGGCCAAAAACTGCAGAATACAGAAGATAATGGCCAGGCCCTTTTTATCCCACTGTGGATTGAAACACATCAGTTATTCTTTTAGCTATGACCTGAAAATGACAGAACTCTAACATGGGTAAAATATTTGCTTTTCTTACCCAGAAGACTGCACACAGTGTTAAGACAAGGCAGAGCTGGAAGAGAAATATTTTAGCGTTAGCAGGTAAAAGGTACAGCAGGTAACGGTATTTTTCTCTTGTGACTAATCCAAATGATTTAATTAATTATATGGAAAGATGTCAAGATAAAGGTGCAGAGTTGAGATGATGTTTTTAGGAGTTGCATCTTGAAACAAAAGGTTCTTGTATCAACAGTGTATCAGAAGAGCACAGACAAGTTGATGAAGGGTGGACTTCTGGATACTTGGTGCGTGTCATTCAGCCCATTCATTAAAGTTATAACCTGATTAATCAAATTAATGAATTAATCCGATCAACAGGTCATTTTGACAGCACACACACATACGTATATACATATACACAAATCCATTTATATATACATATAAACATATAATAAAAAGGTGAGTCCAGGTGAAAACAGCAGATGGTAGGAAACATACTAGCATGACAATGGTGGCTATCAGTCTTGTTGGTTCAAACATTCGCTTCAGCTGTTTCAATGGCCCCATCAGAAAGCAGGTGCTTAAAAAGAAAAAAAAATCATTATTTTATGTGGTTTAATAGATGTCTACACAGAAAACTGCAAATGAAATTGTTACTTATTTCGTAACGTGCATGCTCAGAAATATCCACTTGGAATTTTAGACAGTTATCAGGAAATCAATACAATTACACATTCATAACCTCCCACACCATGAGTGTGTGATGTCAGAAAAAGAAACAACAAAAGCTTCTTTCTGTTGGTGAGACAAGCACTCGAGGAGTCAGCAGAGATACAGCATGTGAGTGGGGAACGTCTGTGGAGTGTCACATCTGTCAGATTGGACTCGTGAGTCGCGTGTATTGACGTTGACGTCTTTTCCTATTGGTTTTCTCCTGTAATTTGTGATAACGGCAGATTACAGAGAGTGGGTCATCCATATATGGTCAGTTCTTTTCATAACTTTCCACAGTACTGCAAATGATGAGTTCAGGGGAGATAAAATTAACAAACACTATCCAAGCATTCTTTCTAACGTGGATGAGAAGCATGAGTGAAAGGAAGCAGGTTAATTCAGTTGAATTTCATTACATTTTTGATTGGAGCACAGCGGTAAAAGAATTGCAATGATTTGTACTTTTTTGCAAAAATGACCATGTGGGGGGAAGGCTTGACAACAATCCTATTCAGACAAAGGGGGCGCTGTCGTAAGGTTTGGAAATAACTGCCTTGGGTCTGATATTTATGAAAAGTTTTCAATTTTTTTTTTATGACACTAGAATAAATAAAAAAATATTTGTTGAAGTAAGATTTGGCTTTACATATATAAAACTAGAAGCGCTAACAACTAAACCAGGCTTACCTGCTGAGCGCTGCAATATTCCCCAGTGTGTAGAAAACAGCAAAAAGCTTGGTTGAAAGGAATAACAATGCTGTTCCCTGTAAAGACATTGAAATGTAGTGCATACATATGATAACAGTGTTATGATAACAGTTAGTGAAAAAATGTGTTAAAACAATCCAGAATTAAGTAGAATCTCTGTAGGTGGTGCAAATGATCTAGGGTGAGAGAGGCACAAGGAGACTTCAGTTTGTTCTTTAGTTGACAGATATCCCAATAAATTTTACCACCAGGCCTCCAGAGAGAGGTTGATTCAAACCAGTGTGAATTGTGACTAAGTGGCTTTAACAATGAAGTAACAACCAAGTAACATCCTGTCATCTTAAGTGCAAAGCCACAAACTGAACTTGAAAGGGAAGCATGAGCACATTATGCAAGACTTGGCTTGGTCAGATGAGTCCAAACTAAAACAAATGGGTCATAGAGAAGTTGCCTATTTTATAAGGAGGAGAGTAGGACATATACTGTACATAATACCATTTCAACAGGAAAACAGTGGTGGAGATGCTTCCGGAGATGTTTCTTCTTTAAACATTTTAAAAGAAATCCTAAAACTAACAGCGGCAACAACTGGTTCTCTCTCAGACTGTCAGCACGTGAATAAATAATCTGGAACGAGTTTAATGAATTAAGTTGATTTAAATAATGTGTGCAGAATAGAATTGTATAAAGTGAAAGTGAACTATTTGTCAGCCTACCACTGCACACTACTAAATGTGACCTCTGCTTTTAACCCATCACCAAAGTGAACAGTGGGCAGCTTTAGGCTGCCCAGGAGCAGTGTGAGGGGACGGAGCCATGCTCAGAGCACCTGAGTGGTAACTTGGCAGCTAGTGCACTTGAACATGACCAAAGTCTGCATCCTTAACCACTAAGCCACCACTGCTCAGGATCTAACTGTTATAACTGTATAACAACTAAATAAAGCTCATGTGTTGACTAAGTAAAAACCCTGCATTATATAAAAGCACAGGAAGAAACTTTTTTTTAAAGAGGGCCTACAACTGTTTCCTCACTGTACAGGACATAAGAGAAAATGCCTTTGGCTACAGTATGTGGTAGTTTCTACATTTCATGACAAACATTTGAGTGATACATACAAAAAGCTGATTTCAAAAGCAAAGACACTCACGAGTATTGAACACAGGACGCCTACGGCGAAGGTTATGGCAAACCACTTCACCCTGGTGCTGTAGCTGAGGGTCGAGGCATCAAGGACCTGTTGAGAACAATGGTAGGATGTCACAAGACAAACCTGCTGACATGCACAAAGAATCAGAGCTTTCCTACGTATGATAATCAGAAGTCAAGCAGATAGTTATTTAGTCACAGATCTAACTTAAAAATGGTAAATATAACACCAATATAATCACTTGAAACACTACTACATACATGCAGGTGGTCCTATGATTGTTGTCAACAAGATAAACTTGCTGTTGGTAAAAACACTTCAGTTACTAAAGTTTGGTGTCTAGTGCTAGCAAGTGCAGACACACATTTCAACTAATTTTTTATTACTTCAATATGTGACATGTCATTCATTGCCCAACCCTTGATGCTAAATTTCAAAGTCTCTGTGCAATGACAATAAAGAAAGTCCAAATGTGGTCCACTTTATGACTGCGAGACATTGCAGTATTAGTATATGTGACACAATATTGGGCCACATTTGTTTTCTGGAGTTAGTTCCGGTTACAAAAGAAACCTTTTTTTAATGTACCCAAAATGCATACAACATCTGGAAATATATACATATACGTTTAGACAGAATATAGACTTCGGTAGACCACAAATATCGTTAATATTTAAATAAACAAGTACAGTAACGTAACGTCAAAACACAGAGTTCAGCTTATCGTCTTACCTCAAGTCCTTCTCATCGTGGACGCGTGTAAAATAAAATACGTTGGAAAGCAAGTGCAGTTTATTAAACATAACATTCACAGAAGACAGAAATGGTTAGTTTGACGTGAAGTGTAGAAAGAAGTCGTACATAGAGCTGTACGTTTGCTGATCAAAGGTAAATAACGTAGAAAGAAAATAAAACTACGTAGAAGCAAGCACATGAAACACATGAAACCCAACACAGATTTTGTATCTATTTACATGACACTAGCATTAGCAACACGAGCTGTCATACAGTAACTTGCCTGTGCAGTCAGACCCAACTCTTCGTTTTCTTCTCGACCGCTTAGCACACGACGAAGCTTGTCCATCGCTAGCTACTGGCTTATAGACTGATTATGGGAAAATGTAGTTCTAAAGACTTGAACAAATGCTGGTACTTTACGTCTGGTTATAAATTTTGATAGCCGCAGCAGCGACTTCCTTTACCACCCTCTCCGTCTGTACTGACTTGGAATCAGTTTACGATTTGAATTGCTGCATAAATTCTTTCAATCGCTGACTGCAGATCAGCATTCGAAAGCGACTTCACCAAACCCACTTCCTGGTTGTCTGTGCTGTCTTTACGTACCGTCGAATACACTAGAACTGCGATTTTGTGTGTAGTTCAAATGTGGCTCACAAATGTTATATTCCTGTATGATTATGTATTAGAAAAGTATTTTTACCTTTGCATTGTTTTTGGAGGGTCTCGGGTAATTATATTTAAAGTACATCATTAATAATAATAAAGAAAAGCTATTCTATTCAAAAATGCCAGTATATAAATTCTGGTTGCAGAAACGCCTAAAAGGAAAAAAATGATAGGAAGACTAATTGCTGTTTTTGTAAGGTATGTTTTTGTAAGGTAAGGTAATGGTCTTTCATTTAAAACGATTAGATTTGACAGAATTTTTAAGAATCTACGTGATCCCACATTTTGTCGCCATCTAGTGGATATCACCCACATAAAATAATAAGTATGCACAACATAACTAACAATTTCTGAAAAAGATACCAGCTGTGTAGAATATGCAAATATTTAACCGTTGAATGTCATTATTTAAAGTTAAATTTCAAGATGGCCAGTGACAATAATCCAGTGTTTTTTGCACTAGGTACCACGTCCAAAATACCCATCTCTCCAAGTGCCATCCACATTAGACAACAGCACCGTTTCGCTAATACATAATTATAATACAAAAATGCATTTTTCTTTAAAAAAAAATTGGACTATTTTATCATTAAGTTTGTGTTTCTCTGTGAGAATATAACCCTAGAAATCCAAAAATAGTTACATCTAAGGCAACTGGAGGGATGGCCTGGATGACTGAGAGCCTCCACAGACATAACCCTGGAAAGAAAACAGACATTAGCCTTTAATAACCTTCTTTACCTGTCTGAAAGTATTTCCCTTTGTCTTGCTAAAAAAAGAACAGAACAATCTCTTCAATCCTGTATGACTTGACTGACAATGTTCTTTGCATCACATTTCAATCCACAACATGAAAAGGTTGAGGCACATCGGCAGGAAGATATTCAACAACCTTTCTAAACTAACTTGCCTGAAATAAATTGTGGATCATTAGACCTGAACTTTTAAACAACAGCTTGTATGTCAAGAATGAAGACGCTTTCAACCATAAAAATATTTTTACCAATAAGCACAACTGTTGCCCACTAATAATGCAAAAGTTGACAAAAGACACTTTTGTAAAAATAAAAAAAGACATATCAAAATAGCAAAATAAAATAGCATTTTGATATAAGTCATGCTGAGAAAACTGTGTTTTAACCTTAAATGTGTTAACAGAATTTTTAAAAATGGTGTGTCATTTATTAGACCAGTGGTCTAACAGTAAAACCCAGGTCTGACTGATACCAGTGGTGTTTAACTCTACATCTCATTCAGCCTGCAAATGACATGGAATGCATCAGTCGTCAATGCAGCCTTAGGTCAAAGTTTGTCCATTTTATTGTTTTATTGTACTTAACAGAAGGCCATGAAGGATAAATAAGCAGATAAATAGACTCTTTGTTGAGATATGAACCCCGTCTTGATTAAAACACATGGAAATGTTCAGTTTAGTTTTTTACTGTCTTGGTGTCTTTCTACTGCTGCTGCTAGAACAAAACTGTCCCATTGTTGGGTTTTAATTAATAAACGTGTATAACAAAAAATAAAATTCAAATGGTTTGAAATTATATAACAGAATTATCAGTATCTTAGACTGACCACTTGGTGGAGAACTTGCACTGACATATCCTACCCATAGCATAAACTATTTGTCATTGAGCAAGTTACTTGTGTTTTTTGTTTTTGTTTTGTTTTTTTGTATTGTACAAAAACAAAACGATGTAAATTTTTTAAATAAAAAATAAAGTTAGTGTATCACGATCAAATAAGAAAGGAAAAAGTACAAAGTTAAATGTAAGACTGCAAAGGGTTCAAGTTAACATAAAAAAACTCTAAAACTAAATGTTACTCATTACTACTAATGAGTAGGTAGAGTGATAGGTAATGAGAGTCAGTTAACTTATGCAAAATTATATACTATAGGTTGGCATAAAATAAAACAAAACGGCAAAAAAAAGAAAAAAGAAAAAAAGAAAAACAAGAACTTGAGAACATTTTTTGTTTAATTGTTTACAGTTAGGACAAGAAATAGATTGATAGATCAACAGATTGATTCTCGTACCATATAACAAACCAGCTAAATGTTGCCAAAAGATTAAAAAAACAAACAAACAAAAAACAACAAAGAAACAGTGAAAAGAAACAGGGCTGTGATAATTTTACATATCAAAAATTCAAAAAAGATGCTAAGAGTGAACAAAAAACAAACAAAATAGCCTGAAAAACCTTAATCGAATTACAAAAACATTCGCCAGTTTGTAAGTTTAGTACTAGCTGAAAATTAGTATCAAAATAAACAAAGACTACCCAAAAAGAAAACTTGGTGCAGACCAGGTTTATGGTTAAAACTACGAAATGATAAAGGAGGATAAAACAACTTCTTTAGGTTTAAAAAGAATCCTCTGAGAACCCTTTGCCATAGAAAGTCACAGTCCAAATAAAACCCATTTAAGCGCCACTACTGGACCCCGAGCCTTAATTTGGACACTGCTGCTATAGTAGTTTTATGCGCCCCCAACTCATTTGTTATTTTACTGCAGTGTTTTTGTTCCATTTCGTTCGCTCCACACATTCCTCGGTGAGTAAGCCCCGCCTCCACGGGTTCCTCCAGCTATTGGTGGATTTAGGTAAAGGTTTTTCTCTAGTCCTGATCTGAGGTCAGTAACAACATCATTCTCTCTCAGCTGAAAGTACGTGTGATATAGGAGTTTAAATAACTGTCGCTTTTTGCTGTGGAAATAAAGACAGCGAAGGCTTTTCAGGCTGTTGCTTGACAAACGTCAGTTGCAACAGCAGCAGCGGTGAAAGGATTTTAAGTCATGGCAAAGAAGAAGAAGAAGTCAACTTTTGACTGTTTTGGATTTTTTCTCTCTGCGGCGACGCTGCTGTTTCTGACCGGGAGTCCGGTCTGGGGTCAGTACTTGTTTGTTTTCTCGTGATATTTGTTTGAAGGCCATTTGAGTTTCTCTCTAAAGTGAGATTTGAGGCTTAGTGTGACCTAAACGTGGCTGCAACAGCAGCAGAGAACAGCTTTACTGGAATAAAATGCCTCTAAAACTGTATGTGGAGCTTAGAGGATTCATTTACACACTCAAAAGTCTTTTTTATATATTGTGAAATATGTTTATATATATTTTTGTATTTATTTTCCGCATGTCTCACATATGTGGACTGCTACTTCAAAATAAACAACAGCTATAAATTGATGACATGGTCACGGTTTATTTAAGGGACACTATACAAAATAGTATTCTGATGATTTAATCTAAAAACCAATTAATAACTAAAACATCGTTAAAAAGATAGTTGCAATGTCCAAAAGAATTACTGGTTGACAAACAAATAGTTGATTGCCAACTTCGTATCCGATTTTTCTTTGTTTTAACAAAAGTAATCATGGAAACACTAACTCTATTATGTTTGTAGGCTTGGTTTCATTGGTCATCTTGAACTGTTTTGGTCATAACAAAGTTCTCCAAACTATTTGTATCATAGAAAATAAGTTGAAATCATGAAGTAAATAATGTAATAGCTATATAATTACCTAATTCAAATCCACTGTTTCAGCTCTAATTCAAATGGGGGCTAAAACATATTAGCATATTAGCTCCAACTCTATAAAAGTATCTGATAAAAATACTTTTTTGACCAGGAAAATCTTTATCAACTGAGGGTATGTGTCAGTGAATATTTGTGTTTTTAAGATATAGTTAAAAATTTATAGATATATTGACACTTGGCTGTTAAATTTTTGTAATGAGTAGTGCAATGCAATTTATATATTTTTTGTTATCTATTGTGTCTATTTTAACTACACCTAACCCAGCATTCCTTTCAAATGCAGCGAAACCGCCTGTAGACAGCATCCACCGTCCACCCAAAATCCCACAGCCTCTTCCAGTCCAGAGGTTTTACCTGGGGCCTGATCAGCTCCGACAGCTGCACTTCAAACCCACCGTCAACTCCATCCAGCTGTCCGAGGGACATGAGACAAAATTCAACTGCTCTATCGACATCCCTGATCCCAGGGTGGAACCCACCATCCTGTGGATGAAGAACGGCCAGGACCTGGCAGCTAACGGTCAAGTGGTGATCAATGAGCTGCAGACCATCACAGATGGAGTCGCGACTCTTCTCTCCACTGTCAGGTGTGTGAGACATCATGAGAAAGCTTTACAGCTTTACAGCATTCATTTATCAAGTATTTATTGCTTGGATATGTTGTTGTTGATGACGATGGCGATGACCTCTCCTCTTGTGCTGTACTACAGCATTAACTATGTTCAGAGAGTGGATGCCGGGGAGTATCGCTGCCGACTGAGTGTGGCCAACACACTTGTGGAGTCCTCACCGATCATTATTGAAGTGAATGGTGGGTTTCATCGTGATGCTCACAGATCCTTCGTCCTCTTTCTCAAATCTCTTAACGCAAAGCACACTTTTGACTTTCTGCAGGTTTACCCACATTTATCCGTCAACCCGAGGACAGGAACGTCTCCAGAGATACCTCTTTCACACTGATCTGTGAGGCGGTTGGGCCTCCAGACCCCGTTCAGATTCGGTGGCTCCGTAATGGATTACCTGATAGTGACTTCTTTTATTCTCCCAGCAGTTACTCTGTGTCAGGTAGGAAGAACAAGAAGTCACATTCATGTGTGTTTCTTGTTTTTTGTTGGTTGTTTAAATTTTGGGAATGACCAGATGAAGCATGACGTTAGAAGAATTGTTTAGTAATGGCTCACTAAGGCAGCTCATTTCTCTGCTTTGTTGGCGCTTTCCATTCTGCCTGATCTGTGCTGCCTCAGCATCTGTACCCTGGTAACTGCAGTGGAATTCTTCACTAGGGCAGTGTTACTGGTTTACAGCGGTCACGAGTGAAGGCTAATGTTTAAGGTTCAACGTCTTTGTTGTCACTCTGTCGCCCAAGGATTGGTGGAGGTACAGTTCTATCAGCTGATTAAGTTAAAGAAGTACCTATAGTTAGTTCCTTAAGTACAACTGGCAGCAAAGTGGGAAACTAGTTCATCAACAAGGGCCGTGAAATATGCTATGTCTCAGTCCTTCTATCTTTCAACAACTTTTTCATAAATAAAGTGCTTAGTGACTTGAATAACAATAATAATAATAACAATGATAAATCATTACAAAATCATTACAACAATCGAATAAAACATTAAATATCCAACCTTTAGGTTTTTTATTTGTCATGGTTGCTATGACCATTCTGTGAGTCCAAGATTTAAAGACCTTATATTAAAACATTAAAAATGAAAGGAATTGTTAAAGTAAACCAAATATTTATTGCATTATTTCTAAAAAAAGTTTTTGATGGTGCATTGTGAGAACACTCCATTTCGGCGCCTCTTGTGCAACATGAACATCAAAATCAGGAACATAACCTCTGCTCTTAGTGCTAAAACTGCTGCTGCAGTCATCACGTAGTGGTTTAACCCAGAGCTGAGGGGGTTAAAGATTTTTAGAGCTGTGCCTTGGCCCAACATGTGCAAGGACCTGGGCCTGGCATGAGGATGGAAGGCTGCACAGAGAGCCTGTTCGGGGGTTGACCTAAGGGACAAAGACCTCATTCAGAGTCCAACCCACTACCACAGCAGGGAGGGGTTGGACACGGGGACTGGGAGCCTGCACACTACCACAGCTTGGTCCAGGATCAAATGCTGGTGCGAGTAAACAGTGCGACCCACTCTTTTTAGTCCATGGTCACATTTAATCTAATGTCTTGACTCCATGATACTGTGGCAGTGCTTCTGATGTGTAAGGTGATCCATGACTGTGGGTGTCATGCTTAAGGCGCCAGGCTCTTGTTTATAATATGGAAATATGTTTATTTATGATATATGGGTGCTAAAAGTGCTAAGACAGGTGTTTTTTTAAAGATTCATTAGTTAATTATTAAATCTGAATCTAAATCTAAAGAGATTGTGTGTAGCTTCATCAGATTGTGTTTGTTGTTGTTGTTGAAAATTGACAGAAATCTTAAAATAAACTAAATGTTAGTCCTTAGATGAGGACACAGGAAGCAGCAGGTTGTGACATGGTGGAAAAACATCCCCCAGGCTGCTGCAAAGAAGGAATTTGCTAAAGATTTTATTGATTGTCTTAGATTTTTTTTATTACTTCCACAATTGGCTTTTTACCCTCAAATGTATAAAAGAGGCCAATGGAGCAAAGACCAAATTCAAGGCCAGTGTAATGTGTGGCTGTGTTTTTAGCCTAAAAATAAAAATAGAAATCTAACATAGACGTTTGGCAGGTCAGTGAGCCAGAGCGCTCTCAAACCTGATAATTAAAGGCTGCTGGATACACTGCAGCACTTCCACATTATACATTTGGTTGTTCCATCCCGTCTTCCACTCTGCATTTACCCAATCTCATAAACATCATTTCTGATGTCTCCTTTTCAGCTACAATCCCAACATCGTTCTTTTAAAATGCACTAAGTTGGTAATTTATTTAAAAACTCTTTATGTTAATGTTAATGTTAATTTCATCTTTTAATTTTTTGCAGGTAAAACTTAAGTAGTTTTAGTCGACTCAAAACTCTAAACAGAAATTCTCATCACCACAGGAATGCACATTGTCTAGCATTTCTTAGGCCTTTAAATAGAAACAACACTGTATAAACATCGCAGCCCGGTGGTAGCTGGGTTTTCAAAACTAAGTGGTGTGTTTACATATAGTTAGCAGAATGATTCAAAAAGATGGGGAACTATTTTTGAACCAACAAATGTTTTCCAGCTAGGCCCCAGAAGCAAACACAAAACACATATTTTAAATGTAAATTGACTGTTACAGGCCATCATTAGTCTGAATAAGTGTAAGTTAGTAGCCAACAGGCAGCCAAAACAGCTACAGGATAGTTTTAATATAACTAGTTACAAGTAGGCTGGAAGGGTCTTTACCAGGAATTCAATAGCTTGTATAAAAAAAGTGAATTTCATGCCTTGGTAAAGAGTGAAACATAAGCAAAACAACCCAAGTCTGTCCCAGTCGTCTCTCACTGGTAGTCTGTGTTTGTCTTTGTGTAAAGGTTTGTCAGATTGAGACACAGGGTAACAGAGCACAAAGGGACATTATCTAGCTGCCACCCCAGTCCAAATTCTATGCACAGCCGTTGCCGTTGAAAGACAGGAATTGTGTGATACTTTTGATTGCATATCACAGAGGAAAGATTCAATTTTATCTCCATGAAAGTCTCCTCTGCGGAAACCTTTGCGATGTAAATAATAAAGAAGTTAGTGCGTCGGTTTCATTTTCACTTCTGCTTGAGTGTTCAGAGTGAGCCGTAGCCCTGTTTTCATCTTTCATACAAAACAAGACCCGAGATTAGATAAATTAGCCAAAACAGTTTAGTCTATTATGACCACGAGGATTGGTTGTTGACACTGAATAATGACTTAATTACTGGCTCTAAAAATCACAGTTAAAAAAACAACACTACCTGTACCTGTTATGGGATATTAAAAAAACCCAAAATGATACTTTACTTGTCAAATGTTAACAGATAAAATCCCACCACTCATGCTAAGCATATAGATTACATACAGGAGATGGCTAACTAACCTGCTAACGTGTATTTTGGTGCTCTTTGTGTTTTAACTACATTCAAAAGAGAAATAGCTCCAACTACAGTAAATTAATTCACTGTGTATTATGACACTCAACATTAAAGTCTGACCACACAGTGTCCTCTCCTGTGTGTCACATGCAGGTGTGTACAAATACACAGAATTCAGCTGTGAAGCTCACAACGCCAAGGGTGTCACCACCTCCAGAGAAGCAAATATTAACATCAAAGGTAAGATGTTCCTCCTACCATTTTATAAGATTCTATCAAATTAATACATTTCCCCGTATTCTGAGGTAATGTGAATTTTATGATGTTGTCTAGTTCTTCCACGTCCTGTGTCTAATATTACTGTGGTGGAAACCCAGTCCAATAAGTTGAAGTTGAGCTGGAGCCCTGGCCACGATGGCTTCTCTCCACTTACCAAATGCCACATCAGAGTAAGCCCACACATCTGCAGCAGCACCGACGATGTACAACTATATAAATACAAATCTATGGGAAAATGAATCCATTTCTCTCTTGTTTTATAAACATATAGTAAATATTATAATTTGGGCATTAGGGTTCTGTTAATTACTCTTATGTTCTGTTCTGTATCTTCTGTTATCATGAGCACTAAGGTAAAACACCATTTAGAGGAAAGTAGACAATAAAGCAGGACATACTGGGGGAGCATGGGTTCACCATTTTTTGTTTTTGTTTTTGTGTGTTTATTTTCCACTCAACAGGATTGTAATGCACAATAACTGACATAATTTCATATCAAAGACTTAATAGTAGCTACAAGACAATTAACAATGTCACTCGAATGTAAAAAAATTAATGACTGGACTCCTATTCTCAGGTTAAAGAGGTGAGTCGGCGGAAGGGGGAAGTGATGACCACCAGATTCATTAATGTCACAGTGCCGCCGTTTGAGTGTGAAGTCTCTGGGCTCCAGTCCATGACGTTGTACAACATTAGTGTTTCCTGCAGCAATGAGGTGGGGGCTTCTCCCTTCTCAAGGTGGATCCAGAGCAACACCACAGAAGGAGGTGTGTGCAGGAGCCTTTGAAAGTCTTGAAGTGTTGTTGGTAGAAAGACAGTTTGTATTTCACAGGGGATTTGCAACAGGAGCGAGGTTAAAGGCATCGCAACTAAAATTTAGGCAGCTTATTTGTGTTTGCTTTTTGAGAACAACTCCAACATGTTTCTTTGGAAAACTTTGTTTTGGTTTTTATAAGTAGTACTGTGTAATTAAGGTCTTAATATAAGCCTCTGCTACAGTAGGAGTCTATTATAATTAGATTTTACGGATGTTGTGTAACTACCTGCTCTGCTCGTGGTTGGTCTCCTTCAGTAGACGTCGGTATCCACTAAATCTCATTGTGTTTCCTCAGGGGTCACATAGGAAATGGGAGGGTTCTCACTGAGAAAACACAAAGTCCATACAGGGTGGAACTGCATCAGTTTCCTTCCTCAAGTCATAATGGGAGATATTTTAGTTGAATGATATGATACTGCTTTTCCAGGAATTGACTACATTTCAAACCATAATCAAAGGCTTTACTAGTTTTTGTGCTTGGTATGTTTATATTGAATGCCCTTAAATTTCTTTTATGACTTATTTTACTTTTTTGTCACATTTCCAGTGCCTTCAGTTTACCCCCGAAACGTCACAGTGCAACTGAATGAGTCATGGCTGATGATAAGATGGAAGCCGCCACCGGAAGATAAGATAAATGGAATTCTACGGGGTTATGATGTTATTGTCCGGCACGGGACACATGAGAAAAAAGTGAGTTTATCAAAAAATAATTCACACATTCCGACTTTGGAAAACCTTATTATGGATTTGAAGTGAGGCATCCATTAGTAAAATTCAACCAATACTTGCCCTGATGTACAGTATGTACATCATCCTTGACTGAGGATTTGTTCCGTTTGTTTCCAACCTGAAACTGTAAAGAAGTGGATGAACAGTTGGATGGTGAATCTGTAAGGGCAAATATGGCAAGAATGAAAAATGTAATCTTCCCTCTTTTTGCAGTGTATTCACTCCCATAAAGCAATGCAGCAAGAAAGGACATTTACAGACATTTTCATTTTATGATATTTTGTCAACAACAATGAAAACTCCATGGCGTTATTCCATGATGTTGCCGGTGCTTCTGTTAGTGCATTAGTGCTCTCTAGGACAAAAGGCTGCTTCCTGGCCTTACCGTGTGTTGAGGTCACAGGAAGTAAATGGTGTGAAAAGCGGTTGCTTTTATTCAACCTGACTCATCACGCACTTCATAGAAAAGGAAAACAATGGGATGTGTGCCATGTAGTGACATATTCTTGCGTACTTCCAAGTAAGTTTGGTGATGTCACACAATCCTGTACATATGATTGGAAAATGTTAGCAATGACTTCTGGGAACAAATGCCAGACGTGATTATGACAAGTGACAAAAGAGGTTACAGAATAACAATAGAAAAATACATTCATACTTTACATGTGTAAATATGTCACATGTAAATTATGTGTGCTAATATGTCGTATTAGCTGAGTTTTGGGTTTTTTTTTTTGAGAATTTGAGAAATTTGTGAATTCCCTAAATATCTTGAGGTGATATATATTATATCTTGCAATGACAACGTGTCTTTGAGTTTGTCAGCACAGACGTGACAAAATGTTAATCATGGGTTCAGCATTTTCTGGCAGACTGTCAGCATTAGTGAAGGACCGTAACCTCAGATGTTACCGGGAGGTGTTGGGAAATACAGGAGTGTGTGTGTGTGTTAGTGTGTGTACGCCAGTGTTTGTGTGTGTCACATGCTGCCTCCTTTAACTTCTCCTAAACGTTAGTCCTCTTCCCTTTTATTTAAATGTGATTGTTTTCAGTTAACATTATAAGGGTTTTTCTTTTGAAGTTACAAGAAATTTGTAGTGTTTTGGTCTGTATTCAAGAAAACAAAACCAAAAATGTTCCAATCTTTTCACATAGAAATTGACTTGTTGTGAAATGTGATTTAAAAAGAATTATGATGACACAAGGGCTTAAAATTTGAATTGTCATATCAATCTAAGAAAACAGCTTGTCTGCCTGTACAGAGTTCAGTTGTGCAAAGTTTTAAATTACACTATGTAAATTCTTGGGTTTTGTCTCAGATCCACAGCTACAACACCATGGCCTCTGTGCCCGTGCAGGAATTCAACACGACCTATAGCGTGGAAGTTGCAGCGTGCACACAGGCAGGGAGTGGAATGATAAGCCCACGGGTCTGGCTTTTTGTGCCAGAAGACAGTAAGTTTTCCTCTTTGGGAAAAACAACAATAAATTGTTAGTATTTATATGAGTATATGGCTAAGTTTAAGTTAAATAAATGTACTGTTTGTTTTTTATTGTTGCATAATTTAAGAAAAGTATCATTATCTCTAACATAATCAAGAGCTCAACCAGTTATTAACCAATTTTATATTGGATTTTATATGTGAACACCCACCATGCTTATGTTTTTTTTTGTTTTATCTGTGCCTTAGAATTGGCCGTTTCGCCATCGTCCATTCCAGACACTGGGGTTTCAGACTCTGTCTACGTTGTACTGGGAGTAGTGTGTAGCTTTTGTGTCATGCTGCTCGTCCTGTGGGCTGGTATTTGTGTCTATAACCGCACCTCCGTCTACTGGTTCAGGTATGCTCACCTTATATCTCCCTAAATGATGACCTTTCGGCCAAATTTGTCCTTTGTGATATTTACCATGATAATAAATGGCAACAAAGTTCTATATGTAATTTAAACTAAGTAGGCTCTTCAAAGCAATAATACTGTAATATAACACAGAAATATTAGCTCAAAATGTTTAAAAACTTTTTAAAATGTTCAAATCAAAAAATAGCTAAAGCTACCCAATCCGGTTGTAAAATAATTAAATATTATGCCATACATTACCAACCATATTAAAGAAAGAAATGAAAAAGTCAAAATGACTGACTTAGTTGACTGAAACCGTTATTTAATTAAAAAACTGATTTTTTTTTTTCTCTTAAAACAACATATAACCCATCCAAGTGCCACAGCTGGCTCCCAGACTTTTCTTATGTTTAAAGATAACTGCATGGAGATGTTCCACTATGTGATTGAAAGTACAGATTATGTTTTTTCTTTCTGGTAATGGCCACATGGGAATGCTGTGTAGTCCTTCTGCAGCAGGAACACTGGCACTTTCCTTAAAAACACTGTTTGCTTCCTCTTAATCATCCCCTGTCATAACTGCAGCTGGAGAAACATAAAAAACACCTGTTAATACTCTGGAATTCATTATTATCAAGCTTGTGACTCAGTGTTAGTGTTCAGGATATGGATAGGAATGTGTCACAGACTGAGTTTGTATCTCAGTACACAGCTGACTGTTCTACTGTTCGATGTCTGCAGTGCATACATGTGTTCTTGTGTAGCTATGCCTGTGGGGATATTTGAAAAAATACTTTGGTCAAGAGGCCACTTTGTCAATGTGAAGAACGTTGCAGGTCCCCACTGAGTGAGAGGGTATCATGTGATTCAAGATTTAGTTTTGCAGTCGGGATTTAATTTTCTGGTCAGATTAGAGGTATTGTTAGGATTAGAAATAATTATAATAGTTTAGATTAGAGTTAGGGACTAGGGAATGCTACTGGAAGTGTTTGTGTGTTTATAAGGTGGAGGGAGGGAAGGAGCAGAATGTGAAGCAATGAAAGGTTTGCGTTGATTTTGATTACTCTTGGCCTGACTTTCTTTCTTGTCCCTTGTCGCCCCCTATAGGCAGATGTTTGGAAGTGAAGAAAAGCCTCAGCCAGTTGTCGAGTACAAACCCCAAAGATCCTACAATCGATCAGCCGTAGGAGTCTCCTGTATGTGGTTTATAGAGAAACTATGACGTTTTTGGTTTGAAACATTAATTGTATAGCATTTAAAGTACACAAAATAAAATATTGTATTAATCGCATGTCTGCAGTTGGGAACCTTGGTGTTAGTGAAGAACTCCAAGCCAAACTTCAGGATGTGATGATCCTGAGGAGTTTACTCATGATAGGGAAGATTCTTGGAGAAGGTGAGTGAATGAGTTACTTTTAATTATTTTTTATTGTCATAATAACAGAAAATTCAATGAAATTGTTTCACTTCTAGGTGAATTTGGCTCAGTAATGGAGGGACATTTAAGACAACCCAATGGAACGACAGAGAAAGTGGCTGTAAAGACAATGAAGTGTGAGTTTTTCATGACTCAGCTACAGCACTGATGAACCTACAGTTTTAAACAAGTTGACTCACAAATAATTATTTATTGTGGTGGTTCTTTATACAGTGGATAGTTTCTCCCAGAGGGAAATTGAGGAGTTCCTGAATGAAGCGGTCTGCATGAAGGACTTCAACCATCCTAATGTCATCAGGCTGCTTGGTAGGAGACATACTGTAGAAATGCAAAACTTTGTTGTAGTTCTTTTTTTTATTTGCATGTAATAAGAAGTCTTCACCTCTAGGTGTTTGTTTGGAGGATGGGTCTGGGAATTTTCCCAAACCCATGGTCATCTTGCCATTCATGGAACATGGAGACCTGCATAGCTTCCTGCTGCGTTCACGCCTTGGAGAGAATCCAAGAGTAAGTCAACCACAGAAGTATATACAGTACATTAAATACAGCTATAACTGGGTGAAAATAATCATTATCAACTTTGTGCTTTGTTTATACAGTTCTTGCCTATACAGACTCTCCTAAAGTTCATGGTCGACATTGCTCTAGGTATGGAATACCTCAGTGGACGCAACTTCCTACACCGTGACTTGGCAGCTCGCAACTGCATGTAGGTTGCAAATATGACCAAATAACAAATCAGTAATATCGGCTTTCTATAAAATATTTTTAAAGGTTTTTTATTTATCTCTATCATTTTTTGTCATAAAGGCTGCGTGATGACATGACGGTGTGTGTAGCTGACTTTGGTTTGTCAAAGAAAATCTACAGTGGGGATTATTACAGGCAAGGCAGAATAGCTAAGATGCCTGTTAAATGGATCGCAGTAGAAAGTCTGGCTGACAGAGTGTTCACTGTAAAGAGTGACGTGGTAAGTAATTCCATCTGCTTGTGTCTGTTTTATGCACTCACACTGGTGTGCACACACGTGAACACTGGAGTCAATGTATTCCCTTAGATCTGATCTGCCTATCAGATTTCTGTGTTCGTCTTCAAAGGTTTCTCTTTAAACAAATCTTGCTAAATTAAGACAGCAATCTTGATTGTTTTACCACAACTTGATCTGAACTTTTGACTCATTTTAAGGCGGTTATTTTCGTTGTATGATTTCTTCTTTTTGTTACTTCATTTTCTTCAACGCCCACATTTTTCCTCACTGCACCCACAGTGAGCATGTGTTTACTCACGTGACATTTTGGAAGCTTCTGACGTCTGAAACAAAGTCTCATTGTTGATTGTTGTGTCCATTCTTGCTCCTATTTTAAAACAATGTAATGTAAAAATAACACTTTATGACTTTAACAAAGTATAGATTAATCATTTTATAGGGATAATTCAGGGGCATTTTGATCTATTAGATGAATAATAATAATCTGTTGCTCTTTTATTTTACTATTTTTAGATCTTTCCAAAAGCTTTATCTATATTTTAGTTGTTGAAAAGGTTTACGGTTTATTTATTTTTTTCAGTAAGAAAAGGAAATAAAAAAATGTTTTCTACAAATGTGTTTCTTGTAGAATGAACACATCTTTGTCTGTCTTGCAGTGGGCTTTCGGTGTTACTATGTGGGAAATTGCAACACGAGGCATGACGCCCTATCCTGGTATTCCAAACCATGAGATTTATGACTACCTGGTGGAAGGACACAGACTGAAACAGCCAGGAGACTGCTTGGATGAGCTGTAAGTGTAACAGCGAAAAGCGTCTGTAGATAATGGTAGATATTGTGTTCATTTTTAAAAACTAAAACAAGAACAAGAAATTTCTTCAACTAATGTAGAGTGAATATTGACAACACTCCCTGGTATGTAGTGCCTTCCACTTTTTGGCATGACAGCAAAGGTCATGGTTAATCTTGGGCCGCTCCAAAAGAAGTTTTGCTTTTATTTACCGATAAAGAGCAAAATTCATTGAAATAAAAACCATTTTAAAGAGTGTTTCTGTACAAAAGCATCATTTGTTGATTGTCTAATTGTCTTTTTTGTTTATCTGCATTTAGATATGAAATCATGTACAGCTGCTGGAGGGCTGATCCACTGGACCGACCATTGTTTCCTCAATTGCGAGTAATGTTGGAAAAGCTTGCAGAGAAACTTCCAGAAGTTTCCACCAGAGACCAGATCATTTATATCAACACAAGCTTTCCTGAAGAGGACCCTGATGGAGAAACAACTCTACCAGAACATCCTGTCTTCAGCTCCTCCCCATCCTGCAGCCAATTGGTGGCAGAAAATGCAGTAATTACTGCGGACATTCATGGGAGTCTGGAGGACGATGAAGAAGAGCAAGATGATCGATATGTGGTAGTCATCCCCTCTGATCCTTCCCTCAGGTCTCCTACAGCGGACACTCCTCTTTTGTCTAACAATTCTCTACGACAAGAAAATGGAGGAATAGACACTGATACACCAATGACAGAGCACGGCACAAGTGACATGTCTTTCCTACTATAGTGATTGGTACTGGAAAATTGTGTGGTTGTACGGACACAAAGTCAATGAAAGGATCTGCAAGCACCAGTAAAACATGTCTGCCACTACGGGTATGAGAAGAAACCGAAAGATTTTTACCTCAAAATGGAAAAAAAAACCAACATTATACATGAATACTTAGGTGTAAAAGAAGTTTACAGACAGGGTAAACTAAATTTCTTCCCGATTGTCAAAATACACTCTGATGAACATATTCTTCAACGTGTAAAGCAAGCTTAAACCTTTTATATTGTAGTTTGAAGATTCTGTTAGGCAACTGGAACTGAATTTTCTAATAATTAAAAGAAGACGTTTCACCTCTCATCCCAGAGGCTTCTTCTATTCTGAAGTAGCCTCTGGGATAAGAGGTGAAACATCTTCTTTTAGAAAATTCACGTCCAGTTGCCTAACAGAGCTTTCAAACTTGACCATGACCTGGATGACTGAGAATCTTAATAGACTTTTATATTGTACTTTTTTTAGCTATTGTTTTTTAAACAAAAACTCCACAAATAATCTTCCCTCAGTTCCCCAGTTGTCTTTTGTGAGATTGAGGACCAATGCTTGTTTCGCTCCTCAGCACTGATCTTGTGTCAGTACAGCCACACATGACAAAACCCGAATATCATCTAAAAACTGTAACAACCTGTCACCATAATGCATTATCACTAAATTCAATTTAAGAGCACCTGGACATTCCTCTTGTGGACTATAGTTAGTTCTTTAGGCAATTTCCTGCTTTAAAATGACAACAGTATTATTAAGGTCTGCTTTATTGCACATGTTCCAATAAGCTTAAAATGAACTGTGAAAGTGTTTACTTTGTTGAATATTTTGTGTAGTATAAAAATGTACAGAATGTTTATAAAATGGATCTTGTATACTTTAAGATATATATTAAAAAAATATTTCATTTATCTTTGTTTTGATGATGTCAGGTATTTGGCCAAGATTCTATTAAGACTATTTGGCTTATTATTGTGTGTGAAAAAATTGAGTAACGTTTTCAAAAAGAGATTAAATACTTTTATTAGTACCATCAGTCCATTTTCCTTTCTTCTTTCCTTACCCCCCTCCTTCCTTCCTTTTGTTATACAATAGTAAACGCAAGACTTGGAATCTGTAACGTTTGAAACTGAATTTTGTGTGCCCCTAAATAGAAGACGTTATGGTAAATACACTGAGAAGGTAAGGCCCAAACTACCGTCCATTTATCACATAGATTTTATTTGTTCACAGTATGTACAAATAAAATCTGTACAATAAGATCACAACACATGACCTGTATTCATAAATTTATATTTATTATTTGGGTGAACAGTAGTAAAACAGAATGTATTTTTGTATGGTAAATAGGGACATTTAGCTATGGGCAATGTTTCCAAAATGCAATATAAACTATGTGTTCTATGTAAATGTACTTTCTTAAACTGTTCTGTATCCTTTTTAGTATTTTTTTTTAATTGAATCCTGGCACCGAGTTTTAGTCTAACGGTCCCCCTCCTTTTATTTCCGTTGTGGTCATGGCGCCTCCTGGAGGAATAATGTCACATTCTCTTACTCCATAGTCCACAACCAACATGGCTTCCTCGGTCAGGATGAAGACGTGGAGCTATCCGGGTAGAGGACTTTTCTGTCCATGGGCGCTCATTTCACTTGTATTATTCTTCGTTATTAATGTAGTGGACGGAGCTCCGGAGACTGGAGTATGGAAAATGACATTAGGAAACGTGAGTATGTTTGTTAAGGTCCAGTTGAGCAGCTCCATATCTACTGCACCGGTCTGCTAGCGTTAGCAACATTATATCCTTAGCATGTTCCTTGCTCAAAGTCCTGTTCATTTTTGTCTGTAAACAATAATATCGTTAATAAATACGATATTTCAATTCCTCAATGTTTTTTAAACGTGAAACGTTAAGACGTGAAACAGAAGACATGAAAAGCCTTTGTTTATTGATTAAAGAAAATAATTGCAACCATCTCAGTCTACTGTTTCTCACATTGTGGGTCGTTTCCTAAAAGTGAGATCGAAGGCTTAATTTGTAAGGCCAGATTCTAGGCTGCAGCTGTATGTCATTTAAGCATTTACCAGACTTCCTCATTCTTGATGAACTATACCTTTTACGTTTGAGGAAACAAAATGTCATCATATTTTCTAAACTCACAGTTGTCAGTTTGTTTTACACTCTATTTAGCCTCACACATTACAGTTGCACCAAACTAGTGATTTAATCCAGAAACTGTGTATTGCAAATAATTTATCTTTGTTTGTCTATGACAGTGACAGGTGAAACAATTAAATACACTTTCACTAGATGGCAGCAGATGGCTATCAAAACTAAGGAGAGAAACTGTTGCAAAAGATTTTGTATGTCTTTCAAATTGAAACTAGAAGATTATTATTATCATTGTCACCATCATTTCTTCAAGTAAAAACGAAAATTAATATGTATTTATTTATAAGTTATCTATCTGAAGTTCAACCCATGTTTAAACATGTTGCTGTGTTGTTGCTTTTTTCAAAACGACTTCCCAAATTTATTTCGTACATTTTGTACTTCTTTTGAAGTTCCTTTGAACTCAAACTTTCAGACAGAAAGACACACTGTATTGAAATATACAACCTTCTATGTACTTTTAACTTATCCCTACAGACGTCAAGACCTCTGCTGTTAAAGAAGTCCATGTATAAAGACACTGATATTAAACTAAAAGGTAAGAGGAAAGAAGAGCTGTGCTGGTAATCACAATTCTCTCAGGTGTGACGTCCCTTTATAATTGTTTTTCTATGCACTTTTTCTTAGTTGTGGCATTTGGCTGTCCTGAGGAAGTGATCTTCACTGTTCACTGGTATTTAAAATATTACCCCTGTCACAATGAGTTCATCAACATAGAGGTAAGCAAGAAGCGTAAAACCTGACGATTTCTAGAGCTTCGACTGTCAGTCAACGCTGAGCTCTGAACTGATCTGTCTGCAGGAAATGTATGACAGGACACCTCTGAGTCGTGGAGAGAGTCTGGATCCGAATCCCCTTGGACAAGGAGAGTACATTGAACATGTGTACAGTCGTGTAACGTGTAACAGTGCACTGCGTTCTTTCCCTGTGCTCAAGGTAGGTTTGGTGCATTAGTCTAATCACACATCTATCACTCATTCCCTGTGTTCGTTTACATTGTAACATCCACTCATTTGTTTTCACAGAAAGCCAAAGCAGAGCCCCGTAAAGTTGTCCCACCTGTCGAAGGCAAAGAGCTGGTAAGAGAATAGAAGTTATTTTTATTTGAAAATAAGTTGAATTTGGCATCTAAACAGTGAGTCACTTATTGTTACTACTGCAGACGGAGAATGACACTCGATGGATTACAGAGGAAGTGGAGAACAGCAACATAAAGAAGAATGGCAGCGTTAACATTGAAGACAATGTCATTGCTACAACATGGAGGGATGGGCCTTATCTCCTTGTGGTCAAGATTGTGCCCCACAAGCAGGATGTTTACTGGAATTTGACAGGTGAGATTTTACTGCATTTTACTAAGTTGCAATAGTCTTTTTTTAACCAGTGTATAAGAATTTGTTTTTCCTTTTGACTTCATATTGTTTCACTCTTCATCAAACTAAAATAAATTAAAAATTAAATGTGTACTATATTGATCCTATATTTGGGAAATTGTTATGCAGGTGCAAGCACAGACTGACAAGAATATAAGTTGTAATTATCTGTGATAAATGTAATACTGTACTTTGGGTTTGTTTCTTGTTTTTCCAGTCAATGTGGTGATGAAAGGCAGCCATGGCTACATTTCTGTCACAGAATGGCCTCTCATGATTGTAAGTAGATGGAGCTGTGATCAGGAAAATCAGGTTTTGCAAACTAGTTAATAATTATGTTTTGGCTGCTGTTCTGCTCTTCACATTTCTTTATTCAAATTCACAATTGACCAAATGTGAATCACGGTGCGTCCAGTGATAAATGTAAAATAAACTATAGCTATTAAACAATTGAAATTTTCAAACTGATCAATTACACAGTAGCTTAATAATGACAACTATTCATAGTATAGTTAATCATGATCACGTCTAGATCTCCTCCAAGCAAAATGTCTGGTCTCGATGTTGAAAGTGAACTACCCCTGCTTGTGTTTAAGAATTAAATGTTTGCTGTTTTTTCAGTTCTTTATGGTGATGTGCATCATGTACATCTTGTATGGACTGCTGTGGTTCGCCTGGGCTGCGTGCTACTGGAAAGATCTGCTGAGGATCCAGTTCTGGATAGCAGGGGTCATATTCCTGGGGATGGTTGAGATGGCTGTGTTCTGTGCTGAATACGAAAACACCAATGCTGTCGGCTCTGCCAGTAAGTAGCTACAATCGAGTGCAGAAATCTTCTGTCAAATTTTTTTTTCACCCTTGTGTGTGTTTTTTTTTTTTTAAGCTTCAGGCTTGTTGATCTTTGCTGAACTGGTCTCTGCCCTCAAGAGGACTTTGGCACGGCTCCTCGTCATAATCGTCAGTCTTGGCTATGGCATTGTGAAGTATGTCAGCTACCTTTGTGCTCAAAGATAAAAGATGCATTTTGTGTATTTGTGTTTATGCATCAGACTTTTTCTTTTTTTGTTTTAGGCCTCGTCTTGGGACAGTGATGCACAGAGTAGTGGGGCTTGGTGTCCTCTACTTTGCCTTTGCAAGTATTGAAGGTATTCTGAGGATCACTGGGGTGAGTAGATTATAAAATACATCAGATGATGCAAATGTCAGTTAGGTCTTAGAAGTTAAAATACAAGCTCACTGATTCTGGGTAGCAGTCAAGCAGAAAAGTTTACTTTTAAAATTGAAGTAAATATAGCACAAGATGAATCCTTTTTATCTTTTGCCTCTTGTTGTTGTGTTTAATTCCAACTTTTGATACCAAAAGTATTTTGCAGGAACAGCTCTATTTTTTGTTGTTGTTATTTATAACTTTTGGAAGTAAAACTAACCTTAATTGTGATTTGTGTATTTTCTTTATATTTGGTCATGTGGGGTCAAAAATCTAGAGTAACGACAACGGCTCTGCTCTTATTGCTGCAATTTGTCTGGCTGTGATTGACTCCTGTGCCGTCTGGTTCATATCCTGCCTGTGTCTGCCTTGGCAGCATTAAAAACAACCACCAAAAAAGGAAATATCTGTTAGTTATTAGGGGATTCTTGCCTTTTCATTAAGTGATTGTTTTTCCCCTTTGCACTTTGGTGAATGATACTATATTTGCTCTCTTCACTGCTCTTTTTTAAATTACGCACCCTGTATGGAATTTTCCCTTACCTTTCACCTCTGTCAATAAGTCCTTCTTGTCCTGGTCTGTCCTTCCTTCCAGGCGAAAGACTCTGACTTGGCCCTCCTGGCCAACATTCCTCTGGCTCTGCTTGACTCCTCTCTTTGCTGGTGGATATCCTTTTTTTGCACCTATACCTTTCCCTTGTGTGGTTACTCTGCTTCTTCACCTTCCTGAGTTTAGACCAGAACAGTTTAGCATTTTGTTTAGCATGTTAAAAATTCTGTAGAGAACCAATAGAATTGTGGCCAAAATGTGTCATCATTTATCCATCATTGTTGCAGCACTGTCATGTTTATACTTTTTTTTTTTTTTTGATAAACTTTGTCAACCAAAATTTTAATGTCAAGTTTACTGCCCCCCATGGCTTTTACTGTGCCACTTCACCTCTCTAATTTCTTTTTATGATGATTTAAAAAAACAGAGCTTGAATTAGAATAAACCAAGAAAGTTGTTTACTATGTTATGTTTTTTAAATTGACTAGTGATTTAATGTAGTGACTAGAGACAAAAGTAAAAATAAGAATTAAATCATTAATTAATTAGATTTTATTTAAAATGAATTGGCTTCATCTTGGTTCACAGGAAGGTGTTGAAGTAAAATTAACTTTGTGGTAATGACAGAAAGACATGTCTGACAGTGTAGGATATGATGACAGAGTCAGACCCTTATTTCACAAAGCTGTGTAAGTAAAAACTTCTCTTGTAATGCTAAGTTAACTGCCTATTTTTTCTTTTACTACTGTCTTGAGCCTTTTGTTCCTGCTTCGGTGTTTTCTTTCCTAAGCAAACAGATTGTCCTGTTATCTGTATATTGATGTATGTGTATGTATATTAAGTATGTGCCACACAGCATTTCCCTTGACTACTGCTAACATCTTTGTGAGCCTGGCACAAACCATCAAGACTCTGAAGCTAAGGAGAAATCCTGTCAAGTTGTCTCTTTACAGGCATTTTACAAACACACTGATATTTGCAGTGATTGGTAAGTGTTACACAACCACACATTTATATTAGAAGACTTGGAGCTATCTGAGCATATTTCAAACTAAATATGATCAAACCAAGATCTTGGTTCCTTTTTGCTTTCATTATCTAAATTCTGTCTGCCATATCAGTGAAGACAAAGAGTTTGAGTTTTTGACTTAATGACATGTGTCTCCCAAGCTGTTGGTATTTATTTTAACTAACATATAAGACATGAGGTGAGGTGAGGATTTGGTCACACTGAGTAAATGATCTATTAATAACTACATCTCATCTCTTGTCTCTGTGTTCCACAGCCTCAGTCATTTTTATGGGTTGGGCAGCCAAGAAATTCCGTCTTGCAGATTGCCAGTCTGTGAGTGTGTCTTGACGTGTTTGACCAAGAATTCAAAATGTGAAAAAAAAAATCTGGATCCTCTTTTAATGATAAAGGGACCTGTTTTGGTTTAAAGGATTGGACTGAGCTGTGGGTGGAGGATGCTTTCTGGAGGTTCTTGTTCTCCATCATTCTTCTTGTCATCATGTTCTTATGGCGACCATCTGCTAACAACCAAAGGCAAGACAACTTCACTATTCTGTTTTTTCCCCAGTCACTCAGTTATTGATGTTCATTGAATTGAATGTCCTCAGGTACGCCTTCACACCCCTTATCGATGACTCCGACGATGAGGAAATAGAAGAGTTTGTCGCCTCTACAAACATCTGTATGTTCGCATAACTATGTTCTAAATTAAGTCTAACTCCACACCAAACGTGGTCAAATATAGTGTTGATTAAACAATGGTGTTGTTGTTATTTACAGCTGATGGTATAAAGTTGAGAGCAAGTAAAAATGAGACAAATGGCACAGTAAAGCCAGCAGACACACACCCAGTAAGTAAAACTCACATTAACGGAACTAATGTTTGTAATATATTTGATAAAGAGGCCAGATTTGATAGAATAAGTACAAACTATTGCATGTCCGTTTTCCTACAGCAGATGGCAGTGTTGACAAATTTTATCTTTCCTTTTTATACTTGTCCAGGAGGATGACATGAAGTGGGTGGAGGACAACATTCCCAGCTCTCTTAGTGATGTGTAAGCATCACATTACATTTCTATTCATTAGATGGAAAGATAATAAAGCAGATGTGTGATTCTAACAGAGTTTTTTTTTACCTGTTTGTTCTCACAGAGCTTTACCAGTCCTGCTCGACTCAGATGAGGTAGGAATTCAAATTGTCTAGGGTCTGTTTTCATTAACAAAGGTCAGAATCAGTATACGACACTGCAACAGGACCCATGGAGAACATCTCATAAACTTTACTGAACCAATGAAAGAAATCCCAAGTTTTTGCATTTTAAACAGTCTATAATTACCATGTAGAGCAAAATTCTGTGGAAATAAGAATTTGGTGAGTCATTAACATTTAGAAGCTAATGTTTTAAAGCACCAATATATTTGGTGTGTATGAATAATAAGCTAACAGTTGGAGCTAAAACAAGCAGTAAAATTAATTCTTTAGATTTCTCTCTGAATCTAATTCTCCTTTTTCTTTTCTATTAATTTCCTTCAGGAAATCATGACTACCAAATATGAGATGTCAAAGCTGGAGTGAAGCACATCTTCCATGGACTTCACAATCTGATGGAGGCAGAAGCCCAGTACGTGTCTCTAACTATGGGCTTTCTTCAGGATTTCCAGTTGGACAGTGGTGGAATGCCTTGTGGATTTTTTTTCTTGAGGAGACCCTCCTAAATGAGACTGCTTCTTTCCCAGGCGATGCTTGTCACAGAGTAAGAGGTTGACTGTTAACTTCCTCAACTTAAAACAAAAACAAAACACAGAACTTTACCAAAAGACGTTGTTGTCTTTTCAATGACCAAGTAGTTTTAGTAATTTTAGTTTTAAGATCAGTTTCCAGACTTTTTTATCCAAAGAGAATTAATCACTTTGTTTTACTCTTATTTATTTTTCTTATGTTGATGTGAAATTAATCAAATAATTAAGGACCACATGCATGGACAGTTTAAAGTATTTTTTAAGGTTATACAGTACATATAAAAAGATGGTTAGAGATAAACGCCTATTAAGCATGGTTTAATTAAAAAAACAAACATTATTTCTCATAGTTAACACTAGGTTAGATTTATAAAAAGAAGAAAACGGTTTGAGATAAAAGTGTTGAGAGATTAATTAGAAACTGATTATTTATTCATAGATACATTTACTCAAAGTTATTTATTTTATTTTACAGTCTTGGGAATCTGAGGAGACGTAAATGCATAACGTTGAGTAGAATATTTTCTCACCTGCACTTTGATGGTCAAAGTTGTGCCTACACGTATTTGTTTTTCTTGGGCCTAACTTGTTAACATTGGTTTTTGTCACTGCATCTTCAGTATTGATGTGTGAAGGCATTCAAATTGAGATAGGTTGGAAAGTGGAACCTTATACAGGTTGAACATAGATCAGGATTAGGATTAATGTGGCACAATTTGGGATTTTCCGTCATGTTGTGTAATCTACTGTATTGTGTACGCGTGTTTGCTGAAGTATGTGGGTTTGTAAATCAGAAATGAGGAGCAATATAGTTTATGTTTATGTTATTATTTATTTGATTTTATTTTCCAAGTGTACTTATGCTTTGTTGAGGTGTGTGTTTACCGTTGTCTGTTTACAGCTCGTGCCTCTGTTTTGTTTCTTTCTTTTTATGATCTGGAGCTTCAAATCTTAATATGTTTATTGTGGGGGTTTTTTGGGGGCGGCGGGGTTTGAATATGTCCCATCTTAGTCTCTGTAGTTTTGGAGTCTGAACACAGTCTGCTCCTTTTCTCATAAGGTCTTAAATGGAGTCTTCGGTTTATACTGTCACTCTCCTGTTATTGGAAACCTAGAATAATTGTGTTTACGATGGATTGGGTCCTCTCTTATATAAAGCTGCAGACACCTGCAGTGGAACTCTGATTGTTTGTACAGATGGGTTATGGCTCATTCCTGTTATTTCCTTGATTCCAGAGCTGGAGTGGTGTCTGGATAATATAGACTTTTTTCTTTTTTTTTAAATCTTCATGAACGTCATGAATAACTTGACATTATTGTTCCTTTTCTCTCTTCCTTCTCAGGAAGTGTGTCAACTCTGATAATATGAATCCAGGGCAGTGTTTGTTTTCTTGTCAGTGATTTCAAGTGTTCATAGACAATAAAAAAGCGACACACACTGGATATTTTACTTTGGAATTAAAGTCTGTTTTTAAAGCTGACTTGCAAATACCTTGTTGAAGGAGCTGGATCTGCTGCCTTGAATGGGGTTTTGTGTGGAAAATGTGGATGAATAATGAACTGCAGGGGCTAAAGTATTAAGTGTGGTGGAGTGCATCAGCTTGAGCCTCCTGGTTTACCCTAGCAGAGGCTGTTACACTTGGTAATTTACAAACACTCTTAAGAAACGTCAGAACAGTTTCTAAGAAAACACTCAAATTGTAACCTTTGGCACCAGGACAAAGGCTTAATGTGTTTTCAATGACCAGCTTGATTCTATTTGATAAACAAACTCATTTATAAACTGATTCTTGATTCGTTCCAAAGGTTCTGGGATAAAGGTGAGTTTACCTTTGGGCCACGTTCTCTTTTGATTACGTTTTATAATCACTTACAAATGGAGGAGGATAATTGTTGCAGTTTTTGCCCATTCCTACGGTGTCATCAGTCGACTGTCACCACTTTCTTCTTCATGAGTCATATATTTAGTAGAGATGGAGCTGGACCACAGTAGGAGAGCCGAAACAACTTAACCAAAGTCTCAGTCCTGTTCCTCTGTTTTGTTTCATGTGTTCAGATTTCAGAGCAAATGTCAAATTTTTAACCAAACCTCTTCAACATATTGAAGCCTTGCATTTCATTTTGTTTCTTTTTTGTTTTTTTACACAAATTCCAAATCTAATGACTGCTGTTGTAGTCAGCACTGTTGCCTCAGGAGTTAAACGCACCACTGTAGTTCAAGCAATTTTTTTGTGGTCTGACCTTTAAAATAAACATTACTTCATGCATTTTATATTAGGTTTTGGACAAAATCACTCATTTTAAAAGTATACCGCCCCTCATAAAAGAAAACAGACTTATAACTTTGACACTGCCATAGAAACCAACTTCTACATGTGAATAGAAACACACAAATACATTTGACAGTCTTCATGGAGATGAATATGATGTCAGATAAATGCTGTTCACAGCATCCTGCCTGGAAGATTTACTGTGTTTGCTTTCAATCGACTTTCTTATTACTGTGCTGTTAATACTGTTTTAGGTGCACTTCTGTCGCTGTAGCTGAAAGTAACCGTTGCATCCAAAGGCATGATATTTTTATCAAGCATAAAAATGTCAATATTATGGCCTGTATTGTAGATTCTTCTAGTTCAAAGGCAGAAGCAGAGGGGCTTTGGCTGCTCTTCTCTGGAGCTCTCACATCCTCCTGGAGCTGCTCCAGAAACTTATCCCACATGAAAGACGATCCACAGGCGACCTCTCTCCTCTCCACCATAAAAAAGGACGGCAAAACTCCTCTACATTGCACTTTATTCCGGCTTCAGTCACTGGTAACGTGAGTCTCAAACGTTCTGCTGGAAAAGCATTTAATTGGATGTAATTTATGCTTTATTCTGTCTGTGACTTGTTTTAACGACTTCAGCCCAAACTGGCTGGTTGGACATCTTTCTGTTACAGGAATGTGGAGAATTCTTGATGTTTCCCCTCTAATAAGAAAAGGTTCATGTTGCTGCTGACATGTAACTAAGGGACGGACTACATTTTTACTGTATTTGTGCCATCTTTATTTCTTTAATATAAGACAAAGTACACTACAAATGTTACATAAACCTGAATTGCTACTCAATATTTGATGTGCACTGACTGATGATGATGATGCAGTCATCACGTTTCACCATTACGCTAGACCAGGATACTGTTTCAGAATTGACTGAACTTCGATTAACTGTATTGTGCGTTCCTTGGTGTCTGAGTCAAATGTTACTTACAGGCTTTGATTTGAACAAAAACAGGAATTAGCATAGCTGGTTAACAGCTTTTCTGGTTGGTTTAATTCAATGCTAATGAGCCACTGTGTGCTCCGCCCATCTCTTTTACAGGGGGATGGGAGGTTGGGGGCAGTGAGTGGGTAATGGATGGCTTTGCATAACCATGACAAAGGTTAAGGTGTGACAGAGAAATAAAGAAAATGTTGTTCAACTGACGCTATAGGAGTAGGCTGACACTGCAGAGACCCCCTTAACCATAGACTTTAGTAAAACACCCAGAAACAAATCTTAAAACCTGAGTCTCCTCATCTGATGGTTGCATTAAATTAGGCCTGCTGTAAACATGCCGTCAGGTCATGTGCTTCTCCCTGATGGTCCTAGAGATCCATTTTGGACAGCTAGAAGAGTAGATAAATTCAAAGTACTATCATGTTTTCTATCAAGGACCTGTTGTTATGACAAGACCTTGGCCCAACTGTGCAGCCAGCACATTTGTACAGCTGACAAACAATCATCGAACTTCGGTCTTAGTTAAAAACCACTTTGTTGGATCTCTACAGTATGAGTATTGGAAAAAGATGGATAAAAACATCAGGTGTGACATGACTCAGGTTGAAGTACTGGTCTGAGCACTCAAGTATTGTATAATCAACAGAACCTCATGCTAAACCCAGTAGATTAGAAGTGAATGTCGATCGTCCTCTTTCCTCACCCTATGTCCACTTAGAACTGGTTACAGTCGTGACATGATCATTAATTGTGTTGATTTGACTTTCGCTGATTAAAACACATCCTTGGTGGATTTATAATGAGAACAGCCACTGCCAAAGGGACATTCAATAGCACTCTGTTCAGCATCAGGCGAGTTAGTTGTAGCCAAATAGTAAGACGTTGGAACGGCTTTATTTGACTTATGTAGAGACAATTAAAATTCCAGATAAATTATGTGGCTTGTAGGCGAGCATGCCAAAAATCATCTCTGATTGTGGAATATAATAAGATGACTTTGTGTAACATACTGAGTAATGGTGAAAGTATCCTGTGGTACTGTACAGTACTGCATCTACCGATTTGACAGATCTCCCCTGGTACACTGTAGCCAGCAAGTACTAAAACACAAATATACAGTATATAGAAGAAGAAACACAGCACATAGTATTGCACAATAAAAAAAAAACAATACAATATTTTCAATAAATTAGAGCCAGGGAAGCTCTAATGTCAATATGTTTATATCACCAAAAAAGCAAAGACACTTCATCGACCCCAGAGTTTGACCCTGAGCTACTCAGACAAGACCTTTAATAGACACAAAAATTCTAACATAAAGCAACAGTATAGACAGAATGACCCAAACCATCATTATGTTCTTCTTCACCTACTCGTACTTTCAAACTCACTCATAAAAGTCTAAAAAAAAGAGAAAGCATTTATTGTATGATGTGTTTTGTCGTAAGTTGTTACATTCATTATACATGTATACCTGTTAAATAATGGGTAGTTTTGCACTTGAATTGTGTATTTTGGTCACTGTGCAGAAATTGTGAGCGCTAAAGCAACGTATGTTTGTTTTTAATCAACAATAAGAAAAGTTGATCTCCTTTAACTTCTCGCCCTCAGAAGCTGTAAGGTGAAACCAGAATGTGGACCCTGGCCACGTGTTTGGCCTGAAAGGTGCGTTCACTGTACTCGGACATGTCCACATCGATACTGATGTTCTGTGGCCCGCGCAGCTGCTGGACCAGTATCAGTTCGCCAGTCTGTCTGTCTGAGCGCTGCATGACAAACATGCCACGGGTGTTCCCGCCCACTATACCAAATCTGAGGCTGTCGGGGCCAGTGCGTCCTGGGGCCGCTGCAGTAGCCATACGGAAAAGAGTGGCAGGAGTCTGCATGTCGGAGGGCAGTGACAGGTAGTGGAAGGACACAGTCTTAGGAGCTAAGTGGCAAGACCGGCTGTCCATGGGGCACGGGTTCCTCTCGCACTGACGACAGGACAGGACAGGACAGGGCAGGAGGCAGGTATTGGGCAGAGAACAGAACAGGACATAGCTGTTAAAAAAGTTTCCATTCACCATTTTAGAGAGAGTTTGTTTTTCAGTCGTCATGTAATGTGGTCACTTGGTCTTTAAGGAACACTTACATAATGAATCTGTCTCTGTGGGAAAGTGTTCATAGCTGTTTCTTTGTGACTCAACAGCAGGGACACACACAAACCAAGACACATGCAGCTATTCTTTTTGGGACTTTGCAACACAACCAGAACTTTAATGCTAACTGTAATTATCACCAGTTTATGCCTGACTTGAACCTAAACAAAACTGAACACACCTCTTGATTTATATCCTTGTTTTGAGAAATAACACAGGGCCTCATTAGGACCAGGACCAATGAATTCTCATTTTTTGTGAGCACTTCACCAAGATGTAACACATTCTCTTGCACTTCATCTGAAACTGTACTAAAAATCAATGCCAAACCCTAATCCTTTACTTTTACTCTAATCTGACCATAATCTTAATCCTAAAACCAAACTAAATCTAAACCTCTGCAAAATGTCCCCACAACAATTGTATTTTTCCAAAAAATGTTCCTAGAGGTCATATCATGATTGATATGTTAATAATACAGTATACCAGTACAGTTTAAACGACTTTCCCAGTCCACTCTGGATAACACTGCGTTGACGTTTTGCTTTAGACTTTATACTGTGATTAAGTGTTTTTCTAGTGGTGGACTGTGGCCTTAATGTGAGTCACTGGCATCCATCTGGTGGTTAGTGAGACTGGATCAAAACCACCAACTTGTCCAGTCCAACAGCAAGACTCTCTGTGAACCAGGTTTTTATTATTAGGTACCATTGGATTCACTATTGTATGGACTAAAATACATAAAGCACATCAATCTCCAATGACCTGAGGACCACAGCTGCCACTGTCATTTTATACCATGAAATCTGTATATTGCAACCGTGCAAATGAGTACAGTTAATGGATGAACAAAGAAAGCCATTGAAAAAACTTTTTTAAAGAATCCCTTAAGAGCCAAATTAAATACCTAACTTCTTCTTTTCTGGTTTTTATCTGCACGTCTTCATGGGTTGAAGTATGTGCATTGAATGCCTCAATTCTCGACTTGGTGTTCTGTAAAATTAGAATGTTAGTCATGGCTATAATTCCATGACCTTTTGGAGTGCCTCAGACCTGGTAGAATTATAGAGGACATCTGAATCTGAATTGATGTGTAGTAATTAGTAAACCTCTTCACACTGTACCTTTTATTTCTTGCTGATATTAGGTATTGCTGAGTACAGAACCTGTAGTCAAGTGCAAACACTGATTCTTGTGAGTACACTGACAAATAAAAACATGAGTGAGCAGTTTTAATGTAGGATACGGCCCCTGGCTTACACACATTCCTCCTTTTCGCTACTTACAAGTGTTTTCCTAAACATATCCACAGCCATCCCCCGTTGTAGCAGTGGCACAGGGATTCGCTACATTGATGGTTGACTAAAATCAAACAGAGCTGTTCTTCAGCTGCTGACGGGCAAATAAGGACGTGGAAGCTGTGATGTGTCCGAACATTTGGCCAAAAAACAGACAATCTACGTGCTTCTGGTAAGAGTTTGGCTGAGTGTGAACATTATTTTATGAAAAACAGTTGCTCTGTTGTAACACTGTTAATAATCCCAACCAGGGTAAAAAGGTCACTTTTTTAGGTCAGCTCTTTTTTATGAATGTGAAATAAGTTTCAGAGGATTGTGTTAAATAATATGGTAAATAACAGAAGTAATGATGGCTGCCATTGTGAGACCAAATGGATTAGATTAGATTAGATCAAAATTAATTTGTCATATTGTCAGATTTACTCAGGGAAAATTAAATTCCAGCATCAGTATGTAAGCAAAAAAACACACACATGGCCAAAGATTTAACCCTAAAATAATTAATACACATTTTTAAATGTGAGTGTTATTACACAGTGTCCAGTTGTATTTGGGTTGTGGTCAGGTTACTGCTATCTCCCTGTCCCCCTATAACCCCTTTTTGCCCTTCTCACACCAGATGAGAAGTTTTATAGTCTGATGGCAGGTGGAACAAAGAGGTTGTTTAGTTTATTAGTCTTGCACTTGGAAAGAAACAGTAATACTAGTAATAATGTGATTATTATAGTATTATTATTATCATCATTCGTGATGTCACTAAACATGAAGACAGGACGACTCAAAATGTTCCAAGGAAAAAGTCAGCGTTAAATCTTAAGTGTCTGAGTCATTCAAATACAATCTATAATAGAAACTAAGTAAACAACAATTAAGAAGTTTCTTTCTCTCCTCACAAGATCTAAATCTGTGTACAGCTGGTTCCACTTACATACAAAACAAGGTTAACCATTGTCCCGACGAGGATGGGATTCGAACCCACGCGTGCAGAGCACAATGGATTAGCAGTCCATCACCTTAACCACTCGGTCACCTCGTCTTCTCTGGGCTCACTAATTTCATTTTCGTCCTATGGCAGTGATCACACCTCTCAGTTAACGCTATACACTATACATTTTTTACATGGACATAAATCAAAAGTTGAGTCCATTTTCCTACAGAAAAATAAAAAAATTCCAATGTTTTGCGGTACACACTGAAATATTTGGGTTCTGCTTTTTCTTGGAGACCTAAGAGCTTGTGGTTGTGAACAACATCATCCTCTAACCCACAAAGGTTAGTACAAGCCCATCCCTGACAGTCCAGTACAATTAGCTTGATTATAATCATAGCTGAAACCAGATGATTTTTCTTTCTGACAGAAAAGAACCAAAGATTACAGACGACGAGGATGGGATTCGAACCCACGCGTGCACAGCACAATGGATTAGCAGTCCATCACCTTAACCACTCGGTCACCTCGTCTGACAAGCATAGTGTCGGTTCATCCGTTGTTGTTTGTTACTTCATACAATATAATACTTCAGTCTTAAATAGTGTGTTTTCTGGCACTGATTATTGATTCCAAAAAAGACCTGACTTCATGTGTTTTAATTGTATTCGTTTCTAAGGTAAGAGTCCAATCTCAAATTGTTCTTCTGTCCTTAACCCTGGTCTACAGTTGATTACAAAAATTTGGAGTTCTTGAAATATAACCAGTGGTTAATTAGAGCAGGATAGTTGAAGGTGATGCTGCCTTTCCTGGGAAGTACAATGCTAGTGTCACTAGTTGATAGTTTTTGTTTTTTTGTTGTTATTTGACACAAAGACCATTAACATAACTAACCCTAAAATACTTCCTAAAACACTTTCTAATGTGTTTTTTTAAATATATATAACATAACAGTGAGCTTCTTTAAAATGTGGCTGTCATATATTTTCTGTGTGTTCACCTTCAGCTGATGGACTCCTTTCACCCCCACATTCACCTGTAGACCTGGTTCAATAATCAGAGGATCATTTGAAAGATGACATAAAACCTTGGCTCTTGAATATTTTGTTACTGCAGTTTTTTCCTCTGACACGAGAAGTGATGAAGAAAACAAACAGCTCAAACCGAGCTGCAACCACTTACAAAGGTGACGTCTTGACATAGCTGATGTTGCCATGTGAACGGGGACACTCTGGACTGACACAGTGAAAGCCTCCCCCCGTGTTGATACAAGTTGTCCCTCGGCTACAGTTGTGCTGCTGGCTCAAACATTCGTCCACATCTGGAGGACAAAACAGCACAGACATGAGAATGAGAAGCAGGGAGAGAGACGTGCCAGACTGCTTCCTGGTTACCACAGTCTGAGCAGGGGGTTTGGTGTGCAGTGATTGTTTATTTGGCTTCTTTTTTCCCTCCTTTTTTAAGTTTAGTCTCCCACAAATGCCTCACGTCCCAAAGATTCATTCTGGGAAAAGATGAGATCATTCATTCCACTGGCAAGCTCTGTAAGCTTCAGGGGTGCGAATGGAAGTGGTAGCAAAATTTGTGAGGCTGACAGACACCTCTGCAGAGAGCGAGAGGTCTGCTGCTTAGAAGTCCTGGATTTGTCAGGATTATAGATATTAGCCCAACAAAATGTGTCCAGAGGCACGCAGTCATATCTGTCTAGTCTCTCACCTTCACATCTCCGTCCGTCTGACAGCAACTTGTAGCCACTTGGGCAAGAGCAATGGTAGGAGCCCGGGATATTCACGCACTCGTGGATGCAGAGTTTCCCCCCCTGGTCGAGTCGATACACCTCACACTCATTTACATCTGTTGGACAGATGAAAAAAAAGCATGCATCTGCTTAAAACACTGAGGACATGACCGCTCGGAGGCTTTTACATTTATGACCATAATAGCTTTATTTATGAAGTTAGCACTACTTAATTATATTTGCATGCAGAAGCAATATTTATTAATTAAAATAAGTTAATTTATTAACCCATGAAGTCAAGTACAACTAGCTTGATTATTATCACAGCAGAAACCAGTTCAGCTTTCTTTAAGACACTAAAGAACCACAATGGGTGGACGACGAGGATGGGATTCGAACCCACGCGTGCAGAGCACAATGGATTAGCAGTCCATCACCTTAACCACTCGGTCACCTCGTCTGGTAAGTGTGGACTTGGTCCATCGGTTCCTGTTTGGTTAATACCTTAAATTTAAACTCTATTGATTTCTTTTCAGTTTATTGCTGTCTCTTGCAATGACCTTACTCTAATCACTGTATTTCACTGTGGGGATGGTGTTCTTTGTGTTGTATCCCCACTCCATTCTTTTCAGCTAAAGGCCAGAATTTTGAGTTTTTTCTCTGGGGCCTTATGTAAACATAAGGTTCACTGGCCTTATGTTTACACTTTGATTCAAGGAAGGACTAAGAAAGTTGTAGGTGTCCTGGTAGTTGTTGAAGAAGGTTTAGAAAGCTGGTTCTTTTCACGTATATAAAAGTTTTATACACACTACTCGACGAGGATGGGATTCGAACCCACGCGTGCAGAGCACAATGGATTAGCAGTCCATCACCTTAACCACTCGGTCACCTCGTCTGGTAACCATGTACTTGATCCATCAGTTCTTGTTTGGTCAATACCACAGACTCTGGCTCAAATCTTTGTCTATAATGGATTGCTGTCTTGTACAATGACCATACTCTAATCACAGTTTGGATGGTGTTCTTCAGGTTGCATCCCCATTCCATTCTTTCTTAAAACTTCTTAAAGGTCAAGGAAGTCAAAGGCCAGAAATTCAAAAGAACACAGACGACGAAGATGGGATTCGAACCCATGCGTGCAGAGCACAATGGATTAGCCGTCCATCACCTTAACCACTCGGTCACCTCGTCTTCTCTGGGCTTTTTTTCAGTCTCACTAATTTCATTTTCGTCCTCTGGCAGTGATCACACCTCTCAGTTAACGCTATACATTTTTTTACATGGACATAAATCAAAAGTTGGACCCAAACTCCTGATAATTCTGTTCAAGCAGAAATTCCTGCCGGAATCCCTGGCACTGATGCTGCTACAGAAAAATAAAGATTTTTTATTGTTTTGTGGTAAACACTGAAAGATTTGGGTTCTGCTTTCTCTTGGACACGTAAGGGCTTGTGGGTGTAAACAGCATAGTACAATTAGCTTGATTATAATCTCAGCTGAAACCAGATGATTTTTCTTTCAGACAGAAAAGAACGACGAGGATGGGATTCGAACCCACGCGTGCACAGCACAATGGATTAGCAGTCCATCACCTTAACCACTCGGTCACCTCGTCTGGTAAGCATAGGGTCCGTTCATCTGTTGTTGTTCTTTACTTTATACAATATAATACTTCAGTCTTAAATAGCGTGTTTTCTGGCACTGATTATTGATTCCAAAATAGATTTAAAGGGCTGAAGTCCGTCCTCCATGTGTGTCAATCAATTAAATGATCTTTAGCCTTCTTAGGACTCAATGACCATACTCCCATTTGTAGAACAAATGAAACATTCTCAGTTTGTGTCACCATTCCCTCTGGCATTTTGTTTACACTTTCATTCAAGAAAGAACTAAGGCCGTCCCAGTGTCGTTGAACATTTGGAAAGATTGTTCCTTTCTTATACACATTACTTTGATTATAGTCACAATTAAAACCAGTTGATTTGTCTTTCATAAAACTGGCAAAGACAATGTACGACGAGGATGGGATTCGAACCCACGCGTGCAGAGCACAATGGATTAGCAGTCCATCACCTTAACCACTCGGTCACCTCGTCATGTACTGTACTGTTTCTTCAATATATCAAATCTGCTAAAAAACAGCACATGCTAACTACAAAAATGTTTACAAGGACATAAGTGAGGACTTATTGTTCTATGATTCCTTCAGTTCATAAGGTTGCATTGTAAATGTGTGCACTTTTATGTGTAAAACAACCAGAAGCTGAAACGGTTACAGCAATCATTAAAATACCAGGTTTGAGAGTTGGAACTCACCCTGGCAGATACTGTTATCTGATGTGCCACTCATGTGAAAGCCTGCGTCACAGCTGCAGTGCTGAGCACGGTTGACTTGGGCACAGCGCGGTCTGCGGCTGAACGATGGGTCGTTCATAACACTCCACTCTGGTGGTGCTGCACAGATGTGAAGGTGAAGTACCAAAAACATAGAGTAGAATGACATACTGAGTCACAGTCACGCGTTCAGTTGCACTGACCTGTCTGAGTTTGGTGCTGACAGTGTGAGCCGCTCCAGCTCTGGGGGCAGGTGCATTTATACTGGTTCACTCCTTCCACACACGTGCCTCCATTTTGGCAGGGATTGCTTGCACACTCGCTGACATCTGCAGGTAAAGGTGAAAATACAGCTGCTTTCAGTTAAATATTCAAGCCCAAAGAGCTGTGGTTTAAGATCATTCACCAGTCAGTGTTTAGTTCAGATGTTTCAGCCTGTGAGGTGAGTCTCTCTTTGCGTCATTTCTATTTTTGTTTTAGAGAATATCACTAACTCTGGTGTCATATTTGATCTGTTCATGTCTTTAGTGCTCCAGGCCTGCGTGCTTGCTCACTTATGGCTCTTGTGAGATCTATTTTTACTAAAACTGTGATGGAGATAGTGATTCAATGTTTTATTTTTTTTTTCCAGCTTGGCCTTTGTACCTGCTCAAATCTAACCACAATGAATCACATCCAAAACACAGCAGCCTCAGGTTTTCTAACCAAAAAAGTAAAGTGAATCCATTATCAAGTTAAGTAAAGCGTTTCTATTTTTCATTGCTTTATTTCATGATGAGAAGTGACAGAGTTTTGACTGTGTAAAAAGAAAATTACAGAATGTCCAGAACTTTTGCACCATTTAGGAGTCTTTAATGAATATGAGTTTATTAACCTTTGTCTTGATTAGTTTATTTGACTTGAAGTCTTTTCTCATACTGAAAACCAGCATTTCTCCAGTTTGAAGCCTGTTAGTTTATATGCTGCTCAATCTATATGATTGGTTATTTAAGTCTGAAGGAAGAGGTCAGCCGCACAAATACCTTCTCTTTGTGGCTATTTTTTTTTTCATTATAGACAATTCTTACATTATAGCCAATTCTCTACCAGAAATTATCCAGGGACCAGAAATTCATGCTGAAGAGTTTCTGTCTGGTTGTAAATTTTATCTGTAATTCTGTGAATTAGTTCTATGTCAAATAAAATGTCTTCATATGGTGAGGTAAAGGGGAATTCTAACAGCAGGAAACAGACAAAGTTTTGCTTCAAAGGATCATGACAGCAACTAGAATCCTAGTCAGTTGTGTGAGAAACCTCTCCAATAGTTTAAAATCAGAACCCCATGTTCTTGTTTTGCATACAGATGTATTTAGATCAAAGGTGGAAAACTTTTTGGCTCCTCACGTTAGAACAACTTCCTGCTCTGATAAAAACAGGAATAAAACTCTTGAGTGGAAGTCAACAGTGCGGTCCTAAAAGTTTTGTCAAAGCACTGACTTGTGAAAAAAAAGTAAAGGGAAAACCACTGTTTAAACACTTATGAAGGAATATGAAACGTCTTACATGCATTAGACTGAACTTCAGACTTCAGGGGTAAGAGGAAAAGTGTGACACTCGTAAAGAAAGACAGGGAGGAAAAAATGAGAGAGCTTCTGTAAGTCTTTCCTGTCTGCCATCCATCCATGGATGAGGGATGAGACCATGCAGTCTGATAAATGATACTCAAAGACTGGTACTGTCATTATGGGCACAGCACATAAGTCAGTGATGCCCTTTCATTTGCTCCATATGTGGAAAAGTACCAGTTCTACTTGAAAAATCTTAAGGTTATTATTAAAGTGCCATTTAATAAATCCCTTCTACCTCTCTATAGTCGCTATGTTAATATATATTTAAACTAATGCCAATGGATATTTCATCCTTTTTTCAATGATCTAAATTTTTGTAAACTCATTTTCATCTCTTTTTTTATGTCAAGCAATTTTTAAGCCAATAAAAGACTGAGTAATTGAAGTTCTAACTAATTCCAGTTTGATTGACTTATCTGGGACACAGATAATTAATGATCAGGCCCCGACCACCGAAAATGATAGGCCTATTTAAAATAAACTCTTACGGAAAAAGAAAAACTCCACAAATTGCACGCTGTTGACCTAAGCAGAAGCTAAGATCTCCGGCAGTTTCCAAAACACGCACTGGCTAATGTCGATATAATGAAGCGAGTAGATAAATAGTACATCAGACGTTATGATCTCCGTGTCTGCAGTTGGTTCTGAGTGGTGTGCAGATGTTCTCCGTTGTGCTTAGCTCACTCCAGTGCTGAAGTCATAGTACAACCAATCCCTTTAATATTTATTTGGCTTCCCTTGGGGCCACCGTTGAGCCATAACATGAAAAAGCTCACTTCACTCTGCTAAATATTTTTAAAGTCATCTTAACTTTGGGGGTTTCATGGTCTGTCAATGCTGCTTTTTTTAAGCCTGACTAAATTTAGCTCTGTTGGAAAAAATGAACAGGGCAACCTTTTCATGTATTCATGTCAATAAACATATGCACATGTTAAAGGTTTGAGAGTGCCACCACCGCCTGAGGTGGACTATCAGGAGCGTGCTTAGCATAGCTGTGTGTTATCAGACCATGGTTTGAGTATAATGTCTGGACTTAACTCTGGACTGCTGTCAAGAGCCGTAAGAAACCTGAGCAAAAGAGGGCACAGGGTTTATCTTACAGTAGCCCGAGCTTTGCTGCTAATTAGATGTAGAAACCTGGAGGGGAATGGACCTCACTGCGGAATGCAGTACAGGTGTTTGTCTGTGTTCGCAGACATTTAATGCCATTTTAACGAGGGCTTCATTCAGTATGCCAAGAAACTGCAGCCCCTCAAAGAATGGCTCTTTTCTTTGAATGTTTGTTATCTCTCTTGCTCTCTCTCCCTCTTTCTTTCTCTTTCTCTCTCTCTGTCTCATACATGCTCTCTCTGTCTTTCTCCTTCATTTGTGGGTGTATTGGTAAATAGAAATCCTTATTTTTGCACCGTAGAATAACAATTACTTTTCAATTCTACAATATTAACTAATCTGCATAAGATAAAGGCAAGGGTTTAATCTTGTTATTTTTAATTGTATTTAATTACACCTTTTTCAGTTTTCTCATTTCTGGCACACTGGTAACAATGGTTTGCACACACCAGACCCCTGAATTTAAACTACCAGCTACAAACAAGGGCTACAATGCGCAAGAATAAAACAGGTGACAATTGTCACACACTAAAGCCTTCTCCATATCATGTTTTAAAAAATTATTGTCTGGCATCCTCCTCTTACACCCTGCTTGTGTACTTTTCTGCCACTCCTGACTTCCCCCATAAATCACTGTTTGACTCTTGATAACCAGTTTTATAATATTACATTTAAAAATAATAGACAACAAAACATTAACCATGAATAAACAAGGATGTAAAGTCGGGGAAAAAAAACTCACCTTTACAGACGGCACTGATACCTGTCCAGGTACCATTGTCCTGGCAGACTCTTGTGGCAGAACCAACAAGATGGTAGCCCTGAGAGCAGGTGAAGTGAACCTCGTGTCCAACTAAATACTTTGAGCCGAACTTGCTTCCATAAGCTGGGGCCTCCAGGGAGGGGCAACTGGTGGTAGCTGTGAGGAGGGAAGAAAGACAGAATGAGAGCAAGACAGGTCCTATGTGGAGTACTGTAAGACTCCTGAACATTGTCTTGCATTCTTTGCCTGAGGGCATACACAGAGAAAAGACTTCATGAGGAAGAGATGCTCCATTAACAGTCAGTGAATGGAGGGTCAACTCTTCCTGTGAAGCAGAATAGCACCAGCAGCTAGGTCTATGCTATGGTTCACTAAGTTTCATGCTTCTGTAGCATGTAATGTCATTAAATTATATAACATTTTATTGTATTTTTAAGTCTGACTTTCTGTTTTCTCCAACTTCACTAATGCTATGTTAAATTACATTCAAAACAGTGTTTTCATCTACAGCTTTTTAAAATTTCCATTGCCAGAATCCGGTCACGTCCACTTCAATTTAGCCTTAATTATACAATTTCTGCCCATTTCTTTAGAACAACATTATATCCATGGCAGACCTCCAGCCACATAAGACAACTGCGGGTAGTAATGGCAAATATTTGCACGATGGAAAACAGTGTCCACAAGAGCATGCAAAGCAGGTGGTTGTGATTTTACCCGTTCTTTCATTTTTTCTTGCTGCAAATGCTAACTATCAGCTATTTCCTGTCTTGCCAAACCCTCTCCACACAGTTATGGAATGGACTGCTCCATCACTGACAAATTAGCCTCATTGTATGCTGCCAAACAACACAATTCCACAAACCCACTTCCCTTGTCAAGTACCCAGCTCTATAACTAAGATGGCCTGGTGCAGTTGGATGAATTTCTGATGTATAATGTAACCTTCAAAGAAATGAATGTTTCTACAAATCTGTAAATGTGATAGACTGTAATATTAGCTTCATGTTTGCTTTAGCCTGCCAACACATGGCTGATTTAATGTTATAAAATTATAGTTGTTCAACCTACAGACTAAAAACTACTCAAGGGCCAGGCTCAAGAAACATGAAATATATTAAGCTGATAGAACTTTATGATAATACTATTTCTCCACATATAATTAACAAAATATCAGAAATAGGAAATATATAAAACATCAAACTATACTACAAAATGAACAACCACAGACTAAAAAGATACTTTTGGTTTGTATTAAATTATATACATGTCTACCAAAATAAGTTGACCAGAACAAATAGTTTTTAGGACCTGACCTAGGTTGCTGCTGGGGATGTGGCAAACAAAACCCAAATCCACTGTTGAAGAAGTTTAATGAGTTTCAGCAAATGATCAGGGCCCATAGAAATGCTTTAGTAATAAGACAAAAACATCTGTAGAGTTTTTATCAAGGCCCTGTAACTACTTTGTCTCCTGGCATTGTGTGTCAGGTCCCTGAATGTCAATAACTACAGAATTAAAAGCTGCCTACCACAGGGTCTAAGTCACAAGGTATGCTGATGACATAAGGCTGTTAACAATACTAAGAGGCGAACCTGATGCAATGACACTGTTTACTCACCAGGTGATTGGTCTGCCTGGGGTAACTTGGAGACCGAGTTCTGCAACGCTGCCAACTTCGACTTCATGATCCTAAGACCTTCTGTAAATCGCATCTCTTGCCCTTTGAGAAATTTCTCCATTTGACGAAGAACCCCGACCACCTGGGACTTATCCATGCAGGTCTGTGAATGCAACACAAGCGCTTCAACATCACGGCAACATCAAGAGGTAACTTGGCGAAAGCTTCTCAAACCCAGTGACTTTCCAAAAAACAAACAAGCACCGAACTAAAGGTTACCTCATTTAAATGGTCATAAAATATAAAACATAAGCGCTTGATTAACATTAATGTGCAGCTGTGGAACATGATGTCAGTGAAAGTGAATCCGCCTCATTACCAGGCAACTGGTTGTCAGAGTCATAAAGACACTTCACACAAATGGTCAGCCACCCATTTTTAAAAGCTTGACCCTTCGAAAAACTCTGCATGATACCCTTGTTATTTACAAATTTAGTCTTAAGCTGCGGGTTTCAAGCCTTGGAGTACTTACAGAGGTGCTCATTGTCCAGTGTCCACTCTGTTTATAAGTTTCTGTCAACTTCTTACCCTAGTCAGTGTCTCGGTGCATCCAGGGACTTTTTACTCTTTTTTTTTATATCGTGGTTCATTTACTTTTTGGGAATGTAAACTTATAAAGCCTCTAACAAATGTAATACAACAAAAAACAAATATACTACCTCCTGGTCACAAAAATATCCTAATGAGCCTTTCAAATTTATACTTTAACATTTTTATAAGGTTATTTTTGGACTGGCAATATTATAAAATAAACTCTGAAAAATGGCAAATTGAATTGATATTTGTTGAATCCTTGTCAAGAATGGGGAGGAAATCAAGTGTATCACCAAAGAGTTTTGATTTCACCTAGTTTTCTGGCATAACACTAAGCAAACAGGCCTGCCTGCCAAACAGGCTGGCAAGGAACACATCAAGGTAGAGGCTGTGTTATGGTTTGGAACTATATTTTTCACTTTGATTTTTGTGAGACACTGTCAGTGATTAACCGATTTCCACAGAGCACTAATCTAAGTTTCAGTGAAATTATTTGGGATCACCAGGTCAGAGGTTGATATGATGTTCAAGAGGACTGAAAAGTATTACAGAATATAACATTAGAATGTTTCAAACTAAACCTGGTCATACTGCTGCTTTCTTTAAACCGGTCAAAGGTCAAAATAAATGTTGATTGTCGCTGAAGTGTGGGATCGCAAACGATTCCCCTTTCTGTTAACATAGTAACACAGTAGTTTATAAATATTACACTCATTTCACCTTTTGTATTTTCTAGGTAAAACATCACACTGACTTGTGCTCTTCACACTGTTTTCTCCAAATGCCAAAACTCCAGTTGTAGGCACAGCTGGACCAAAGCTGTCTGGCAGCTATGAAAAAGACCCAAGTCCAGAATGTTGTCCCTGTGTTTAATTTTGTGTGGTGGTAGAAAAAGGGCATAAAATTAATGTAAAATCCTAAAAAATGACTGAGTCAATAACAGCACGAGTGCCACTGGCAGTAACTGCAGGGAGAAATGCATTAGAAAGTTCTTCAGAGAATGGGCCTCGATAATCCTTTCAGCAAGGTTTATTAATCACATGCTCAATGGAACATTTTCCTTTGTTAGGCATACCTTAAATTCCTGTACTGGCATTTTGAGGGTTTTTTTTCCACAACACAAGTTTCACTACATTGTACTCAGTTCTGTTCAACTGCCTTAGGCAGAAGGGAAATGCCACCAACTGACCAAACATGAAAGAATTCAATAAAGCAGTGGTTTACACTATATACCATCACCAAAAAAACACTGACTCTACAAGTGCCAGTATGACTAACACTAACATACAAGCAGCACAGGCTTACTCTGTAAGGCTAAACATAGAGAAGGAAGAAGATCATTTATTCTTAATAGGGTCATAACTCTAGCCTTTATATCAGTCAAAGCCACACTGTACAATGAGACAAAGAAAATCAATACAACAAAATTGAACAATTTTGACAAATGTCAAATGTGTGCCCAGATTTAAATGGAAAAGTTAATTTAATTGCAAAAACACATTTCTTTTTTTTTTTTTTTTTTCCAAAGTTGATGTCAGACCTTAGAGGAGGCAAAGAAGCAGGATGAAACCAGGTGCTAAAGACATCTCCTAGAATAAATTATCTGACGGAAAGATTACTTGCAGAAGTGTTTAGACACTTGGGTTATATAGAGAGATAAAGCTGTAGTATTATCCATGAATAAATACATTTATTTGTCTCAGAACCTTTTTAATTTCCCTTGTGCAACCTCTATATTTTACTATTAACTCAGGGAATCACTTGATTCTGACAGGAATCAGCTTCCATGCATACCACTGGAGGCAGCAAACGTACCACTTGTGATACATGTACCATACTTTGAGAACCACTGAATTTGTAACTCTATGTAATGACCATTAAACTCACAAGCCTAGATGATGAACTGGTGCATCACAAAAGTCTAAGTGAACGTATGATTATTTATATATGAAATACATGTTAACAAGCAGATATGGTTATAGTCCAGCTAAATGAATTTTGATGCAGTCAAACACTTAAATGTCACAGTTTCCTTACTATTAAATGTCGCTGGACAAAGTGTCAACTAAAAAGTTACCTGCACAGCAGCATGACCGCTTTGGATTGCTGTCAAACACAGCAGAAGCAAACACCTGCGTTGAAAAGACAGCGCCATCTCTAAACGTCCAACAGTGATGACTTATAATATGGATTCCTGTCCTTTCCTTTCAAAAATAAAATCCAAAAACTCTCCTCTAAAAAGTCGTTCCCCGTGTGTAGAAAGCGGCAGAAGGTACCGTCAGGTGTGAGCTGGAGAGATGCGCTCTTGTCTCTGGATCTACACTCCTGAAAGGTCCAGCATCTGAGGTCTGCACCGCCGAGGTTTCATGAAGCGGTAAGAAAAGGACCCTCCCACTCAGATCTAGCCCAACACTCCACAGAGCTCCGTCTCCTGTGAGTTTCACAATTTCATATTATACAACGCAGAGGCACAAATTCATGTGATACGAGCTTCGATTAAATGTATTATTATATCATAGCTATAAGTCAGCAACTAATAAATCAGAAACAAACTAAAACTAAAATGACCCAAAAGTCAACTGGAGGTTAGAAAAGTTAACTTAATACAAAATTCAGAAATAGAAATATTTTTAAGGATTCAAATGTGATATGTGTATATTGCAGGACACGTTTATTATTATTGTATGTTGATTTCTTTATCAAACATTGCCACGGAACAAATCATTAATCTTATCCTGTCCTCGTCCTTCACACTCACCTTCCTTCTACATGCCGAGCAACAGCAATAATAATAATAGCAACGGCAATAATAGTAATGATAATAATAATATTTATAATTCATCATCAAATGAGAAACACGTTTTGATATAGTGTAGTTCTATAAACAGTGATAGAGGGACATCTAGTGTCTATTAAGAGTATGACAGCTGTGGATATAAAGTTGAGTGCTGTACGTAGTTCATAGATGAAATGTTATTTCTTGTATTGTAAAGGGAAAATACATTTCAATACCTACCTTTTCCCATGTTTTTTAATTTAACAACACATGGGAAATTACCACATCTAAGGATCTACCTAATTGTAACCAGTGTTGCTACACATTTCTAGAAATGTAGAAATTAAATTAGTCACCAGGTGTTTAGTAAAGTGTTGTTTTCAAAAAATTGGAATATTACATAAAATTACATATCAAACTATATACTTACAACAGAATTCACTGAACAAATTAAAACATTGGTTATATGGTTGTGCTCACACGCACAAGTATGAAGTGATCACAGGGACATATTTATTCCAGGAACAAATTTTTAAACCAAATTTTACAGTCAAATATCTGAATGCTGATAATAAATTTTGATAATAAATTATGAACTAAATGAAGAAGGATCCTCATGTTCCTATTGTGGGAAACCTTTTGAACTTCAGCAACATCTGGAGAACACATCTGAGTCGAATTGTACTAAAAGAAGAAGAGAGACTTTATCCTGTAGGAATCTTAGTAATCTGATGGTTGACACTCTGAATCAATTACCCCAACTTTATCACAGCGTAGGGTCAGGCAAGCAGTATTCTTTAACTGTTAGTTGCCTGTGTTTAATTTTATAGTGGTCCATACTGAAGGTCACATCATATTAAGGTGTCCATCAGGATTGGAAAAATATGTGGAAAAACCTCCAGCATAGCTTCAACTGCAAGATAATTCCCCTCCCCCTTTTTTTGCTATAGAGATATTCTTTATTAATCTTTTAACTGTTAATATTTTTTAGGGTCACCAAAGGAGGTGACACGAATCGCTGCTGCCATTAGGCAAAGAGTTTGTACACTCTCAACAGTTGTCCATCGCAGAGCCATATTCAGGTAAAAACTAAACGTCACACCAACACTCAAGACATTATTCACTCATGTCTTGTATGTTGAATTGGTTTGTTTAGAAATTTTTCTTACTAGTTTCCTCTCTTGATTTTATTTTTATACATTTCTAGTTCCTAAATTGTCAAATTTTAGCTTTTATTATTATTTTGTTTAATTTTAAAATTGGCACCTAAAATAAAAAATATATATTTATTAAGGTTGTTTTTTATGTATCTTTACTACATTATCACATAATACTAGCTTCCACTAATGCCAAATTAGGAGGGCTACTAAAAATTAAACGCATTGCCTTTATTGCACTAAGAACTGCGCTGTTCAGTATCTATGAAAGGTGAAAAAAGGTTTAAAAAACATTATTTCCTCTGTGGGTATGTTCTTTGAACATATCACGGAGTGATGTGACTGTGTACATCCCCGTACCACAGCTAACGTGATGTGTTGGGGTGTTAGGGAGGGCGTGTCCAATGAAGTGCGTACGTTAAAAAAACAAGAAAAGAAACCTGAGAAAAGCAAACAATTTAATCCAATTCCGCTATTTTGTTTGGGATACGGCGTACAATATTAAATTAGAACACCATGATAACCCACATGCATGTCCATAAACAGTGACAAAGCACAAATTCTTCGCCGTTCCTCCTCTGAAGGTGTCGATGCAGATGTTGTAGTAAATTACTGACACCGCTTTCAACCAATGAAAATTGTAGGTTTTTGTCCCGTGGTGCTGTTTGACCAATCGCCGACGAGTGTCTGCTGCATTCAAGTTAGATAGATCTGACAAGCTTTAAATACAAGAGGGGGACAAGGTACAAGCATGAAATGTGCTGCAGAAATCAGAGGCCATCTTGCGATGCTGTTGAGAAAAAGCCGTGAAGATGCAGAAAACCAACGAGCACTGTTTTATTCGTGTCTCCGTCTCCTCTGTGGTACCAAGGCAGCTGTCAACCAACGGGATATTAGCACAGCGGGGCTACCGAGCTGTGTTCACTGAGTTAAAACGACATTGACATGAAAGAGGAGAGTGTCTGTTGTAGTGTCTCTGTGGAGACATGTCACACCGTGAGTTTTTTCCAGTCTGAAATCTTTCAGCGTCTCTCTCACAACCCAACGTCTCCTTGAGTGACTGAGTTAATTCACTCTGGTGCCGGAGAGAACAGAAAGGAGGCGCAGCTCCGCTTCTCCAATGGCTTCTGTGAGCCTTGTTTCCAGTCCCCCAGCCCCTGTTCTTGACAAAAACATGACAGACTCTGAGCTTGCAGGGGACGAAAGGTCGAGTAACATTCTTGTGCAATTATTAATACGCTCATTTGTGCGTTTCGCTGCTTGTGTGATTGTTTATTTTCTTTTTCTTTTTTTTAACCATTAATTTCAGTCTACAGATACATTTTCCACCGGGGTGTATACCCCTCGTCTCCCCACACCTCAAACACATTTGCATGCATCCGTGGAACAGTTTAATAACGCTGTCCAAAGTACTGTAGGTCTCCATCGCCATTCATAACCATTTCCATGCAGAAAGCACAGCTCATCAGTGCGCGTTGTTGTAGTACTTGAATGGAATTACGACAACGTTGTTGCCATCTACAGGATAATTTGTGTAAATGACCACCACGCCCATCCAAGTGGTGGATTCCACCTGGTGGATTTAGGGCAGTACTGCAGAAACAGTGTTGAGGATACTTGATCGTCTGCTGCGTTAGGGTCATGGCTGCGTCCTAGTCAAGGCTCTGTGGGTTGTCAGGGCAACAGCCTGTGTGTGGTCCAATAACCCTTGACTTGTCCTATGTTCATTTTGACTCAAAATCAAGGTGTTTTTTATGCTTTTTCTAGTTATACTTCAATGTAAACAGGGTATGTTGGCTCAAAATGTCTAAAAATGAAAGTAACTTTTACAAGATCATTTTTCACACAAGGCTCTTGACCCCGAAGATCTAATGTCTTAGGGAGGACGTTATGAGGGTTAAACAGGACACCAGGTGTTTTTATTGATAGGAGATTTATTGATAACTAGAATCAAGTGGGGTAGAGTGAAGGGTGTGGTTTTCATGCCTATCTGTGGACACCTGTTACTCTCATGTTAAGATTTACAGTTTACAAAGTCGCAAGAAAGTGATTTTTTACTATGACCCTGATGGTGTGACTGTGAATCTATACTTTTTTTCCCCATCGGCAGTTGCTTAAAACTTAATATCTCAGGTGTTTTGACAGCTGGTTGTACGAGATATTTTGTTGCTACAGTAGATGTATTGGTGCTGGAGTCACACAATGGTATGATTCCTGCCTGTAATGCAGAAGTTCCCACATAATCCACCGTCCAAGGTTGGGTTGGACAGCAAAGCAGCAGCTTCTGTGGCCCGTGCACTAAAAATACTGCAGTTTTCCTTTTAGCCATTTGTTTGGAGAATTAGGACATTAACAAATATTTCCTGTCAAAAACAATCTTAAATTATGGTAGAAAAGTCTCTTGTTCAACAACCAGGCTTTCGACTTGCCTTGTGTCTCAACAAAAAGCCAGGATTGTTTTACAGTCACACAGTTTATCATTTAAAAAAACGTCACACTTAAATTACATTTTTCCGGACCAGCACAAGTGTCACAGATCGTCTCAGCAGGGTCACATATTTTTCGATTTCATGGTGATTTTGTTTCTGTTGCCTTCGTAATGTTTTTTTCAGTTTCACATTTAATAAAAACAAGACCGTTATTACGTTTCTGGATTTTTTTCCCGAAACAACAAAGTTAAAACATTCGTTTATAATCAAATGTTTTAAAGCATTTTGACTGTAAAAAAAAAAATCTAGATTTATCTCTCATTATGTAATGTACTAGAATTTGACCTTGTTGAAATTACTGTAAATACCTAAAAAAAACCTTCTGTGTTTTCTTCTGTTAGTTCATTTAAGCCTTACTTTGAATTAAGCTGAGCTATATCTTTAGTTACTTTCTATTATTAATGGAACGGTAGCAGCAGTTACATATTTATTTATTCATGAGTTACTCTCATTATGTTCACTGTTTGCCCATTTTTAGGGAGGATGGTGAACTAGAAGATGGAGAAATAGATGATGAAGGGATTGAAATTGATGAGGAAAACAAAGAGGCTCCAGAGGTGCAGGATGAGAAGGAAAAGGAGCAAGGAAAGGAGAGAGTGAAGGAGAAAGAAGAAAAATCTCACAGGCACTCAAGAAAGAGATACAAAAAGACCAAAGAGAAGAAGAAATCCAAACGAAGGAAACGTGAGAGACAAAAGGTAAGCTCTCCCTACAGTCAGTGTCACATATTTGGGCTCAAGTGTGAACTGAAAAAATAAAATTCACTGTACTGTTGTGGCCTTTCCCCAGCACCACTCTCCCTCCAGCAGCTCCAACTCTGACAGTTATGACTCTGACTATGACCGAGTTGAAAGGTCAAAAGTCAGGAAAAGCAAAGGATCCAGCCGTGAATCTGATGGCCAGCCCTCTCAGGTGACTTCATCTTAGCTGACAAGGCTTGGAGTTGGTCTTCAAACTTTTGTATATAACTAGCAGTGTAGCTGAGTAACATTTTTAACATTTAAGTAATTAGAAAATGTTTTTTGATATATACAGTATATTAACAAATGGTGGAGATATCTGCTTGTGTCACGTGTTTTGTTCTTGTTGTTCAACTGTAACATCTCATTCTTAGCACGGGCGTGACTCAAAGGGAGGTCACGGCAACTCACAGAGGTCACCTCTGCGCAAGAGCAACGACTTTGACAAATACAGTGACTATAGCGATGAATATGATGAAGAGGAAGACGTCTACGATGAAGACATGTCTGAGTACCAGCAGTCAAAAGATCATAATCAAGGGAAGGGGCGCCACGTTAAAGACCATATGAGGAGAGGAAGCATGAGGGGAATGAAGCAGCAGTGTAATTAAACATTTAACAATTAAAAATTGGGGGTTGAATTTGTTTGTTTTACGTATTTATTTTATTTTTGGGGACAATTTTGTTTTCAGTTGGACAGAGAGGAAGAGGCCGAGGTATGGGACCCGGCAGAGGACGTGCCATGCTCATGAAAAACAAGAAGCTTAAGGGCAAACCCTGGGCTGGACGTGGACGAGGGCGTGGAGGAGATCACGGACTGGAGGACATGGTTAGTCGTTGCATCTTAGTTCTATTACTTAGACGACTTCTATTATTACCTTTAGTATTATTCTCATTATGTTACTGTAAAACTTCTACTTTCAATGCTTCTACAACTGCTACTGCTATTATAATTTCTGTTACTACTATTTCTGTTTCTACCTTTACCTCTACTACTTTTATTATATATACTACAAATACTTGTACTTTTCCTCTTGCTATCTTCTTCTAGTTCCAACACTTTGTTACTTACTGTCAGACTAATTATTTTCCACCTGTTAATTTAATTTTACAGGAGGTTAAAAATTCTGCATTTCAGAGGAAGAGACCGCCCATGAGCAAAGAGTTCATTAGTCAACACACTATAGAACACAATGGCAAATACATCTGCAAGTATTTCCTGGAGGGGCGGTGCATCAAGGTACAGTAGCACTAATGTTCTGTTGTCTGCTTCAGCAGTTTAACACCTTTCATGAATAATTTACGATGTTGATTTTATTAATATTTTTATTAATAAAAAGCATGGCTGATATCATCCCTCTACAGGGTGAACAGTGTAAGTTTGACCATGAGTTGATTGCACTAGAGAAGAAAAAAGAACTCTGTAAATTCTATCTCCAAGGATACTGCAGTAAAGGAGAAAACTGCATTTACATGCACAATATCCTTTATAAGTCATTACAAGTGTTTCATTACTTTTTGAATTTAGGAGAGAATGAACAGTGTTTTTTCCTTAGCCTGTGATTGTACATGAATATCCCTGCAAGTTCTTTCACACTGGAGCTAAATGTTATCAAGGAGACAACTGCAAATTCTCCCACCAGCCTCTGACTGATGTGACTAAAGAACTGCTTGATAAGGTATAATAAAGAAATGTATTTAAATATTTACATCTAAGTCTCCAATGCTAACTAATTATTATTATCTCTTCTCTGTCCCATCCCTCAGATCATTAACACAGAGGAGGAAAATGCCCGTGAAGATGAAATGGAGCTGGAGGATCTAAGGAAACAGGGTATTGCCCCACTTCCAAAGCCTCCTCCTGGTGTGGGTTTGCTGCCCACTCCTGGTCAGAGCAGTCCAACAGATGGTGCATCTGGCCAAGCAGGGAAGAAGATCCCTTCACTGTTTGAAATCAAGGTTCAACCAACTGTTGACTTGGCACAAAAAATCAATCTCGGGTAAATGCAGCCATTTTAATATTGTAACTGATTGTTGAGATACTGTATGTCAATAGAAAAATATTTAGGACATTTGGGCATAAGTCATTTAAAGAGCAAAAAATCTTTAATAGGAACTGTGTAAACCACGTTTGTAGATGCAGCCAAACACGTTTGTTTCTGTTTCTGTTTTCTTAACCTAATGCAATTTGTGACCTTTTTTTCCCCAGTGGATCCAACCTATCTCAGAATGAAGGTGAAGATAGTGGTCAGTGCGGTGGCTCGGAGGACACACAGACTGGGGGTAGTGTGACTTCAGGCTCCTCTGCTCCACCAATTCCTCTCCCTGGTTCACCTGGTCACCAAACAGGACCGCCTCTGCCACAGAGTCCACCAGGCCAACACCCACCACACAGATTTCCATCTGGTCCACCAGCACCTTTTCTCGGCAGCCAACCTAATCTGAACCCTCAAGTAAATGTGCAAAGGCCTTTTCTTACAGGACCTGATCTACAAATGCTGCAAAGTCTACTATCTCTACCATCGTTGGGTCAGAACCAAGTAGAGCTGCTAGGCAGCCTTCTCCAGAACCAGGCAATGGGTAAACAAGAAGGTGAGTGTAATGTTCGTATGATTGACCAATGGGAGTATATGGAATTTAGCTAATGCTTACATCAAATCATCCTCCTACAGTGGACCCTGTTAAGGCCTTCATACAGAATCTGGAGCAGCAGATGGGTGCGGAGTCACAGTTACAGTCTTTACCTCCAGCAGTGCAGAAAGCCATTTATTTACACCTAACACAGGGCAATGAGCCACAGAGAGCAGAGGCTCAGGGCACTAATAACACTAACAGAGGTAAGTGTACAGAGAAGCTGTTACACTCACCTGATGAAGAATAATTTCATCTACGTTATTGAATTTAAAAAAAATAAATAAATAATGAAGTGCATGCCTTGCAATGTATAAAAGGAATATTTGAATACTTTTTGCAGATGACACTACAAACTGGTACTCCAGCGATGAGGAGGATGGAAACAGTGTTGCCTCTATTCTAAAAACACTAAAAAAACAGAGTGAGATGCAGCCATCTCAGTCCAAACCCCCTCAGATGGCCTCAACGGTCCTGGCTCCAGGAGACCCCAGGCTTGTTAAAGAAAGGGCCATGCCTTCTGATCCTCGTTTCAAGATGGACCCCCGGCAAAGGTTACCAGATTTAAAAAAGGAGTCAGACGGAGCTGCAGATCCACGGTTCTCCAGAGACCCCAGGAAGATAAGACCAATGGAAAAAAGTCTCTTTCTGCAGCAGGGCCAGTCTGTTCCTCAGAAGGCTCCTGCAGGAGAAGAGGAGGATGAAGGAGAACGGGAGCTCCGGGACAGAGCAGTTCTCATTCCTCTAGATGCCGTCCCTGGTGTAGTGCTACATGACCCTCGTTGCCAGTTAAAGCAGTTTAGCCATATTCGGGTGGACATTATTCTTCAGCGGCCGGCCTTCGCTCAGTCGGTGGTGTGGGCACCTGAGGACCTCATTCCCTCCCTGGTGCCCAAACAAGAACACTCTATCAACCTCCCTCTGCCACCGCTGATCGCAGATGCTCAGATGAACCGAACAAACCTACCGGACTATCCTCCTGTCTCCAGCCCTCCACCCGCTGATCCCAGATTGATAGCTGCACGATTAAAGGAACGTGTACCTCGTTTATCTCCTGGAACTGTAGAGCCTCGACCTTTGACAGAACGACCTGTAGACCCTCGACAGCAAAAATCTCTAGATCCAAGGCTCAAACGTACAGCAAGCTTGGACTCTAAGCCGATGGGTCAGAAAGAATCCTGCTCAGGTGGAGCAGTTGTAGATCCACGGCTTCAGAAAGCAAACTCCAGCTCTACTAACAATACTGCTCAAGTTAAGTCAGAGCCTGAGAAGCTTCCACCGTATGCCCCTCGTCTAGCATCAACGGGCGGAGGTTTGGAAAGTCCGACTACAATTCTTGGAGGCATCAGTCTGTATGATCCTCGCACTAAGATAGAGCAGAAGGAACAATCAGAACCTCCTAAAAGGGCAGGGATTCTAAAACATCCTGTTAAAAAAGACAATGTTCCACCACAATCCCTTTCACCATCTCAAAGATCTGGCTCTTTTGAGGAGATCCCAAGCACAGACACGTCTGAGGAGCTTCCACCTGGGAATTCTCCTACCGTTCCTCCTTCATTACCTCTCAAACCTCCAGCAGTTCATAACCTCCCTATCCAGGCTCTGGCGGGACTGATTCGACCTCAGTACACCGACCCCAGACAAGGCAAGCTTTCAGGACAGGCTTCTACAGGAGCACAAGATGAAACTGAGCTCAAGAAGGAAGAGGAGGAGGAGAAGGAAGAACAGCTGCAGGTTGTACAGGAGGAGGTAGAAGAGGAGAAGGAGGTGGCTCAAAAAGAGGGAGAGGAGAAAAAGGATCCAGAGGAGGGTGCAGAAGACAGGACACTCAAAGATGTCTTCAAGACTTTTGATCCCACTGCTTCACCTTTCTGTCAGTAAACACTTCAGTGTCAAAGAAGAAAATGGTGGTTACATTTTATAAAACGTGCTGTACAAAAGCTTTACATTACAACTATTTATTTCTGTATATAAACGGTTCTGTGTTAAGTGACATTTTTTTGTAAGAGACAGTGGTGGATTTGTGGAGTCACCATGTTTGGTCCAGTTTGTGTTAATGTTGTGTGTTTTTTACCACTGCATAATTGCTCTTCTTGTATGTACAGTATTATTTGAGAGAAGATAGTTTACTGAAAGTAAGCAGTTTTTCTAAGTACATATTTATTTTGACACAATTTTTATATTGAGATATTTACATTATCAAGCTAAATAGTACTGTTTGATGCTAATTGTTGGTTTGCTTTTTGCAGTCATGAATTTTCATTTATCACGGCTTCCAAGTTGTTCTGGTAATCCGGCTTGGCTACTTCCAGGAATTCCATCTTGGTGACAGTATCTTTGATATTTCAGAGTTTAAATGACTGACAGGATTGAATATTTCACTACGCTTTCGTCTTTTCTCCGTGTTAATGATAATGTTGTTGTTTGACTGAAACTAAGCTATACACTTTTTTTTAATTCTTTTCCTATACCACATTATCAGTGTAAATTTTTATTACACAAACTCAACATTAATGAGTGTTATGATGTAAAGTTGTTTCTTTCAATATGGTGGTAAAAAAAATACATTCACATTTTAATAACACGTAGTCACAGTTACATTTCTGTGATTTTTGTTTGAAAAATATTTCAGAATAAATTGAGAAGAAACACAACTGACTTCACTTGTACAACTTACACACAGGAACTCAAAATAGGTAGAGATGTGCCTAAAGTCTGGGTAGGATGTGCAAAAGTACACCATTATAATAATAATAATAATAATAATAATAATAATAATACATTTTATTTCATAGGTGCCTTTTTGTCACTATGGCGTCTTGTGAAGTCAGTGTGACCGATTGGTTAAGGAAAGGGGAAAGATTACAAGAATAAATCATCCACAAACCCACTTTTGATACATGAGATCAGGCAGGAGTCTCTGTGGACCAAAATGTTTTTTATTGGAAAAACAAAGAGACAAGGACATGATCATTTGGACAAGTATGAAGGAAACAGTAGGAGGACACAGACGGTTTCTGTAAAAGCCAAATGGACAAAGTAACAATAAGGATCTGCTGTGATGACACTTAAAGGCTGCTGTCTTAAAAAGAGGTATTTAAAACTTATAATGATTGGTTAGCTGTTGGCCATTTCTGAGGTTTTTTCCTACCTGAAGTTTTTTCCTACCAGTAGTGGAAATTTAGTGGATTTCTATAAATACTTTATACTATAGACATGATTTGATGTGTACAACAATGTGCTACCACCCTGAACACAAATATCAGATATGGCTATAAAATTCCACTATGAGTTGGAAGAAACTTCATGTAGGAAAAAACTTCAGATAAAGCTCTATATTTCCACTACGGGTACGAAAAAACTTTAGGTAGGAAAAAACTTCAGAACACGGAGGAGAGGAGAGAGAGTAAAGAAAAATAAAGGCTGTTAACTGTCATCTGTGTCAGCGTCTTGGATCCGCGATGTACTGAGGGAGCGAAAGGATAACCGCGATATAGAGAGGGAACACTGTATATTTACAAACTACTACACGTTATCGTTGTCAAAATAATCTTCCTCGGGGTGGCGCTGTAGCCTTTTCATTTCATCCTGTCCCTTTAACTGCTGACGTTTCAGCTTTGCTCCACGTTGGCCGCACATGCGCAAAGGGCCCGGCCACCTGCTGGAGATCAGAGGAGAACAAGGAAGTCTGACACTGGCGTCTATTGGATGTCAGGCTAAAACGAAAACAAGATACATTTTCACCGGAGTCCAGTGCTCTGGTCACTCACTCTCAGCTCTGTCGGCTTGACAGGATGTTTAAAAAACTGAAGCAGAAGATAAATGAGGAGCAGTCACCTCAGAGGAATGCGCAGTCACCGCTACAGGCCCAGGTCAGATGTGGATTCTTAGTGAGAGCTAACTAGCTAAGCTAATCTGTGTTTATACTTCTGGGGCTGCTCTATCTGTAGAACAGCTGTGGTGTCATTAAGTAGATCACGCTCTCAAAAATATTTCCATTACCATTCCGACTAGTTATGCAGCTGCCGAGTTTCTGGCTGTTATTACCCTGTTCTTTGCAACGTTAGTTATGTATGCTAAGTCAGTTAGTCATATGGCTAACTAGTTGGTGAGCTGCTCTGAGGAAATCTATGTAACAGGTAAATCAAGTTGTTCCGGGTAGAAACTAAAACAGTAACGTTAGTCAACCATGAAGTTTTTGTGTAGTCATAATACTTGTTAGGAATGACCCAGTAAATGCCAAAACTTATGGGCGTGTCTGATTCTTAAGCTCTTTGCTTTGGTGCATGTAGCTGTCAGCTGGCTGCTCACGTTGACATATTTGCTTAGTACACGGTAGTGTTTAACCCCTTAATGCAAATGCACAAATGTAAACAAAGTTCAGTACTTCCATTGTCTTAATGTTAATAACAAGACCGTAGATAACAATGAGTCATTGAAAAAATATCTATTGTATTCAGAGGTGGGTAGAGTAGCCAAAATTGTACTCAAGTAAAACTACTGTTACTTCAGAATAATTTCACTAGAACGTAATCATCCAAATAATTACTTGAATAATAGTCAATCATCCAAATAATTACTTGAATAATACTCAAAAAGTACTTGGTGAAAAAAACTACTTAAGTACTAACTGTTGAGTAACATCTGATTTATTTTTTAATGGGCATTGAATCACATAGACAGAGGAGAGTTAGAGTTAGAAAAACTTACTCAAATAATTGTAACGGAGTAAATGTAAGCCACCACTGATTGTATTTTTTTTATGCATTGTAATTGGAACAGGGGGGACCCACTGATCGACGCAGCAGTCAAACTGCCCTGTTTCCACAGGATGGTTCACCTTCCACTGACAGAGAGGTAAGCAAGTTGGATTTATTTCTACTTACGTTCAGCTTTCCGTGAACAGTGCATCTTCGTAGCTCTGTGTGATATCAGTCCAGCTTTGTCCTTAATGTCTTCCTAGTAACAAGCCTTTGATTTATATTTGATGTAAATGTGTGTTTGTTTGGTTTTTACAATGCTTTCACTTTTGATGAGTGTAGAATATTGATCTCTGTTATTGCTTATGGTAAATATATGTTCCCTGCTAAAGGCGCTTAAGACACAGTAAAGTAATTTTTTATGCATTTATTTTAAAACAATATTGGTTTTGAGGCTTTCATAATTTATATATATATGTATATATGTATATATATATATATATATATATAATGCAAGTAATTATTCACAGTTGTATAGTAAATTGTCACTGAGGAAACATTTACATTTAATACAATTAGTGAGATTTTTAATGGTGGTGAGCAGACCATATTCCAGCAGGTCTATGAATAATTAATGTACCCTTCTCCTCAATGTTATTTTTTCTTGGATGTGTTGTTGCAATATTACCCCTGCAGTGCACATGCACAGGAAATCAATGTAGGATTCATTATACAAATATAGAGTGTTGGTAACGTACTTATCATGTTTGTAAGGCTGATGATGCAATGCATAGTTTCTACATTAAAGATAAGGTTTAAAGCATTGGCTAATCAATTTAAGGGTGTAAATGTGCTTGTTCTAATGGTAGCTTTCTGTGTTGAAACACAATGGTACCATTTAGTCAGCTTCATTTTCCTTATAGACATTTTCAGGTATGCACGTAACTCTATTTTCTGACTGCTGCACATACAACATTACAGGAGAATCTGTGGAGCAAAATTTGCGCTAGGTGGTCAGTGACTGCCTTGTTTCCTTAAACCAGGCACCAACCATTTTCCTTCTGAGCTCCTACTGCTGTGGGAACTCTGGCACCCCACCATGGTCTCCTTCCCCCTGGTCTGGTTTTCCAAGTAGAGCATATTTAGTACAGTATATGGAAACACAAACTGTGTAGCCATGACTGAGCCTAAGTTGTCTTAACTTGGTAGTATTTTCTTATCATATTTCCTCACTCTACACTTCTTTACAATCTTTAACATTTTGACATACTCTGAGAGTCATTTGGTCACTACAGGCAGAAGTCACCTAACTTTGACAACAGCATCCCAGAAGACAACATGCAGAGATGTCAAACTGTTACAGTATCCGTTCCATTAATGTTGACTGAATGTTTCACCTTGGTTTTTTTCCACTATTTTTTCCTACTCTCACTACACTCTCTATACTTTTTTTTCCTCCATCTATCTCAGTTTCTTTTGTCCAGCTCTGGCTCGGCACTCCCTTGAACACTATTTCACACTCATGGTGTTGTTTTTCCTCATTGCTCTCTCTGTTCCTCTCCTTTCCCCACCCTCCGTCCCGTTATTGCACTGACGGGGTCAGGTGCTGGCTGGGATGATAGCAGAGCCCGCTTTTCTCTCTGAGTATACTATCTTTGCTCTGGACCATTCAAAACAACCCAAAACGGCCCAGGTAGCCAGTGTGGTGAGTTTGTCCTCACTTCCTGCCTCTCCCTCTTCCTCCTCCTCCTTACTCCTCCTCTTGGCCTGTTCCTTCCTCCCGTCTCCACGCTTTTGGGAATAGGTAGAGAACTGTGGTCCAAAAAGGGACAGCTTGTTCCCTGCTTTGTCTCCTGTTTCCTTTGGATTTAGCAACAAGAAGGCATCCCGTATCTTGGCCAATCCTACATGTAATGAGGGTTGTGTTGTCAGTTAGAAAGTTGTTTTTTTCACTTTCTGTTGGTTTATTACCTTCCCTCCTTGTCTTTAGGTGTTGTCCTCATTTGCTTGCCTTAACCTGTGGTATGTTGCCCATTAGCCTTTGACCTTCCTCCAGTGTCCCCAAAAATATGTGCATATGTAAAAATTGATGACTTGATTTAAAGAATAGACAATCTTGGGAAGTTACACTGTAAAATGTTTTAATTTGACAACAAGCTCTTATGAGTATATTGCAGTGGTGGGCGTAAGGTTGTTCTGTCAGTAAATACATTGGTAGGTATTGTATGGCACCTCGAATTAAAATGAATATAGTAGCTACATTTGCTAACAATTAGTATGTCTGTAAATAACTAATTTGTTTTTGTTTACACCTTCATTTAGTCATTGTAATTTACATCCCTGAAACATTTGTGAATATAAATGGTGACTAGGGCAGTTTGTGATGACATTATTAATATACATTATAGTGATACATATACATTAGTGATAATATTATTAATATTAATATTACCATACATTTTTATACTTCTTGGCTAAAATAATTAGCACTGTGTTTATATCGAAGGCCTTCTGTCTGTGAACCTCGGTGCATATTGTGTTTTAAATGGAGGTACAGATGGGAAATAATTCTCATTATCCTTCCTCATTATTCTGTCATCATCTTCATTATTTTTATCATATTAACCATATTATCATCCTAAAACATTGTCATAGATCATTTTTTTCTTATATGTTCTCAATGGTCAGTTTTTGTCACAAGCCAAAACCCTTATAATTGTTTATTTTGTGTAGATTTCATGTCATATAGTTTTTATATACATGCATTGCATTTAAAAAGAAATTAAGTAGGTCAATAGGATAATACACTCTGTGTATTCTTGACATGTAATAACATAATAAAGTCATTAATTTCTATAAACATCTAGAAACACTGGACTTCAAAGAGTACTTGTTTTGGACAGATATTGTATGAGTAATTATTTTGGTTGTGAATGCTTTCATATTTTTTAGTGTTTGCAGTTTCAATCTATTTATATAAAATGCCTAATAAGCAAGCAGAGAAGCAGCTGATCCCAACTTTAGCAAGTCTGGAATAACATGAAGAGACAACATTTTTCACAACAGACATCAAAATCTTTCGTGAGTCTTCAAGACTAACACAGGTTACCAAAAGATTATCACTATTATTTTTAAGAGAAACAGTGATCACATCAAATATTGGTTTTATTTAGTTGTATCTTTGTCCATGATAATACTAGTATATTATCACTTTACAGCAATAGTCTCACCTGCCTAATCATTTTCTGCAATGAAGTTTTTCTGCA